TCTTGCTTCCCTCCTGACCCTTCGCCTTAATTCAGCATCACCACCTGCCCCTACTGTACTGCTATCTGAGAGGAAAAAGTTGAGGAATTCGTCTGGAATGGCCAGGTGGGAGGATTGCTGGAATTGTTGGAGAGCAGTGAGGCGGATAAGCATTTCGAGTAGGGACAATGAAGTCTTGACCGTGGGAAGGGACGTTGGAGCTTGTTGTTGGTACTGTGGTGTTGGTGCCGAAGCTTTCTGGGGAGAGGGAATGATTTGGTTGTGTGGTGTTGGTTTGGGAGAGGTGGGTGTACTAGGACGAAGGTTAAGGGCGGAGAAGCGGCCTAGGAAGTCGGGCGGTGTAGGTGTGGCTGCTGGGGACAGCGAAGAGGCTTCTTCAGTCGACTCTTCTGTTTCCTCGATTTCGGAATCGGAGGTCGGGTCTTCAGTGTATACTTCGAATGCCATCCATTCTAGGTCCAGCGTGGGAGGTAGTCGCCAAGGATACGTTGGTTGCTCAGACTCTGGTGGGGGCTGTTCAGGCTCCGGTGAGGGTTGTTCTTCGAGATGTGGTGTCGATTCGCGCCGGAGTTGTTCTTCCAGCTCTGCTTGTTCAGCATCTTCTTCGTCGTCGCCAATAGTATGTGAGTCATCTGACTCGTAACCAGGTCCCTCTGTATCACGCTCCATCATACGGCGTGGCGGTGCTGCATTGACGTCTCGCTTCAATAACAAAATAGGGTTGTTACTCTCGTTGTCAGAACCGATGTTCAATATCTTACCCGTATCGGCGTAAAAGATCTTGGAGACTTCATGAATAGGTATGATCTCACGGACACCGGCTTGCTCCACACCGTCGTATGGCCCTGGTTGGGGTTCGCCATCCTCGAACTCGTGCATACGACCATCATCTAAGTCTTCGACGATAAGTAGCTGATAGGCAAACTCCTGCAACATGCTATCAGAGGGAATGTGACGGTGGTCAGCCTCATCGGCTCGTCTGCTGTTTTGTCCGAAAGGTGTGGGGTAATCGTAGACATTATCGAGAGGAACCCTCATAAGTGTAACACGTGCTTTGTGCATGACCTCCTTCCATGTTGTTTCTCGAACGTCTTCTTCATGGGCTCGATGAGCATATCCGGCGAACAACATGTACAAGGAGAGGGTAAAGGTCGGTCCAATCTGCTGGGCTCTGGGCTTTGATGCGCAATACTGCATGTCGCCAGAAGTGAGAAAGGTGCTGGCCTGTAGAAGCCGTGATGGCGATACAGTAGCCGGGAGGGTGGTGGAGAGACTAGTACCGGATGTGGTGATAGCCAGATTTATGAGTGGCACAGCATCTTCGATACGCTCCAGCAACCTTTTCATCTCTTCAATGATGATCTTGAGCTCAGCGTCATTCTGATCCCGCGATTTTGCTTTGGAGCTGCCTCTTCTCGAAAGCTGCTCTTCGGCCACAGCCTTTTCCACACGGCTACCTAATGTTTGAATGTCCCATCGAAGAGACTTTGTGAGTCCTACAGCAGACTCGAGTGACGTGTTTCCGCGTGCCGCAATCAGCTCTATCATGTCGATCGCTGGTGAGATGATTTTGATTTTGGAGTCTAGTCTTATTTGCAAATTGGCGAGCTCTTGCTTTTCACGGCCTTCGACCGTCTTCATCAGTCGGCCGCATTGCTTGAGCGCATAGTGGCTGGTGATCGCTATACCGCTTCTGATAGCATAGCTCATAGCCTGCTTGGTCACCTATCACATGTCAGCATGGGCACTGGGTACGAGGAGGATGACTCTGTGTCTGCTTATGACGTATTGGGAGTCAAAGCGTAGTCATACATTTGCTAGGAGTGACTCCATCTTGACCTGTCGATTGGGTTTCACCCTTGTATGGGAATGGTTTGGTGGTGAGATATCTGGGTTAGATGAACCATGAGGTCAGAGTATTGGGTTGCTGGAGAAGGCAACCGGGAATATCTGTGGCAAGTGACAATGAATGCGAGTGTTTGCGTGTAGGTGAGTGTCTTTGTTGCTAGGAGCCCTAGCCAATGTTAGGCAGCGAGGCGTTGAGTCAGCCCCACTCAGCCACCGAAAGCGACCCCGCCAAATCTTGCGTGGGCAGCAACGACGCGGCACATTTTCACTTTTCGCCGACGACACTCGACGCCCGTCCACTTATATACCTCAGTAGTCGCTCTTTGGTTGCAGGACGAATTCACGCACGTTCTCGCCTACTCGTTAACAAGAGCGACATAGTCGTCCCCGAAGCGCATTACACGCACGCCGTCGCTACCCTACCAACCCAACCACACGACACATCCCTGCGACAACCGACGTCACAATGGCCGACAACTGGGAGCAAGAGGAGGAACGCCTCGCGCAGCAGGCGCAGGGCATGAACCTCAACAACACGCCCACTTTCACACCAGGAGCGCAGTCGTTCACCCCGGGCGCGAGCGCTTTTGTCCCCGGCCAAGCCTATGGTGGCTACGGTGGCTACCAACAGTACGGCCAGCAATACGGTGGCTACAACCAGTACGGTGGTCAGCAATACGGTGGCTACCAGCAACAACAAGGCTACCCTCAATATGGGCAACAGTACGGTGGACAGCAGGGAGGATACCCACAGTACGGACAGCAGTACCAGCAGAACTTCCAGGCCCAGCAGCCGCAACAAGGCCAGTCTCCTGTGAGGATAGCAAAGCGAGGCGACGACGTGGCTGTCTCAGACAGTGCTGCGCCTGCTGAGCCCAAGAAGGACGCCCCCAAGGCAAAGGTTCTCTCGATTGGTGGCGACAGCGCACCGAAGGCAAAGGTCTTGTCCATCGGAGGCGACACCACAGCACCAAAGGTCGAGAAGGCAGGTGGCACAAAGGTCCTCAGTCTGGGCACACCAGCCGCGCCATCGGCCGCGAAGGAAAAGGCGGACAAGGAGAAGAGCGTTCCTGAAGCCGGTACCAAGGTCACCGCTGCGAAGGCCATTGAGAAGACTGGCGAGGCTACCCCAGCATCCGCAGGCTCTGGAAGGACTTCGCCAACTCCTTCTTCTGGCCGCAACAGCCCAACACCAAAGGAAAAGGCCATTGAGAAGAAGGCAGCACAGGACATTGAGAAGGAAATGGAGGAAGTGGTTGACGAGGCCACTCTTGCCGAAATCTACGGCAAGGAGCACGTCAACATCATTTTCTTGGGCCACGTCGATGCAGGAAAGTCCACTCTTGGTGGCAGTATCCTGATCTCGACTGGCATGGTCGACGAGCGTACCCTCGACAAGTACAAGAAGGAAGCTAAGGACGCTGGTCGTGAAACCTGGTACATTTCGTGGGCGCTCGATTTGAACAAGGAAGAGCGACAGCAGGGTAAGACTATCGAAGTCGGTCGAGGTTTCTTTGAGACAGAGAAGCGACGATACTCCATTCTGGACGCGCCAGGCCACAAGACATATGTGCCCAACATGATCAGTGGTGCCTCACAAGCCGATGTCGGTATTCTCGTCATCTCTGGCCGTAAGGGAGAGTACGAGACAGGTTTCGAGAAGGGTGGTCAAACCCGAGAGCACGCTATGCTGGCCAAGACACAAGGTGTTAACAAGATTCTCATCGTTGTTAACAAGATGGACGATCCTACTGTGGAATGGTCCGAGGACCGTTTCAAGGAGTGCACTACCAAGGTAGTAGCCTTCTTGAAGGGTCTCGGATACAACCCAAAGACTGACATCAGCATGATGCCGGTCAGTGCACAAACATTCACAGGTATCAAGACCCGTGTGCCAAAGGTAAGTAACTTTTTGTCTGTAAAAGGGATGTGAACTGATTTGGTCAATAGGACCTGGCGCCATGGTACGATGGCCCATCTCTACTTGAGTACCTTGACAACATGCAAGCGCTCGAGCGTAAGCTCAATGCGCCCTTCATGATGCCCATCGCCGCCAAGTACAAGGACATGGGTACTATGATTGAAGGCAAGATCGAGTCCGGTATCATTAAGAAGGAGCAAAAGTAGGTCACGTCTTCTGACATCAGCACCTGTTACTTACTAACCGCACCAAGGTACCTCATGATGCCCAACCGACAGACAATCCACATCTCGGCTTTGTACGGTGAACAGGAAGACGAGATTCCTGGAGCGACTTGCGGTGACCAAATTCGCGTGCGACTCCGAGGTATTGAAGAAGAAGATATTCTGCCTGTATGTACTTTGATCAATCCTCCTCCTATGATCGCTTACTAACTTCTTCGTAGGGTTACGTTCTTTGCTCACCTAAGCGACCTGTCCACTGTGTTTCTCAATTCGAGGCCCAGGTCGTACTTCTTGACATCAAGTCTATCCTTACAGCCGGATTCAACTGCGTGCTCCACGTCCACGCCGCACAAGAAGAGGTCACCATTACCGCTCTGTTGCACAAGCTGGAGAAGGGCACTGGACGTAAATCGAAGAAGGCACCAGGATTCGCTACTAAGGGCATGAGCATCATTGCACGCTTGCAAATTACCGGTACCGCTGGAAGCATCTGTGTAGAGCGATTCGAGGATTACCCGCAGCTGGGTAGATTCACCCTCCGTGATCAAGGTCAGACCATTGCCATTGGCAAGATCACTAAGCTCATCACAGACCCTGAGGCTTAAATGTTGATGTAAAATGATATATGATCGACCGGATGAACAGATCTGGAAGAAGGGTGGAGACGAAGACTAAGTAGCCGATTGATCGACGGCGTTTGGACGCAAGGCCAGCATAGACCAAACATCGAAAACAATATGATTGCGACTATTCTTTCAACATCATACATGAGTTATCTTATCTCGTGGGTCATTATCTAGTCTCTATGTACATTGTTCATGAGGCATCGGAATTGGCAGTGGCAAGTCTACAGTGAGACAAGCCTTTTAGTGCCGTAATCAACAGCAACCTTAATTTACCTTCCAACTTGGGAAGTTCATGCAGCATGCATACATGCTTGGAGGGCTAGCTGGATGCACGTAAATGAAAGCGTGACGTCATACCGCATCTTATTACGAAGGAGCCTCTTCACGTAAGAGTCGCGATCCCTAGGCTGTCTATGCTTACGTCATCCACTCCCGCGGCCAAACTTCGCGACTGCATCACTTCGACACCAAACTAAGCCATCACCCGAACTCAGCGCACGCCGCGCATCTCCCCATACGCACCCGCCCACGATGCAGGGCTTTAACATGGGGCGGTACTACCCGCCTGACGCCTCGAATCCTCCAAGCTTCAACAACTCCTCACACCCACTCGGCAAACGCGCAAACAAAATCTCCAAGGGCATCCTCACCGTCCGCTTCGAACTGCCCTTCGCTGTGTGGTGTGATCACTGCAGTCCTCCCGCCATCATCGGTCAAGGTGTACGTTTCAACGCCGAGAAGAAGAAAGTCGGCAACTACCACAGCACGCCCATATGGAGTTTCCGCATGAAACACAGTGCTTGTGGTGGCTGGTGGGAGATTAGAACGGATCCGCAGAACAGCGAATATGTTGTTACAGAAGGGGCGCGAAGAAGGGACTATGGGCCTGCCGGAAAGGGAGATGAGGCGTTAGCCGAGGGAGACCTCAAATTCCTGACTGAGGAAGAGAAGCAGAAGAGGAGGGAAGATGCCTTTGCAAATCTAGAGGGGAAATTAGAGGACAAAGGGATCGAAAAGAAGAATAAGGAGAGAGTTGAGGAGTTGTATGATAAGGCGGAAGTTTGGAGGGATCCATATGATGTGAATGCGAAACTGAGAAGGGACTTTCGGGAAAAGCGAAAAGTTTGGAAGAAAGAAGATAAACACAAGGAGGGTATGCAAGATAAGTTTAGCCTGGGACTGGATATCGTGGACGAGACGGAGGCAGACCGCACACGAGCTGGGCTGGTCGATTTTGGTTCTACAGCGACGGACGACTGGGGAGTGGGTCATTTGGAGTGGAAACCTCTTTTCGCGGACACAAAGGTGGAAGAAAAGGCCACAAACAACAAGGCTGTTCATCCTTTACCGCCGACGAAGAAACTTAAGTCAGAAATAGCCAGGGAAAAGAGTCGACTGGGACTGCAGCAAACACTTGTCGGAAACACAAAGGCCGCGATTGATCCGTTTCTCCACAGTGGTAGCATGCCAGCTTCCAGAGTCAACTTGGGTATACTGAAGAGGAAGAGAGATACTGATACAAGAGGTCTAGACGCAGCGCCTGAGAATGCAGATGCTGAGGCGCCAACCAAGAAACCTGCTCTGCTTGAAGCTCTGTTGGGCTATGATTCCGATTGATCATACGCTATGTCGCGACGGATGATTCACCGACCTCTGAGCGATTTTACTTCTGCAATCATCGGCGTTTGGGTCAAGGAGCATATGATACCCCATTTCCTATCCGTCACGGTAGTCATTTCTAGTTTTTTTCAATTTTCAGTCGAGCGACATATTAGCAGATATGCATTCCGACTGACGACGATCTGCTCGTGAAAACGCACTCATACGTTCTGCCGCCTCAGAGCCACCTACTACACCTTCTGCTCTTTCATCCACTTTTCCGCCTCCTCCTTGTACTCATCTCTCCACCTCGTTAACGGCGGCCTTTCGTTCACGATATCTCCCACGCTCCACAACATACGCTTCTTGTCCGTCTCCTCTGTGACTTGACCATCCGGACAGATGATGTAAAACTTCTTATCCTGCATCTTGGTGTACATATAGTCTGCAACTTGGTCTGCTGACCATGCGCCTTCCGGTTTTGCTTTGTCGGAGCCGGGTGTATTCCCGGACTACGTTGTATGTCAGTAGTGAGAAATTAGGATGCGCGTGGGGCAGAGGATGTAACAGAGCGCCGAATCAGAGAAAGGTGACTTACGAGGCCGGTGAACGTCCACCCCGGAACCAACAAATGAACACCAATACTAGTTTCTTTCAAATCGTAGCTCAGGTGCTCAGCGAGAGTCTTCACAGCTGCCTTACTAGCATTGTATGCGGCGTTACCAGGTGGGTTCGTAATACCCTGTTTACTGCCCGTGATCACGATCGCTGATGGCCCTTTCCCGTCTCTTTCTTTGAACGAAGGAACATATGCGTTGAGTCCATTGACCACACCACCCAGATTCGTAGCCAAGATCTTGTCAAAGTAATCTTCGTCACCCCATGTTCCTCTTCCGCCTATTCCGGCATTGAGCATAAGGAAGTCGACATCTGTGCCAACTTGTTCGCGAATTGATGCCCAGTCTTGGCGTGAAGACACATCTGCTTTGATGAGTTTGACCTCGCCTTTCAAGCTCATGCCTGCAATTTCGAGGGAAGATTGGTTGAAATCAACAATGGAGACACGCATTGAGTGCTTCAGACAGAGTTGGGCAACGGAGTAGCCGACGCCGGATGCGCCGCCTGTGATGAGAGCGTGGGCTGAGGAGCGGAAGACTGACATTGTAAGATTTGAAAGAGTCGATTTGATGTGAAAGAAATGAAGAAAGAGTTCTGTTTTCGTTGATCGAGAATGGGTAGTGTTGAAGCGGGGTGATGTCACGCGGAGTTACGTTATCTCCGGCGGAGTAACCAGAGGTTAGGTTGACTTCCAGATTGAAGTCATCACAACTTGTGGAACCTTATAATCTAGTCCATCACAGAACGTAGTGCGACATTAGATTGGAGGAAGATTCAAGGAGTCTGAGCCCTATGTGTACGTTTGTATTAGAACTATGGACGAAAGAAAATGGGGTATCTACAACTATGTTACCTAGCTATCCTCGCCGCCTTAAGCTCATTTGCTATATCACTGCTTTCCACTACCAGCAGCAAGTGTTTCCAAACCGTCCTGCGCGGTCTCAAACCTCTCAACACCCGGCCTCTCCGCTGTCTCTCCTTCTCCAACCTTCGCCTCAGGAATACCACTGCTGAAGAGCCCCGCGCCCTGGCCAGCAGTGAAGTACCGCTCAACATGTGGTCTCTCCTCCTTCAAGATCTGCTCATTGACAGTCTCAGTCACCGCCCCCATACTGCCGAGCTGTTTCTCTTCATTCTGTGCGTCGTCAACAGCAGGGGGCGTAGTTATGTTCACACTAGCAAGCGTAAGCGTACTAGCATTAACATCCTTCCCATCCGGTCCATCCACCTTGAGGCTGAAAGGATACGCGATACCGCCCGCTGTCGGACGCGTAGTCAGCGTGTCAGTCGCCGGAATAATAGTACTGTCATTTCCAGGGTTATCTGAAACGATGATGTTCGGAGGCAAGCCAGGGCTGCCGAGCTCGCTTGTAGGAGATGGAAGAGGGGATGCAGAGCGTTCTGGAGCAAGCGTCGTTGCGTTGGCCAGACCTGGATGCGGTACAATCGATTCGATTTTCGTGAGGTCGTCCATGGGTAGTCCAGTTTGACCTTGGTCGGTCACGGCCGAGTGACGTGAACGTGAGCGGGATCGTTTCACATCTGGAGCGGCAAGTCCGGTGGCACGGCTTCGTTCGGGTTTGCTGCTTGCGGTGCCATCCAAGGTGTGGGCTGGATCTTCGACGGAGGTAGAGACTTCGGTGTCGGGGTTCTGATCTGCTTTCTTCTCGCGTACGATCTGTGATGTGTTAGCAACATTATCCTTTGCAGTTCCCTAGGGACATTGCGCTTACAGTGGCTTCGTCGTGTTTGCTACCCCAGCCAGACCACATCGACATACCCCAACTCCTCTTTGCAGCTTTTTGGGCCTTCATTCCCCTTATCCTTCTGCCAGCTAAGGCGGTTGGCGGTGGTGTCTCACCCTCAAAACCCTCGAAACCTTTTTGCATGTCCTTGATACGCTGCTTCTGAATCTTGATCTTCTGCTTGGAGAACTTGTTGTTCCACTGAGCTTGCGCTTTCATCCATTTGCTGACAGGTCCAGTTTTTGGAACGCCGACATCGATGCTTGGGATGTTCAAAGCCACAAGTTCTTCTTTGGGTGCAAGTGCGTAAATACGGCCGTGTCGATCGATACGTTGGCGTATCATGTGGCTCGAGAATGGTGGGATGGGATCACCAGCTCTACCCACACGTGCATCTTGGGTGGCTTTTTTCTCTGCCTTCAATCGTTTGGCTTCCGCGTTTGAAGACTTGGGATCATCTGACGAAGACCCTGAGCCCGCCTTATCCGAGTCTGACGAGCTACTTGAGTCCTTGCTCATGAAGGATATGTCATCGTCATCAAGGATGTCGATGGACTTCTTCTGAGCTCGCGCAAGTGCCCAAGCGCCGAACTGAGCAATACTGCGGTACATGTGCTTTGCTGGTCGAGTGAAGCTCAATGTAGGTGTAACGTGACACAGATCGTCCCAAACTTGGAGCTGAACATTGGTGGGCTTGTAGCTGGCGGCTTGGGCCTGGATGGATTCGGCGGTCTGATTATTAGACGGAGGTGGTATGTATGCCAGTGGTTGGGCAGCCTTGTGCGCGAGGTAGATTTGCTCGTCCCTGAGTAATTCGCCGCCACCCGTTTGGATGAGCAGAGGCGGTAGGCCGCCTAGTGTTGGTTGTAGAACTGGAGAGACCAGAGGATGTGTCAAAAGGTGGTTTGCTGCGTACATCTGAATCTGGTCCTTGATCTCCACACGTACATCCTCAAGCTGTACGGATAATTGACTCTTCGGCCCGACACTGTATTTGCCATTTGAGGAAACCCAGACGTCTTCGTCTTGCCCGGTCGCTGAAGGGTCAACGATGTCTCCCAGAGGTGGGCGATCTCCCGATTGGATTGAGTATCCTCGTACGCGCTCAGCCTTGGCCTCCTTCTTCGCTGCACGATCTTCCTTTTTGTCTAAGTTGCTATCCTTCCCGGCGGTCTTCTTGGATGAAGTTTCGATTTCGAGCATATCATCGGCGTTGGGCGGTGCTATGTCGTGTTAGTGATACGACAGCAAGCTGAAAAGAATCAACTTACGCCAGCTCATACTCGGCTTGTGGATAAAGCCGTGTGAGGGAATGTAATCCATCTTATCATCTCCTCCGAGACTGGGAAAACTGTGTGTCAGGTCTACCCAGGGACTAATCAGGATTGCACCTGCGGGTAGTGGTATGCCTTGGTCGCGCAATGTCACCAGCATGCTCAGAACCATGCCGCCACCCGCCGAGTCGCCTGCCAGTATGATCGTCGTAGGGTCGTGTTTTTCTTCGAGAAGGTAGAGGTAGGCCGCCAAACCTAGCATAGTCAGCATGTGTTCCGAGGTGTTGATGGAAGTACGTACAGTCGTGGAGACCGCATGGGAAAGGAAATTGGGGCGCGAGTCTGTATTTGGGCGCCAACACTCTAGCCTTGAGCTTGCGCGCATGTCGTTGCATCTGATAGCGATGCTCGTCGACACTGCCAAAGAAGTAGGCGCCGCCATGAACATAGAGCATGATGCGGTCGCCTTTGGTGATGGCTAATTGTTTCCTCGCATCGTAGTCTTTGCGCATTTCGATCCACTCAGCTTTCAGCGTCGTCCCATCACGTCTCCACTGTTAAGGTGTTAGCTTGAATCGTACATGAGCATCGGCTCTGCCTGACCTGCCACCAATTCTTTCCTCCTACGGCTTTGATGCCTTCGGGTCCCAATTGCGCATTGAGTAGCTGTGCTGAGCGCTCCAACAGATTGCTCGAGACCTCCACCACGTTTACGTGCACCCAACGCGGCACTGGAACCCATTGCGACGTGAACGCTTGTAGTTCGTCGACCGTATGGAAGGAAGCATAGTGGAGGAAACGGCGGATAAGCTCAAGGCCTTCGTGGTAGGAGATATGCGCCGTGGGTTTCTGCGCAAGCGGGCGACGATTGAGGTAATGCGAGAGGTATGTTTGAATAACCGTAGGCGTAACTGCGGCGCCCACAGAGATGGTGTTGACAGGCATCGCGACTCGGGATCAGGGGTGCGGAGCTATCGGAGATCGCTTGTGGACGCGCCCAACTCTTGTCGCGTAGGAACGTACGGTGTTGTAGGAATTCTCGCACCACCAGAAACGACGAAACGCGTTTGAACAAAGGAAAATGTACAGACAAGGAGAGTTATAAGGGAAGCTTCGTGAGGCTTAGGGGTAGGAGAGTGGAGATCCCCGGATCTTCGTTGCTCTTCCTAACCCCTGCACGACCCACCTGCACGACGTCATCGAGACCCTTTTCTACATTATCCAAGCGTGTGAACCACGAGATGACAGTTGATCGTTACTATGCCCGGCACCCAAGATCAGCAAGATACCCGGCAGTTCGTCATAATTGTAACAAGTCGACCGTTCAAGAGGCATACATTTAGCTTTACTGTAGTATGGCAAACTTGACCTCGGTCAGCTCTTGCCATTGTACCAGTAAGGCGAAAAGATGTAGGTGATGATGATGCGGCGGGCTACCTTGTCGCCTGAAACTCCAAACAACTTGTACTCTGTTGTGTACTGTCGGGATCAGCCCACCAGAATTCGGCTGGGACTATTGGACAACTTACTGGTGTACGTACTAAGTTGTGGAACTACTGTAACGGAATTGCGGACTAGTACGGAGGGTCGGACGTTGGTAGTACAGTAGGAGCAAGATCATAATTCCGCATCTTGATAGCTCACCACAATTCACATGAGATGGATTGAGCATTAGCACCGCAAAAGAAGATGTGGCCAAGTCGTCGTGATGATTGCATAAGATTAGTCAAGCCTAGGCAATGACGATAGTGAGTTCGAGATCAGGAAAGGCGACTGGTACCAGGCCTTATAGACTTCCAAGGTGTAGAAGGCAAGCAACGCATCAGTGGTGCCCGATCACCCTCAGCATGAAGTGCGCTTTCTGCAGAAGAAGCTGCGACTAGAAAACCAAGAACAGAGATGGGGGAATAGATCAGTTTAAAGACAAAGTCAGAGATAACAGAATATATACCTAGGTAGAATGAGACCCAATACTATCGTACGACTCGATCTGCCATCTTAATTTACGTGTCTTCGGTCAAGTGTCGATGCAGGAAAAATAGACGTAAGTGCAAGCCCTTGTCGGAGACGTGGTAGACGTTCTGTACCAGCATATCCGCCGCACACTTTACCTAGTTACTAAGAACGAACTTGAATACAAAGGTGGCGCATAACGGCAGGACATGCTTGTCCATGCAGTCTTCAGAAACAGAGGTGTGAGCCGCGTGTGACGGAGAAGATGTCACCCTGCGATAGGATGTACGAAAAGTTATTAATTCGATCAATTAAATGGGTCCCGTTGCTCGGCCGCATTCGGTGATCGGAGATGACAGAGACTTTACACCTACTGCGCAGCGCGATAGAAAACTACAGAGTTCTTTACAGGATCGCCTTTCCATACTCTATGTGGTCGGGGATTCAAGTTGCAGCATTTCATACTTTGTTGGTAGAGAGATACAGTTGAGAAAGTGTCTAGTTTTTTGTTTGGAATGACGTAATGGACCGGAGAGGCTTCACGCTATTATGCTAGCGGCCGTCGGAGGGCCCTGAGCACCGCATGTAAGAGGAAAACGAAACACGTACAGAGATAACAGGCGTGCTCTTGCAGCTTACATCAATTTCTAACAAGAAGGTCCACAAAGACTACACGCGTTGTAGCCTTCTAGGTTTTTAATATGCTTACGCACAACTCTTGATATACGTTATTATAGTAGAGAGCGAAACAGGCACAAAAACGGCCCGATGCTAGGTTCACCCTGTCCCACTTGTGGATACGGCAGTCGCGTTGCCGGGTGCACCTTCTCGATCTCCCCGAAACCTACTAGGTTCATCGCGTGCAGAGGGGTTGGAATCTTCTCGACACGCTGGCATGACCATGCCCGCTCATCATCGAGATGTCTGAACGACGAAAACTAGTAATAGTACGTCCTCGTTCGCTTTTCGCTTGACGATGTTGTCGTGAAAGTGCTGGAGGCTTACGTTGCTAACTTATTTCCCAGGTTGGGGGTTCTCTAACTGGGCTGACAGTCGCAAACCTTTGCCAGAACGAATGCGATGTCATCCTATTGGAGCAGAACAATGCGCTCTACTCAGAAAAGCACAACGGCGGATTTTCGCTTGGACGCTGGGGCCGAAAGATATTCGAAGAATACATCCCTGCGCCTGATTTGCTTGAACGCTCTATACGCGGTGAACAGCTCTTAATATTCTCCCCAGACAACGATGAGATGGTGCCTGTGCCAGAAGAGCATCGTGTTGTAATGACTACTTGGCTCGATTTGTACCAGGTTCTACTGCGAGATGTTGTTGTAGAGTCCGAGAAAAACTGGAAAACAGCGAGCGAAGCACGTCCAACGCTCCGCATAGACGCGAATGTGGAAGACGCACAGTATGAAGATGGCAGGTGGACTATCACATATCGCTCGACAGCCACCAATCGTGTCGAGACAGAGACTGCCGACATGCTCGTCGCCGCAGACGGTGCCCAATCTACCATACGAAGGCTCACGTCACCAGGTGTGGTGCCCAGCTACGAGCAGGTCGTGGCATGGCGCGGCCGAGTGCCAGCCGATGTTTCTGTCGATGAAGAAAAGGAGATTGATGAACGAATCAAGAATGGCCTGCTTGTCTGGTACAAGATGCACGGGTCTCAATATATCATCCTGTGGGTTTTCTGCCTCAATCATTTCGATACTTGTGTTCTGACTGCTATCAGGTATGGTGTGCCAGGCTTTGGCAATGCCGATGACAACGATGATATGGTGATCGAATGGTGTTGGTATCATCCGTACGAGCAGGATACCGACCGAGACCTTGAAAATGTCATGACTACGTTCGTAGACCGAGGGCAGCATGTCAAAGGACGTGCAGAGAAATGGAAGGATTATCTTGACGCCGCCAAAAACAGCTTTCCAAAATCCATCTGGGAGATGCTCTCAAAGTGTGAGACCCCTTGGATTACCAAAGTGATTGCTGCCCCTCTGACTATGAGACCGATCTCCGTCGATGAGCTTGATGGAGACACCGACGGCGAAGAGACCGATGAAGAAAGTTGGGATCAGGGTGGTGACACGTCCGCTTCGTCACCACAATTAAAAAGGCTTTGGTTCGCCGGTGAAGCCTATGCTCCACTCCCGCCTTTCCTGGGTTCGACCTTTGAGCCTGGTGCCGAGCATGCTGTGGCCATTCTAAACCTCATCCAAGGTAAGAGCGATGAGAGAGAACTTCGGAGCTGGCAAAGTGGGGGTACAGCACAGAGGCTATGGTCGAGTAAAATGGCTGGCTGGGAAGGGATGGGCCTGCCAGACACCAGGACCTGACGTCAGGAATCTTGTGCGCAACCCCTGGAATGCGCAACCAATTTGAATACGTTCCTAGATATTGCAGAGGTTGCACCTCATGACCAGTTACAAATCCAGTTCATCTCATTGTCGCATATTTGGTTACCATTAGCCTTTTCCTCTTCTACGAGAGTAATGAGCTCGGGTATAGTATCCGCGTTCCACAAGTCGTCACTAATCGGGGCAGAAAACTGCAGATTATGCGACGAGAGCTGGTCCTGAGATTCGTCTTTATTCGACATCTGCGTTTCGCAATATATCGTCCACACATGATACAAAGTCAGCGCGAACCGTTTCAATTCCTCGATACCGATCCATATATGGGGAGCAGTGTGAGGAGTCAAAGCTGATTGCTGGTACTGCTCAAGCATACTTGGATAGCTGAACATGCCTCTCTTCAGACTGCTGTTCACAAGAGCGACCAAGATCTCATAATCGGGCGTAGGAAACTCCAATCCCGCGCTCGAGACTTGTTTCCGAGCTGTCAACGGAAGTATGGTGTTCAGGAGAATCGCTTGATAAGTGGCTATGGGCCAAGTCGTTGCCTCGTTGGTTGCATCGGAGTGAGAAACATCCCATGCGCACTAAAGGAACTCAGTAGCGATAACGGGCAAACAGGAAGGGCAATATACATACGCGTTGATGCTGAATAGATGTCATCAGCGTTTGGTGCATCTCGATCGCTGTCTCCTTTGCACCTTTTTCATTACTGAACCATAGGCCTGCCATTACCACCGAATGGACCAGTACTTGTGATTCCCTCTTCGGACGAAAACTAGACTTATGAAGGAACGACCATGTTGGGTGGAACTCAGTGAAGTAAAAGGCTATGTACTTGTCAAGCTCGGTCATTTCCTGGTCCAGGTTAAAGGATGCGATTTGGCTAGGGGTCGAGTGTGTCTGTAGCGTTCGCTGTGGTTGATCAGATGTAGCCGAGGTACCATAAGAACATGATAGCCCTCGTTGCAAGCATGAATGACACGGTGTACCCATGCTACATTGTATTTTTCGAGCCTTGCAGTGGTCGCAAGCCCGAAGCGCTCGGGATCGGAACGACTCCTTGCCCTCGTGGTATCGTGAAATATGACGAACTAAAGTGTCGCTGGAATCTCTAGGCGTTAATGCTACGCAAGAGAATAAGAAGCAAAAACACACACCTTCGACCGACCACAGTCGTGCAGTATGGGCATTTGAATTCCTTTGGTTTAAGATGCTTCTTCAAGTGGCGATTAAGATGTTCTCGTCGCTGGTAACTCGAAGTGCATTCAGGCCACGAACACTGGAACAGGGCAATATCAGGGTTTGAGGCCATCTCGTTGCTTTGGGTTGAATGTCTTGATGTTGAAAGATGCAGGGGAATGTGCAAGATGCAAAGACACATAGATCGAATGGCTGGATGACAAACACTCTTGTAGCTGTATCTAGCCTAGTGGCGGACCGGTCTCGGCTGCCGTATGCCCGAGATGTTCTCTCCGAGCACCGATTAAGGGGATCTGAGCCTTGCAAGAACCCTAAAAACAGCGGGAAGTCAGCCCTGATATCGATGATTTGATCCCACAAAACCAACAGCTCATGTTTCTAATTGACTAGTCACGATGCCAACACACGACTTAACGCAGAAAAAGCCATCAGACGACTGAGGGAGAACCCGCTGCACACGACAGCTACACTTGCTGCGGTTGACAGAACGATCGCGACACCTGAGCTCTGACGCCCAGCGTAGCTAAGTCTATGCTATCCGCAGGCGACAGGCGTGAACGCTTGATTTGAAGCCGCGCCGATCTGTATAGAGCGCGCCATCAGCACACGGATGCCAGCCCATTGAAAGATCTCGAGGATCTCATCATGCATGAAACACTAGATATCCCATGAGAAGAACAGCATACCCATGACCTCAGCTCCGTACGCAACTTTTGTCTTATCTTCCTAATTGAAGCATACAAGGATACTGGAACATATCACGCAGAAACCATATCCCCCAGCTGTGAAAGGACACAAGAGCAGATATAGTCTCACGGTTGAAGGCGTCATACTATGGGAATCAGGCTGTGCAACAGATTATCTGGATTGCGGCCAGGCTGAAAAGGTCTGGTAGAACGAAACTTCTGCACCGAGCAAAACGAAGAATCCAGTCGTGACAACTCTCTTGCTTCAATTGATCGGTGGCTATTGTCTTTGCCCCAACGCTTCGACAATGCGCCGAATGCATTCAGTTACTAGTTCTTCTCGTTGAGTGAAGACCATGCGGAACCAGCCTGGCTCTTCTGCACCTACGGCGTCCCCGGGAACCAGGTATACCCTTTTCGCCCGCAACCTATCTTGGATTATTTGTGTGCTTTCTGGCCCAGAGTATACCCGCATCTCTTTCTCTCCTAAGGATGTCTTCTCGCGCACAAACTTGCCCAGATTGATCCATAGAAAGAAAGCGGCATTGGCACCAGGCATGTGCTCAATGCCATGCTCTCGAAGAGCACGAACAGTTTGTTCATATGCAGCCGAGAGACGCGCTTGGTTTGTCGCGATGTAGCTCTCGACAAATGACGTATCGGATAAAAGGTGCACAACAGCGTTTTCTGTGAGAGATGACGCCGAGGAGTATAGGCTGCATGTTCGCAATGCATTAAGAAAAGCTGGGTTGGACTGTGAGATGACGGCACCCAGCCTTATTCCATTTGCGCCAAAATCTTTTGACACACCCCACAGAACATGAACCAGCGAAGGATCAATGATGTCCTTGCCACTGATTGACAAAACGGATTCAAAACCGGCGCGTTCGTGAGCTATGTCGTCAACGGTATTTTTCCATATGGAAAGTGCGTAGATCTCGTCGCTGATAAGGTGAATCTGGTACTTCTGACACAGTCTCATCAGCCCAATGAGCGTATCTCTTGGATAGCATCTTCCGAGAGGATTATGTGGATGACACAACATGAGTGCTCGAACCGGCACACCCTGTTTGTTCGATCTCAGCAGCGCTTCTTCGTACTTTTCCACACAGTCTGAGTTGCAGGGATCGACGTCTCCGAATGCTACCGGAACAATTTGGACTCCTGTCCTCATACCTATATCTGGTAGGAATGCGCGATAGTATGGGCGTCCAAGCAAGATACCCTCCCCGGGATTAGCGAGAGTCCAGGCGCAATGCTCGATCGCTGATGAAACTCCGTTCGTGATGAAGATGTTCTCAGGCTTTAGCTCCTGTGTCGAGCGAAAATGGGTGCTCAAGAATGACGCGATTGCAGCTTTGACCCGCTTAGACCCTTGTGGGCCCTCTCCGTAGGTGAGTCCTTGGGCTGTGTCATCGACTAGTCGTTTTGAGTTGAGAAAGTCCGATAGTTCGTTGTGCATCAAGCTGTTCTCTGCAAGACCGAGAGACACATAGCCTTCAGGATTCGTCTTTGGGTCCCACATATTCGTGATTATGTCCCATATTTCCTGCACAGGTATTAAACAAAAGAGCATGTTTCAGAAGATATGATACGCACGAAGTCTTTGGCTCCCGTTGTACTTGCATGGCTACCGCGTTCGGAGAGCTTCGAGGTCGACATAGCGCCTGGAGATCGTTTTGGATTGTTTGGTCTAATAAAGATGTGTGTCGAGAATGAAGTTCGAGTGATGACATTCCAGATGAAGGAACAATGAAGTTGTTATAGTCAAGGGTCATAACTGGGTCAGATCCGAGGTCGGCAAGCCAGTGGTGTGATTGGTTACCTAGGCACTGCCGTGACATCAACCAAGTAAGTCACGCCCTTCCAAGTTTGTTGACATCCCTGGATCTATATCCGCCGTTTCTAAAAGTAGCTATATCATCAACCCAAATTGTGCCCAGGTTCGTGATGGCGCAGTGACCTTCGACATTCGTGCATCTTACTAGCGCTCGCGATGCCAAGCAGTCCTGACTGCGTAGGTAGCGTCGGCATCCCACCCCGCCTGATCGGTGGCTCCACTTCTGCTCTCTAGCTCCGGCATCCCACCCAACCTGTTTCGTCACCTCAACATCTCCTGGGTTCAGCTTCGGCATCCCACAAGGCGTGTTCTGTGACTCAGAGTCCGACTAGTTCTTCCGACTATGCGCAGAACTTTCGCGAAGTGTTATTGTTTGCAACTAATTGTGTTCTCGATAAGTGAGTGGCGCAGGGCAGGGACGAACGATGCTATTACAAAGGCTTCACGGCTCCAAAGACTTTGTGCCTTAGGAAGCGAGAGCTGGGAACTTGGATGGATTCTCGAATGATTGTATTCGGCCACATGGCAATACAGCACGACAAGTACACAAACGTCCTCCACTCTCATATGACGTCTGCGCCATGTATACCTTGTAAACGTCTAGTAGCTTGCCATCGGCCGCGGCGCTTCATCGCACAACACTGGAACCTCGCCTCTACTCTCGCTCTGCTCAGCCTTCTCAATCATCCTCCTGTAAGCCGGCCTGTGTGAGACGTTTTCAAGCCATCTCTTAATACCGCTATAACCCAACAGAGGAAAAGGAGTAAACAGCCGCATAGTCGTGACGATAAAGACAGCATACACGTCTGCAGCGGTGAAATCCTCGCCTGCAAGCCATGTGTACTGCATCAGGCGCTGGTCCATCATCTCAAGTGAATTCGTTATTTTCTGCTTGAGGACTTGCAGAACAGGGTGAGTCTCTTCGACGCCAGCCTTAACGATATAGATGAGAGTCATTGTCGTGCTCTGAAATGTTCCGATACCCCAGTGGTACCAAAAGGCGTAGTCTGAGAAGTTCGGTACATTGCTCGAAACCGAGAGCGCACCGTTGCCATACTGGCCCATAAGGTAGTCCATGATGGCACCAGACTCCGAGATGGTGACGTCGCCATCTTGGATCACGGGTGCTGTACCGGTAGGATGACTGAGGATTAAGCTAGCGTCTACAAGATTGCTGAGCTTTCAAAAGGCGAGGAAAGTGACGTGTTACATTGCTTTGAGATTCAAGGGCGCTCCTAAGCTAGCACGCTCACGCTGATAGATCTTCAGCTCATAGTCGATGCCGAGTTCCTCGCAGAGCCAAACAATCCGTTCAGATTGTGAGCGTTAGAGGTGATACACCGTCAGAACCATGTTGAGATGTTTGACGTGAATGGTGATGGAGTCAAAATATTGCTTAACAAGACAGCAAACAACGAAATCAAAAACTGCAAGGTTATATAAAGCCCTATACCGGTGGGATGCCGTCGTATCGGTGCCTACGCGTCTTGAACCCGAGTTATATGCGTTCTCGGAGAGGTGACAGATGCCGGCAAGCCCAGATCAACGGATGGATAGGTTCCGAACGGATGCCAACTTGAATTAACGAGCAGCGGCATCCCACCAGTCTCTCACCCCAAGAACTGGTTGTACACAAGGCTAGATAGCTCTGTGAAATTAGCACAAGATGAGCTACATATTTGAGTCTACATCACATTAGGTATCATTACAAGATGCGCGTTTGTCAAAAGCTGCATCCACGACCGAGAAAACTATGAGTGTAAGGGAGTATTGCGACTATAGAAGGTAGAGTCTTCATATCGACGCATCAAACGATGCGCATTTCCAAAACTTCTACATGATTTGGTCATTAGACAATTAGGTCTCACGCAGAACCTATTTGAAAAGCTAGCTGTAGACCACACGAGCTCGATTACGACAGTGCGATCCTGTCTTTTCGATTTTTTTCTGTCAACTCCACACTACTTAGTGATACTCCCGCAAGACGTCTGCCGTTGCTGTTTCAAACGCTTTGCTCGGACAGGATTTCCCTAATGTAGTCTTCGAAGGATCTCGTCTTTATGTTTAGATAGAGATTATTCCCATCGACATAGCCCAAGTACTTGGCATGATCATCAGTGTTCTCGCTGCGAATTTCCCACGAGTACCAACACCGATGAACAACCTTCTGGGGAAATTTGTCGTTGCTCAGGTCGCGAGAATCCCCAAACTTGTTGATGCTCTCAAGAAGTTCGTCTCCGGAGATCTTGACACAGATGTATTGGCAGGATTCTTAGTGGAAGAGGACGGGCAAAAAGGTACGGTGCTTATATAACGGCGCGAAATTCTCTCGTTGCTAATCTTCTCTAGAAGACCATAGATCTTTGTCACAGTGGTCATCTCAGAATACACGAAGACCTGCTGATTCAAAGTCAGAGGGTCAGCGATAATGCGAGCGACGAATTTTCCAATGTCGCGATTGTCAGTAAATGTTGATGGCACGTTGCCGTCTCCAGGAATGCGTATATCCAAGCCACTGTGAGCATAATCGATACGCACAGAGGGCAACTTTGGCAGACTGAACTAGAACCACCAGCCGACATCAACGATGGTGTAAGCCAGATTGCCTACTTTGCCCCTAAGATCCACTAGCCCCTTGGGTGTTGCTACTGGAGCAAAGAAGCAAGGCGCGAAACGCTTGACTCCTGTTACCTTGGCAGCATTCGTGAGAGAAATTTGCCTCATCGTGGCGGGAATGCTGATAGCGGCGATGACTACATCTTGGCCTTGTAGCTGCTGACCTAGTTTGCCTTCAGAGGCGTCCAAGTCGGCCGCTTAGATGGTGATGCCTTTTATCTTGAGATCGACCACATCGGGCTTCTCGAGTGAGGAAGGTCGTACTAGAGCCGTGGTTTCCTAAGAGTTACTAGATTAGGCCTGTGTGCCGTGGAATAAAGAGCGAGATTCTTCTGAGAAATCTAACATACAAACTTGATTTCTGTCAAGGACAGTAGGCCATTCACGATTGATCGGCCTGTAGTGCCGCTGGCACCAAGAATAGCGACCTTCATGTTTGAAAGTATATGAACACTTGACTGTAAGGATGGGTAATGTAGCCATTGCGTAGGCTATGAACATATTTATACCGGTAACAGGAGGAGATTCAGAAATTAACGCTGCTTTGATAGTCAGTATATTGCGTATTACCAAGCTCGATGAGCGCAAGACGCAGATGTCTGACGAAGACGATGACTAACAGCTCCTGATGAGCACCGGTATTCCACCAACGCTAAACCCGTCAAATATGGCAGCGAAGGGTGCTAGCATCTCGTAAGGTATTATGTACTCCGTGTTAAAAACATACCACGCAGATGTCGCTAGGAACTAAACTTCGTTTGTGGACCTTATGGTGCCTGGTGCATCATCAAGCATATTGATTTGCATTACGATCCCTAATTTACTTATGCCTCCTTGATCAACTTTCGTGTCGCACTCTCCATCCAGAGCTTTGTATACAACCTATGTAGCCACTGGATGGCGCCAGGCTGCGGTTGGTTGTTCTTACCATCTGGAGTTGTGTCTACGAAAACAGACTTGAGGTGGAAGGTAGCGATCTGCGCTTCGTCGTCTTTCGAGACCTCCATCGAGAACAAACCGTCTGAAGGTCGGTGGTCGGTAACGAGTGGTGAATCTCCGCATCGCACAATTACCTAGAAAACACGCCGAGTCAGTTGAATTCTCACATTAAAAAAGAATCGCGCAAACTCACCTTCTCATCTGTATGTTCCACAACCTCGAAATGATCAACAATGCCAGTGCCGACCTTGTAATCGTTCCTCTCCAGCTGCTTCACATCCCAAAGCTGCTTCTCCCTGCCCTCCATCGCGCGGTACTTCCTCTCCAAAAACCTTCTTTGGACCCTGAATGCAACACCGCTCCAGATGCCCCTACAGAAATCCGTCGCCAGTGCCGGTTGGTCGACAGATATCCTGCCCCCGCTACCCTTTACCCAGTACTTTTCCGGCAGCTTGCCATACGGAACCTCTTTTATGGCATGATCTATGCACACCGGTGGGTTTCCGTGGGGGTTGTGCGCGCGGAAGACGCTGGTGGTGAGGTCAGGCGATGAGGTGTCGTAAGGGACGAATTTGGTGTTGCGCGTGTAGAAGGAGGATACCGAGTAGGCAAGAAGGGCATTGGCACCTAGACCGCCGGTTATGCCCACGAGGATGCCGAAGAAGCGTTTTGGGCCTGATAGACGTTTTATTTGCGGAGGAGGCGAGATTGTGTTCATGGTGGCGGTGGGTGGAGCACCAGGCCGTAGGGGAGGAATTGGTGGTCAGGGCCCTGTGTAGTGTGAAGGAGACGAGGACAGCTCAGGCAACGAGGGGTGTCGCGTGGGATGTGTCAAGGTCGGAGGATTTGGTGTTGCGGAGCTTGGACCTTCGGTTCGCGGCTTGCATGCATTTGGGATACCGAAGGTTTGTCGGCAAATGCTCCATCTCTCAAACACCGACGTCGAAATCCCCCGAGGTTGTTACTCCAGAGCCAATGCAATAATTTGTTCAACTTTGTACACGATTACATTAATATCTACTAAAGCTCTACTAGTGCAAATGCGCAAGTGCGATGCCAGAATACGCGCTATCCGTCTCATAAACCTTCTTCTTGTTACCTCCGTCCATATCGAATCTGTACACTGTACCACCCAGATCCGTCAAATAAACATGTCGGTTGACGGCGTCGATCTTCAGTCCAATTGGTTCGTGGAAATGTCTCGCTAGCGTTGTGACACCTCTTTCCTCCTTCATTCCAGCCTCTGCGCCTGCTTCGCTACCTACATACGCCTTGTTCAACGTGTTACCAAGCGGGTATTCGCCGCGATCTGTCCAGTACAGTGTTTGGCTTTCAGGCTCGAACTCCAGGTCAATAGGCTCAGGAAGGCTATCAAAAAGCAACTCTATATCCGAACGGGAGGATGCTGTCTCGCCATTTGGCATCTGCATGTTTGCGCGGAAGATGCGGCCTTTGCCACCCTTCGACGGACCCTTCTGCGACCAGTAGAACTTTCCTGCCTGAGGGTCGATGGCGATACCAACACACCACTTTGTCTGGTCCTCGCCGGCCGCCGAGTTGGCATCGCCTGTTTGCACGATAATCTCGTGATTGCTGCCGTCAAAGTCACATCGGTGGACTCGGAGACCCTCACGGTCACAGATGTACAACTTCTTGTTGTCATGGTCGATCTTGAGCTGCTTGGGTGTGTGTATCTGACCTTCCGGAATGACAGGTCGAACATCAGAGCCGTCGAGGTTCGCGGACATGACACTGCCGTTGTTCTTGGATGGAGAGGCACCCATGTTCGTCCAGAAAATGCGGCCAGCAGAGATGGATACATCGATACCATCCGGCATAGCTTGACCGCCAACGATCTCGCGCACGTTACTTCCGTCTGCTGAAGCTGTCATGATCTTGCCAGATGTAACAACCTTTTGCAGATCAGTGACATTGCCTCCAATGCCGATGTCTAGGAAGTACAGTCTAGGTGCTGCAAGGTTGTCGTGATGGCCACTCTCATCCTTGGAGCTGCGAGTAGTCTCGCCTGCCGGGTACAAACCACCCTTTCCAGACTTTGCACCTAGCTTGCCCTTCTCGACAAAGTTTTTTTGAACCCAGTCGCGCGCTGTTGGATCGCCTCCGCGCTCCTGAACATAGTTGTTTTCGATGAATGCAACTGTGTCCAACCCTACCGCGTCCATCATCCCGCAAGGTCCAACCGGGTTATTCTTGAACATGGTCAGGAACAGTCTGTCAATCTCTTCCGGCTCCGAAACGCCTTCTGCCATGATAAGCAAACTCTCCCTCTTGATGGCAGCCCACAGTCGGTTGAAGATGAAGCCAGTCGATTCCTTGCGCGCAATAGCCGGCTGCATACCCGCATCGTTGAGCTTGCTCTGCAAGAAAGGCAGAATATCCCCATGTGTCTCGCCGCAGGTCATGAGCTCGACAACGTTGTTACCTGGTGGCATATAGTAGTGCATATTACACACTCGATGCCGATTACCCGCATCCACCTTGTCAAGCATAAATCGTGACTTGTAAGATGACGAGTTGGAAGCGAGAATACAATCCTTCGGTGCTTGCTGCTGAAGCTGGCCCATGATGTCAATCTTTAACGGAAGCTTCTCTGGTAACGCTTCAACCACTAACCACGCATCCTTGACCGCCTCTTTGATGTCTTTGACGGTAGTAAAGTTGCTTCGTTTCCTGGAGTTCTCGGTAAGTTTCGAGAACTCGTCCATATGGTGTTCGAGGTAGTGTGTTGCAGCGTTTCTCTGCTCGTCGCTAAGATCGCATAAAACAACTTCGTAGCCAGCAGCAACCCACGAAGCAGCAATTCGTCGACCCAAGACTCCTCCACCCAACACAGCGATTGGTCTTGATGATGTGTCTGGTGCCGTCCATTGTGGTTGGGTATTGCTAGATACAGATCGTATTTGCGTGTTCGACATGGTAGAGTAAGGTAAAGGTGTTGAGCGGGTGTGAAAAGATGACTTGTTCATTGTCAAACTTGGTGTCCGAGTTGTTATACGCGTCCCCAAACACCGCGACGTCGCATAGCTCACAGGAGGCTCGGCCGAGATTCTCCGAACGCCCTTCGGTAGTCGTCGTACGCATAGAGACATCGTCGCTAAAGGCGTGTTTCTGGTTTAGGTAATGACTCTTGCTGTTGGGGTGTTGCTGGTTCTGTAACTACGAAGCGCATCTAGATGCATGATGTATATACTTGGTAGCCGCTAATGCTTCATGTAGGTGTTACGTCACTGCTCAGCAACTGTAGACATCCGTGCAGTGCCGATCTAGCCTAGACGTCATTCTGACTGTGCTTTTTTGTCGTGCGAGATGTGCTCGGAAGTTGAAAGTACGCACAGCTTGTTGGGTAGAAAGGTGTCGGCCGAGGTATTGCTGGGTCTGGATAACTTTTGAAAAGAGCAAACTTCAAAAATACTGCGAGCATCGTGAACATCGGAGACTTTACAGACGCACGTGAGGGATGGAAACTGAATTCATCAGTTGATGGAATAGTCAACTTTGGCAGCTTCAATGCCTACGAAAGATTATGGAAAGATATCTAAAACAAGTCCTGAATAGTGCCCAGTCTACGACAACTCCACCAGTAATACCACTGCCGCCACCCCTGCAGACCCTAGAATCCATTGTCGAATGAAACTCAAACGAAAAGATCACTGGAAAGTGAAAATCTCATCCTGCGGCTTGGAGATCTTGCCAGGTGCCTTAAAGCCGCGTTCTTGCAGATAGTTGATCATGGAATCCATCATAGGATCCGGCCCGCAAACAAGAACCTTGGAGTCCATACCAGCTGGTGCAGGGAGACGCTCCTCAATCATCTTCTTACTAATCCGACCCTTTTCTCCTTTCCAGCTCTCCGATGGGTTGCTCAAAACGTAGTGAACCTTGAACTGGTCGTGCTTCTCGGCGAACTTGTCAAGTTCATCCTTGAGCAAAATGTCGGCTTCAGTCTTGTTGGCGTATAGTAAGGTCGTCTTGGTGTTGTCGCGGGGGTCTTCACAGATGCGGCGGATGAGCTGGAACATGGGTGTGATACCAGTGCCACCAGCGATCATTCCAAGTTCCTTTACAAGATTCTTGTGGTACTTCATCTCGCCCTTTGGTCCTCGAATCTCGACAGTGTCGCCAATGTTCAGTTTGCTCAAATAGGGTGTCAATTTGCCGCCCTCGTAAACCTTGATGGTGAGTTCCAGGCGGCCGCGGTCTTTGTTGCTGGATGTTGGCGTGTATGATCGTGCAAACTGCTTTCCATCTATTTCGTGCCTGATTGCGATGTGCTGGCCAGTGGGTAAACCAAGAACAGAGTTTTCATTGGGCAGGCCAAAGACAAAGCGGATAGTGTCGTGAGAAATGTTGAACTTGTCGATCAATGGAAAGGGCTGGTAAACACGAGCGTTGAGAACACCAAGGTTGATGTCCTTCTTCCTCGATGGTTTTGACGAAGTTGACTTGGCTTTGAAATGTGCTGGGTAGGATTGGAAGTCCTTGTGCGCGACGTCGAAGCTCTTCGTTGCCCATAGACTGGCATATCCAGCCAAAGCCATGCTGGCAAGAGAAGAGACAGCGAATCCCTTCCAGAACCCAGCGCTCTGGAATCGGTGCAGGAGCGGAGAAAATCTTCGACCGGCTACGATGGAGAGTACGACAGATGCGAGACCAAAGCCGAGCGCTGAAAGATGGAAGCGATACGACTTTGGCACAGGCAGATTGTTCACAACATGAACTCTGCTGGGAATAATGGTGGGCATTTTCGCGGCTTCATGGTCGGTCCAGTCCTCGTCTGCGATACGTCCAATGCGGAAGTTTTCGAGAATTTCTCTGGCGTCTGTGGAGTGACCGATATCCTCGTATGCGGTAGTCGCATCTGTGCCAGCGTTTTCGAGCAGGAACTCCTTACCACCAGGATGGTCTTCTTGGTAGTCTGTTACATCGTAGACGTGATTCCACAAGGTGACCCAAAGGTCAGTCTTGCTGGTATGCTTCGCTACCTCCTGAAGAGTGTATACACCGTCGGCCATGGTGTTGTGTGAATTGAATGAGATGGATGCGTTCAGTCACTAAGGGGGCGCTGAGAAGGTCAATGGCAACGGTGAAAGCCTTTGGCCAAGACCCTTCATCGTCGCCATAGCTTCATGCAGCAAACGTGCAACGGCCATACCGATCCACTACGTAGGCGCGACCGAGGTGTCGGACATGAGCAGTATCAAGATCTGTTGATGCGCCATGACAAATGACAGCGCTATTACAGCGACTACCACGAAGTGTCCGATGTTAGTGGAGCCAAGCCCCCACTTACCTCGGCACTTTGTGAGCTTAAACCAATCAAGCCTCCGCTGATAATCGGAGCTGCGACAAGGCGACTGGCTTCTTCCAAGCCTTACGCGCAATGATATCGCTGAAACGGTACCACAACAAAATTTCGATCAACGCTCGGCCGGGCTATTCGCACGACGTGCATTTTTTGCTTTACATTGGCGCGCATTGGGCCCCTCGGCGATTTTCGTACGACCACGCCTGCGCCAGTTGCTGGTCAGTGGCGATGCGTCATATTTGCACCCTAGGCACAGCGCCTGCAGATGCTGGGTTGTTGCGAAAAGGGTATACGTAGTTTGATGTGCTTTCATTTAGTCTTGTTGTAGTCCTGTTGACTGTGCGACATCTTCAAACTTCACTGCATCGCAATTATGACTATCAAAAGTTTTTACCTTGTTGGGCAAGACAAAAATGTCTTTCGCCAGGACATTCACATCGATCAGTATCATGACTTTGAAGCGCTGCAAGTCGCTGTAGCCGAGCAATACAACATCATCCAATCTACAGGTAGGCACACTCACCATTGAGCCGGACTCAACCTTACATTCCACCAGGTATCGCGCTGCAAGATTCCAAGGGAGATGATCTCCCAGACCTGGACGCTGTGTTGGACTGCGATGAAGAGATTGGCATTACTGTTGATGGTCAAGCCATTCGGGATCCCGCAGGCCCAGAGGGTCTTCCTTTCGTTGGAAGCTACTACGAGGTCTTCCCCGATCACCTTGTGAGTCGAATCTAACAAGACTGCGAACACCCATTAACATCTTTCAGGGGAACCATGCACGTCTTTTCCAAAAGTATGGATCATTGATCAAGTACGAGACGATGGGCAAGCAGAATTACTTGACCAATGACCCTGCTATCGCGACCGTGGCTTTCCAAGAGTCTGCGTTCTTCAGCAAGCACATTACTCCTGAGCATCCTTTGGCCGGTATCAAGGATAACAGAGCACTGTTTATTTGCGATACTGACACCGATGCATGGAGGCAAGCGCACAAGTTCATCCCGCCTTCCATGGCACCAAAGGCAATTAGACATTACACACCCTTGATGGAGGCCTCAGTAAAAGACTCGTTCAAGGTTTTCGACAAGCTTGATGAAGAAGGCGAAGCTTGGAATGTGTACCAATACATGTTGAAGCTTGCGTCTCAAACAGTCTTCAAGTTCGCGCTGGGATATGACGCCCATCATTTCGATAACCCAGACTCACCGCTGAGCGAGCTGGTCATCTTGATCGCTCAGTCACTCTCTTTGAACAAGAAGGTTGCCTCAAGAGGTGCTTGGTATGCGAAGCTCAGCGCTATTCCGTTCACAGCTGCGTATGACTTGGACAAGATTCGGTACAGGCTATGGACCATCCTCAACCAAGCGATCGATCAAGCACCAAAAGGAAGCAGCGAAGAAGATCTACCTTTGCATTCCGCAGCTCTAGGAGCCAGCTGTGTAGTTGACTACCTGAAGCGCGCCACCGATGACAACGGCAACAAGCTACCCCGAGAGCTTGTCATCCCCAATATGCTTCCCATTTCTGGTGCCGGCTTCACCACAACCTCGTCACTTCTATCATGGCTACTCTACTCCCTTTGTGTTTACGAGGGCAACCAAGACCGCCTTCTTCAAGAACTCGTCGACGCTGGCGTAAATGAGAACACAAAATGGACTCCAGAGCTCTCCGACGGCCTGACCTTCCTTGACAAGTTCGTCAAAGAGACTCAACGTCTTCACAACCCCTCTTTCCAACCTGGACGCACAGCAAAGGTCGATTGTATCGTCCCTGGCGGCTACAAGCTGCCTGCAGGATCCGTCGTGATCTGCGCCCTACACGCCATCCACAACAACCCACAGATCTGGTCGAACCCTGACCGATTCGACCCTGACCGCTGGGGTACCGAAGAGGTTTCCAACCGACCAAAGAACTCATACATGCCCTTCGCCACTGGCCCGCGTAGTTGCATTGGTTTCAACTTTGCGCTTGGAGAGGTTAAGGTACTGTTGCCGGAGTTGGTGTACAGGTACGAGTTCTTCAAGGAGGGTGAGGAGGCGGTATCATATGACCCTGAGTTCCAGCTCATCAGGCCGATGAACTTTTACGTTAGAGCAAAGAGGAGGACAAGTTACCCTAAGCCGACTCCTGGCGCGAAGAAGATCGCCGTGGAGTATGCCGAGGGCGAAGAGAAGCCGCCAATTTAGGTGAAAGACTTTATTTAGAATTCTGTGCCGGGTTGACTGGCGGATAATACTATTAATTTTTCTTCACTGCTTCTTTTACAAGATGCTATCCGCATGAGAATATAGTGATCATCACAGTGCTACCGATTATAATTTGATTACGAGCTATAACGTAATCATGGTTTGATCAATTCGATATGCCAGATATTCCATTGGCGTCATGGCCATCTCAGTCATCATATACAAACTATCAACTTCTGAACAACATCAGTCCAGCCTCCTCAGCATCGACACCAGCCTCCTCCTCACTCTCCACGTCATCATTCTCTCCAAGCCCCAACCTTTGCCCGAACAAACTACTGAACAATTCATCCCTCTGCCTATCACCCCATTCGCCTCTCTCTTCGGGTGCCATGAAGTTCTGCAGCTTCTCCTGCACAGTGTATCGTAGCCTTCTGCCCTTGCTAGCCTTTGTATCAACAACCTTCTTCGTCTTGGCTTCGCGAGCAACCTGCCAGGGCGCTTGTACGACGAACTCGGCGGTTCCGTTCGCGTTGAGATCGGCTGAGCGTTGTTCGAGAAGCTCTTTGAGCATAAGACCATAGAAATCGGCGTCATCGTAGATTGCGGGGTCGGGCTGAACAGCTTTGCCAGAGGACTGGAGGGGCGCACAGGAACGTGGGGTTTGGGTACGGGTCACCAGGTGCGATGATGTCAGCTGGGAGTCGAGGACTTCCGTCAGGGTCTGTTGCGCGGATGCGTTGAGGCGTGCCTTGTTGTTCGTGACGGTTGTCGCTTTCGTCTTGTTTGACCAGCGTTCAAGGACGGCTTTGCGGTGCGGGAGGGTGGTCTTTTCGCTGTCTTGGATATTCGCCCAGATCTCAGATGACGGCGTCGTGGAATCGAATGCCGTGCGCTTCCGCTTCTGGCCTGTCCGCGACTCCTCCAGAGAAAGTCGGAGGTTCGTGAGATTGTTCAGAAGAGTTAGAGCAGCGGCCTCGGCTGCCTCAATGGGCGCATCTTGCGCAGTCTCCGTCTTGTAAGGCTCTGCAGCCATGGAGTTTGTGGAAATCAGCGCCTTTTGTAGTCGAATGCGCGAGTTAAGTAACGTGTCGAATGTCTTCCGCTGGGTCTTGACAGCTTCTCCCTTTGCTACGTCGTTCTGCGTACCGGCGGCAATTGTCGACGTGAACGACTTGTTCGCAGACATGAGATCGCGAATGGTAGACGCGTCAGGCTTGGCTTCGTCGCCGGACTTTTCGTCTTCCGAGTCTTCGGCTTCATTGGCATCGTCGTCACTTCCGCTCTCTTCTGCGCTTCCCATTTCCTCGTCTTCGTCGCTCATATCCTCGTCGAAGTCGCCGTTTGAGTCTTCCTCGGCGCTGTCGTCTTCGTCGCCAAGCTCTATTCCATTCATACCATCTTCAATCTCGTCGTCGCTCGCTTCACTGTCCTCATCATCGAAGCCTCTAGCGAACGGGTCATCGCTATCGCTGTCTTCGAGCGCTTTGCGATCCACCTTGCGCCCAGTGTATTCCGCACCGAGTGGTACCTCAACTGGCTTCCTCAGCTTACTCTTTCCGACAGAAGTGTAATGTTCGCGCCCGGCATTGTCATCTTCATTTTCTGAGAGGCTTGCATCGGAGCGCTCGTCTTCGCTGGAGCTCGGCGCAGGGTCAAGAAGCGACTCAGGGTCGAAATCTGTTGATCGTGTGAGTGTTATCCTGCATCGCATCCATCTGGAGCTCTTACCTCTAATCTTGGACTTTCCCATGGCGTATAGGTAATCTGTCGTGCGTGTTGCTGGCAGATCGTGTACGAAGAGAAAGTTCACTTTGCCCCACAAAAAAGTTCAATGCCATCGGCGTTTCATTTCACCGATGCGCGTCACCTCCGCGATCAACTCCGCAAACCCATCTTAATCACGACAGAATGTTGAAGCCACGATTGTTCTCGACATTACGCTGTCTCCAGCATGAGAACCCTCTCGTATGACTATTACCTCCATCGCATATGGCGCATTGGCTGATGTCATGCGCAGGGTCTTCCACGCTCAGGCGCGCCTCCGCAGATGCCTCGGATGCAGCGAGGATTGCCACAGAAGAGGAACATCAAAGATGTGAAGAAAGTGATCGCTGTTTCATCAGCAAAGGGCGGCGTTGGAAAGAGTACCATTGCCGGTATGCTCCGCCGTTGGAGACTTGGCCAACATGAGAAATCTAAAACTATCACGCAGTGAATCTGGCCTTGAGCTTCGCCCGCCGTGGTTACAAAGCTGGAATACTTGATACCGATATCTTTGGCCCGTCGATACCAACCTTACTCAACCTGTCCGGCGAACCGAGACTTTCAGCCAGTCAGTCCGTGAACCAGTCCATCGTACAAACCACCTCTAACGATTGGTCCAGACAATCAACTATTACCACTGTCTAACTATGGTCTCAAATCCATGTCCATGGGCTATCTTATTCCAGAATCATCACCAGTAGCATGGCGAGGCCTTATGGTAATGAAAGCCCTGCAGCAACTACTACACGAAGTAGAGTGGGGAGGCCTGGACGTCCTGGTCCTTGACATGCCCCCCGGCACAGGTGATGTCCAGCTCACCATCACCCAACAGCTTGTTTTAGATGGTGCGCTCATCGTATCCACACCCCAGGATCTGTCCCTGAAGGATGCAGTGAAAGGTGTCGAGCTCTTCCGCAAAGTCGATGTAAAGCTCCTGGGTCTTGTCTGCAATATGGCGGGCTTCAAATGCCCTGGTTGCGGCGACGTACATGAAGTATTTGGAAATATGAAGAAGATCAGAGCCATGTGCGGGAAATATGAATTGAACATGTTGGGCGAGATTCCGCTACATGCTAGCATCAGCGACGATGCTGATCGCGGGAAACCGACTGTGGTAGCAGAGCCGGACGGGGAGCGAGCAATGGCGTTTGGGAAGATTGCACAGGAAGTCGAGGGTCTCATCGGGCTGGGGCGTTAACCGTCTGACAATGAAAGTTGCTACTACAGAAATTCCGAGACTGTGACTATCTGACTCAATTCCTCTGCAAGTCCACTGTCGGTATTGGCATGTCTCGTTGTGAAAGGTAGATTTCTAGACAATTATGCCTCTCTGGATCTATCTTGGGGCCACCATTACGGAAATTGAGGTATCTGCATTGCCTGCGATGACGTACTTGCAGGACGCAACACGCTAATACGGGCGTGCACGATCGTCGCACGTACAGGCAATAGCCCTCACGACATCAGTCTTCCTTCCTTATGTCCGTCGAGATACAACGTTCACGCTCCACATGTGCAGCAGCTCCATTCAACAACGAAACCCTCCCTGCGCGAAGACACTGTGCTACTACTTGGGGCGCACGCAATCGTCTCACTATGCCGCGCTGTTACGCGTCCTATTGTACGCGGTGGAACTGACCTAGCGACGCGCCATGAAGCAATCAATATTTGAGCTGTCCTTGGAAGAGTCCCAGCTGTATTCTCCATGGTCTTTAGATCATTTGACGATGTTCATATGCTGTATACTATCGTAATGACACACGCTTACAGATTGCTCAGACGTAACCACTTCACTGATTCATTATTCAAATTCCAGCCAAGCCGCGCGTCCGCATTGAGTACGTATTCAAGAGCTGTGTATAAGCTAAGAGGGTTGAGTAACAAATGAACGGTGGTTGCTCTAGGCGTAAAATAGACGACCGGTTTGGTTTAGCGACCTCGCCACTGCCTGAAAAGATGTACCCCGCAACAACCCCGCGCAGTATCCGACCAAGTTGTTGATCGGTGTTCAATACTAAGGTAGTGACTGTGCGTCCCGTTGTATGCTGTTCTGCTCATTGGTGCGCCGCGTAGCCTGTGTGAGGTCACACGAGGCTGTCAGCACTGGCGACTCATATACCCGATACCCGACGTAAAAGATCGAATGATGTAGGATCGAATCTGGACAAATATGCGCCAGCATTATTAGCTGCGGCCGCCGCATAGAACTGAAATATATATGCCTACCTGCATACTTAGTTCGACATAAATTGGGCTATATCGTAATACAGATTTCTTTCACAGCCTCACACCCACTTGATCACGACTTCTCCGTTCGACCACCCTCACCATGGCGCCAGATCTTAACGCAATAGGAAGCGGCCAGCGGTGGGACTATTCTACTCCAGGATCTGGCGGTTACAACATCCCGGACATAGTCTACGATGTACGTCGCAATGACTGGAATACTTCAGATCTGAACTGATGATCTTCAAGGACCCCTCATCTAGGAAGCTCAAGATCTTGACCATCGGAGCTGGCTTGTCGGGTATCCAGATGGCATACCAAATCCAGAAGAACACGCAGAATGTTGAGCATGTAATCTACGAGAAAAATGCCAACTTGGGAGGCACATGGCTGGAAAACAGATATCCAGGTATGGACATACAACAAGAATGGCTGAGGTTGAGCTAAGGGTTGCAGGATGTGCTTGCGATATTCCGTCACATGCCTACACACTCAACTTCGCTCTGAACCCCGACTGGCCTCGTTTCTTCTCGTACGCTCCAGACATACAAAAGTACCTCGAAAAGGTCTGCGATGTTTTCGACTTGCGCAAGTACATGACATTCAACACCGAAGCTACCAGAGCCGAGTGGCAAGACGACGTGGGTAAATGGAAGATCACCCTCCGTCAGAAGACGGCATCCGGCGAAGAAAGAGAGTTTCAAGAGGAATGCGACCTTTTTCTCTACGCTTCTGGTATCTTGAACAACTACAAATGGCCAGGCATCAAAGGCATCAACAGTTTCAAGGGTCGCATTGTCCACACGGCGACCTGGCCGAAAGACTACCAGAGCGAGGAATGGAAAAACGACCGTGTAGCTGTTATCGGATCCGGCGCGTCTTCAATCCAAACTGTACCAAATATGCAGCCGCACGTAAAGCACATGGATATTTTCGTCCGAACCGGTGTGTGGTTTGTCCAAATCGCGAACAATTTTGGCCAGAATAAGGAGTATTCACAAGAAGAACGCGATGAGTTTCGGAAAGATCCGAGGAAGCTAGTTGCGCATGCTAAAGATATTGAAAACCAGGTCAATGGGCTTTGGGGAGCATTCTACACCGGAAGTCAATCGCAGAAGGACGCTCAAGCCCTGTTCAGAGAACGAATGAAGGAGTTTCTCAAGGATGAGCGGCTTTTGGAAGGCTTCACCCCAAAGTTTGAAGTCGGCTGTAAGTTTCATCTGATACTTACCGGAATTGGTCACTAATCTGCTGCAGGCCGTCGCATAACCCCCGGCGATCCCTATATGAAGGCTATTCAGGAGCCGAACGTCGACGTTCATTTCACAGCTGTCAATGAGATCACCGAAAAGGGTGTGGTTGGCGCGGATGGCGTCGAGCGCGAGGTCGACACAATAGTCTGCGCAACTGGCTTCGACGTAACCTACCGTCCACGCTTCCCCATCATCGGCAAAAATGGCGTCGACCTCTACGAAAAGTGGAAGAATGAGCCTGAAGGCTACCTCGGTCTCGCATGTCCGGACATGCCCAATTGGTTGATGTTCATTGGACCAACCTGGCCTGTAGAAAACGGCTCAGTCACCGGCCCTCTACTGGCAGTTGCTGAGTACACAATCCAAATCATCAAAAAGATGCAACGCGACCACATCAAGTCATGGGTTCCACGACAAGACATCACAGATCAATTCAACGAGCATGCGCAAGAGTGGATCAAGCACACAGTTTGGAAAGACGATTGTAGATCCTGGTACAAGAACAACGACACCGGGCGAGTCAATGCCGTCTGGCCAGGCTCATCAAATCAATATGCTGAGGTGATCGAGACTCCGCGATACGAAGACTTCGATATCCAGTACATGCACAAGAATCCTTGGGCACACCTGGGTATGGGCTATGCGATGCGTAATAAGCAGTTCCCAGAGGCTGATGTTAGTCCGTACCTGCAGTTGGAGAATATTGATCCGCAGTGGTTGAAAGCTATTGGGTATGAGGGGCCAGCGGGCGAGGTGCAGAAAGCAAGAGATCAAAAAGATGAGCCGGATGTGAACAGAACGGGAGAAGATGCAGGTCTGGGGCATGGAGACGGAAATACGCTAACATAATATGTTCGAGTGATATTGCCTGTGTACGTTACCATGCCATCATCTAATCATGATAGTCACAACTGGAAATCATAGTTGTAGCTATCCGCGTTGCTCATGAGATACTCGTTTACTATATAGTACAAGAGACATGCAATTATTAATACAACAAAGCAGCATAACCACTCATAAGAGAATAACCTATAACAGTGGTTCTCAATGTAGAGCTTCCTCATTTCATCATGTGCTCTTCACTGAGTATAAGAACGAAGTGCCTAGAATTGGGTGCAATAGCCAATGCTGCTACACGTCGCATAGCTATCTTGATATGCAATGCTTTGTCACCTCCAGTTGTCGCATCCCTGACCTGTAGAGTCGCACGGTCCGATGCGTTGCTTATATCCAGTCCTTGTACAGTCTTCGGTATGGAACCACGTTTCCCCGCCATCTTAAGTTCGGCGGTGAAACAAGGCTCGCCTTCCAAACCGTATGGGAAGTCGAGGTCTAGAAAGACGGTCTGACTAAAATGAAACCGAAAACTGCCGGCTCCACCCCAGGAAGCCGAGCCGTAGTATACATGCGGCAGATCAGTCATCGCTGTTTTAGTATCCCTACGATCTTTACACAGAGATTTCGATATCGTCCTGAGTTTGTCTAGAAAGATTTGTTGGCGAACTGGTGCGATATCGAATTCCGTTAGATTGATTCCTCGGAATGTGGTTGTGGTATTCGAGGGTTTAGAATTCGGCTTCTGTTTGTATAGATATTGCAGGTTGATCATGTTAGAACCGATGCATGCAACTTCGGATAGTATAGCTGGATCTAGCTCAACTCGGACTATCGAAGGATGCCAATTTTCACGATCGGCGGGAAAAGCTTCGTCAAAATGGGCCACGGATGGATTTACATATATGGACGTGTATCGAAATTCATCCACAGTGCTTCCAGGCCGGAGTACAAGACTACCCTGGTGTCGATAAGTCTTCTCATATCGATTCTCTCCATTGCCTATCTGTGACAACTCGACGCACAAGAGATACGTCTGGTTTGGTACGATTCTCATCACGGCAAGAAAGCCATGCCACGTGTTTTCTTGGTAGTGAAGGATTGGTAATGTAATATGGATACCGCGGCTAGTTACTTGCGGAGGCCTGGAATCATGCGGAGGAGGAAGTAACGAGAAAGGGGTTCTTGATAGGTTGTCGCGATCATGTACCTGGTTAGAGTCTTCGAGTTCGTCAAACAGTAAGTCAGATCTGGGCATAAAGGTACGAAACTGCCAAGGCGAACTGGCTAAAAGGCTCCCTGTCGATGAGTTGACATCCCAGGCAAACAAGGTGTAGTCTTCGTCAATGCGAAGTATCTCTTCTTGGAGTCGTAGGAACGCCCTATGGCCTTCTCCGTAAAGAAGAGCCATGTTGACACCAAAGATTCCTAGAAGGCAGTAAGCCTGATCCTCAACCCGGCTGGTTTCTCGACGCGCAGCCCAAGACATTCTTACTGCAACTGGGCAGTTGAGAGGGTTTCCACCAGTAAGTATCTTCTCGTTGATACCAGTTATGCCCGTCAGTCTCTTCTGAAGGCTACTTCGTGTCCCGATGTCTACCCATGATACGTTGTAGAATTCTACAATGCCAGGAGCGATGAGCTCTTGCAGGGTCCACCCACGTGTAAACCATCGAGATTTGCTGAAAGCTTTGTAGTCGTCTAGCTGCGGGTTGCCTTGCACGTCTTCCAAGTACGCGTAACAGATACAGGCTCCTTTGTACCATTGGTACATTGAGTTGATCGCCTCCGATAGTTCAGCGCTCGAGGTTTTGTCGATGCAGCAAGTGTCAATCCAGCAGTACTTGAAGCCATCGTCCTTAGCTCTTTTGCAACAGCCGATAAGCTTCGCAAACCCTTTCTTCGATGGCGCTACATTTGACAGAATATCTTGCAGAGTAACCTCCTCAGAGCCCCAAGTATGCGAGAGGATAACGTAATCTGGCACTTGGCTCTGCAGGAACTCTTCCACCTGTAACGTAGAGGTGTTGAGTAATCGCATAGCGAATCTCGAGTGGTAAAGAGAAGCGAGTCTTGAAGTGTTGCTTGTGGTCAGGTGATAGAAGGGGGAGTATCCCTACGAAGATCGAGATTGCGAGAATCCCTGGAGAGGAAGGTGGGGAAACGGACGCTAAACCCTCTTTGGTTCCACCGCTATCTCCCCTAGGTACTTTGAGACTCAGACGGCTACAGACCCCATCTCAACTATCTACTTCTCTGTGCCAGTAATCTGGATAGTTCCAAAGCTAGTCAGATATACAACATGAATGAACAGCGTGTCCCACTTGCAAACGCCGCATCGCTCGTCAACCCCCGCATCATTATCCACGGTGGCGCAGGCAACATAACGCGCACGTCCATTCCTCGTGATCGTTACGATGAATACCGCACGTCACTTCTCAATATTCTTGATAAAGCTGAGAAACTTCTACGTAGACCAGGCTCAACAGCGCTAGACGTGGCAACGTATGCAGTCTCACTCCTAGAGGACGACCCGTTATACAACTCCGGCAAAGGCGCAGTCTTTACACGCGAAGGCAAGAACGAACTTGAATGCAGCATTATGGTTTCAGATGGGTACAGCAAACGAGGTGTCGGCTGCATGCTGCTCAGGCATGTCAGAAACCCAATCAAGCTAGCACGACAATTGCTCATTCGTGGCGAGGAAGCGGATGGCGGTGGTGCAGCCGACCATTGTCAATACAGCGGAGACTTCGTCGAAGGACTTGCGAAGGAATGGGGCCTTGACATTGTAGATTCAGAATACTTCTTCACACAAAAGAGATGGGATGAACATCAGCGCGGACTTGCAGATGAGAAGAAGAAGGCCGAGACGGGTATGAGCATGAATGAGATGAGCGATTGGGAGAGAGACAACTATATTCCGCTTGGAACCTGTGGCGCAGTGGTCGTGGATAGCTTTGGCACCGTTTGCACGGCAACTTCAACAGGCGGGTTGACGAACAAAGTTCCTGGGCGCATTGGGGATACACCGACTATTGGCGCAGGGTTTTGGGCTGGAGAGTGGTACGACGAAAAGACCGTTAGACCGCAGATGGTGTACCAACCTTCTGCTTCTCCTACCTCGCCGATCGACAAACTATCGAGAGGCGATATACGCGGTGTAGTAGACGATTGTATACCATTCCTCGGATCGCCCACGGTACGAGGGAATGTGTTGTCATCCACCAAGCCATACGAGAAGCCCGTGTCGACACGTCACGCTGTAGGTCTCTCAGGGACCGGCAATGGCGACTCATTCCTTCGTACATGCGCAGCTCGCACCACAGCTGCCAGATCACAATTCTCCGCAACATCACTCTCTGATGCGACAACGTGGATGGCGGGACCCGACGGTCAGCTTCAACGATCTGCTGGAAAGCGTTGGGGCGTAACCCATGAAGGCACCGGCGGTATCATTGGTATAGAGCTTGTCGGTAACAAAGTAAATGTTGTACAAGATTTCAATTGCGGAGGCATGTTCAGGGCATGGACAGGCGATGACGGAAGCCCAAGATGCTTGGTGTTTAGGAAAGAAGGCTGGGAGAACGGGCCCAAGGGTTGGGGTGATCGGCCAACTGCAAGGTATTGAACTCCACATTTGTGGTCCGTCCAAGGACAACTCTTGCTTCTTCCAGCTCCACTGCGCATCACATTATGGAACGCAAGACCAGACGCTTACCAAAAACGAGCTTTGACGTACGTAAATAGCAGTAATATTGCGACGTCGAGAACAAGAAGAACTTGAATGCTATCAAGCACAAACATGAATCTCCATAGTAACGTTCGATCGGAGTCACTCGGCTCATATCGGCGCCACTCCGAGCGGCCGAGCTGCGACAACCCGACGACGCTATACTATAAATCCTAAAAATACGCAAGTCGAGTCTTGCTGCACGGACGTGGATCGTGTATGCGGAGGTGGCTTCGGCCACTTGGGCATCGTCATTCGCGAAGCGGCCGTGTAGCCGGCGTCATGTGGCGAATCGGGAGGCTGGTTACGAGCGCTAGGTGCTAGCTGAACTATCAGCTCAAAGCTATTGAGGTACCACAGCTTAAACTTCGCATAAACACGAGAATGGTAGGTATATAGTCAGCTCGCCCTCATTCGCAACACTTTCATCACCAGCTCATTACCAGACTATTGCAACACTCGCTTCATATATCTTAGCATCTTGATATACTCTAATCGCAAATCAACACCCACAACAGCAATCATGCGTTACACCATCTTTACTCTGGCCGCAGCTGCCTCAGTCGTTTCAGCGCAGTCCTCTTCCTCTCCAGCCAGCGCATCTCCCACAGGCACCCTCATTCCCGTTGGCGAGAAGTGCGACCCCAACGGCACACCATGCGCACTCGGCGCCAACTGCTACGCAGTCAACTCCATGCTCCAACCCGTCTGCGGCAACTTCCAGGCCTCATGCAAAAACGACCAGCAGTGTGCTTTCAACACATGCAACCTTGAGCAAGGTCTTTGCAACGGCTTCATCGCTTCCTCCTCGGCCTCATCATCCTCGGCGTCAGCAACGATCACCACTACACCGACTGCACCGGGCCCAATGCCTGCTCCTTCATCAACCATCGTCGCCCCTGCTGGATCTCTGCCCCTCGGTGCCGAATGCAACCCTTACGTCAACCCAAGCCAATGCGCGAACGGTGTGGACTGCTGGGCTAGCAATGCCATGTTGATTGCCCGCTGCGGTAACTTCAACGCTGAGTGCTCCAGCGATGCGCAGTGTGCCTATAACACCTGCAGCGGCGGACTCTGCAGAGGTTTCCTGCCATCCAGCGCTATGCCTGTCCAGCCATCCAGCGCCATGCCCGTTCAGCCATCTAGCATGATGAGCGCGGTGCACCCATCCAGCATGATGAACGGTACCGTGCCCATGCAGCCAACTGGCACCGGCGCTGCTAGACCTACCGGTAACGGAACTGCCACTTCCACTGGTTCTGTCGAGTTCACTGGTGCTGCATCTGCCGACAACGTCGCTGGTGGTGTTATGGCTATTGTCTTCGGTGCTGTTGCTTTGGCTTTGTAGATATTAGAATTTGTAGGCTCTTAAACCTGCTGTATGGTATGTTCTGCCACCGGTTATAATTACCTAATTAATACGACGCTTTATGAAGATTATTCCTGCTACCTTCATCGCATATGCCATAGTGATCACCAAGTTTCCATCCTGTCTGACTATACGATAAATCCGCGCACGTGCACCTTATTCACTTTATATGAGGTACTGGCTCATCATCAGATGCTCTAGGTAGACCTGTACAATGACTGTTTATTCGCAAAGTCAACATGCTCAACGTGTGATATTCCACCTAACAGCTCGGTTGATCGGTACAATGATCAGCCGCAGGGCCTAACGCTGAGTCACCGAATATGTACACAGTCATCAGATCACCTTTCATATATATTGGTAGCGATATTTTGGCAATCAGATCTTGGATTGAGTGCTGTTATCCTCCCGAAATCGCATTTCCTGACTATACACTCGAATCACTTTAACAAACATCAAATCACGACTACAATGACGGACGTAGAGAATGCGCTCTCCGTAGCAGAACGAGGGGAACTGAGGCGCTCCCTGGCAGCTACAAAAGACCCATACATCGCCGCAATCCCAAAAGTCGAACTCCACATTCACATAGAAGGTATCATAAGTGCAGATCTGAAGTGGAAGTTCTCGCAGCGGAATGGCCAACCAACCATCAACCCACGAACCGGTCAATCCTTCTCTTCACTTGCTGAGCTTCGGGATTCACATGACACCTTAAAGCCGCGTACGGGGAACCGCATGGACAACAGTGAAGAGACTTTGTCCTTTTTCGAGGCTTACTATGGTGGCTTTGAGGCCCTCAAGACTCAGCAGGACTATTATGATCTTGCTATGGATTACTACGAACATGCAGCAGCGACGAACGTGCGATATGCAGAGATTTTCTTTGATCCGCAAGGCCATACGCGCGTTGGGACGAGTTGGGAGATGATGATGGAAGGTTTCCGAGCAGCGCAGCGGAAAGCTGAGCAGGACCTCAACGTAAGCTCTTTATCTCCCTTCGGAAACATTTTTGCTCACAATATACTGTAGGTGAAGTCTGCTTGGATCATGTGCTTCCTTCGGGATGAAACACCAGAGTCCGCAATGGAACACTATGACGCAGCACTCAAATACCGCGATATGATAGTAGGAATTGGCCTCGACTCCAATGAAGTTGACAGACCACCATCGCTATTTGATGAAGTCTTCGTAAGAGCTAGGAATGATGGCTTCCGTCTTACGGCGCACTGCGATGTTGGCAAGCCCTATCCTCTCGAACACATCCATCAGGTGGCGACGAGTATTGCAGGCACAGGGGCCGATAGAATCGACCACGGACTCAATGCTGCTAGCGATACAGATCTCATGACTCTAATCAAGGGAAAAGACCTCGGCATGACAATCTGTCCTTGGTCGTACATCCGCCATCAACCAATGGACGAGGTTTTCCAGCGAATTCGAACTCTCTTCGACGCTGGCATTAAGATTGCTATTGCAAGCGACGATCCAGCGTTTATGGACGACACATGGGCGCTGGAGAATTTGCTAGTGGTGAAGAGGTCCTGTGGCTTTACAAATCTAGAGATTCAAAGGCTGGCGGAGAATGCTATAAAGATGTGCTGGACTTCTGAAGATGCGAGAGAGGAGATGTTACGCGAGCTGTATAACATCGAACCGGGAACTTAGATAGCTCAGTGGCATTGCTATATTCGCTATGCAATTAGACATTGTTATAGTGGCACTTGCGACCGAATCTGCAGCGCATCGAACGCGCCATCACAGCCTCTTTAGCACCTTGGTGTCCAATCGTAGTCGTGCAATGATGATAAGAAGTGTCGCTAAAACACCAGTCCCAGCGGCGTAGAAGATAGCAGCCCGATACGGTTCGATCGATGAGGCATCTGCCGCACCTGTAGCTTCAACCAACAGCCCGGCAAGAGGAGCTCCTAACAGGTAGCCTGGGGTCCAGAAGAATACCATCAAAGCAATCGACGCTGCAGCAGAGTGCGGAGCTACGACAGCAACGGCAGTAGGCAGACTGACAAAGAAGCTTCCATTCGCGCATCCGTTGACAAGAGCGAAGATAAAGAGAGGTGGCAATGATGTGCTCACTGGCCAGATGGCTAGCATGCTGACCGAATTGACCAAGCAAGTGATCATCAAGGTGTTGAAGCTGCCGATCTTATCACAAGTCAATCCACCCAGGATACGACCTACTGCCGTCGCAGCACCAAATCCGCCCACTAAACCCGCACCAGTCGACGCTGACAGACCGATCGAACTTACAAATAGTGGCAAGAAGAACGGTGGCACGAAGAGAGCAAAGACGCCGACGGCACCAGCCATGGTCAGCATAAGGAAGGGAACGTTCTTCAAGAGCGACCAATCGAATCGGGAGAGCGTTCCAGTAGTCGCACGTTCCTTCAACAATAAAGTGCATGGTATTCCAGTGGCCATGATAAGGATGCCTAGAACATGGAACGTCCACTCCAGTCCGAATTTATCGATGAGTGCCTGCGCTGCGAGCGGCAGTACCGTGGCACCTACACCACCACCAGCCTTGACAACGCCATTCGCAATACCAAGTTTCGAGCTGAACCACTGCAGTGGCAGACTGTTTGTTGCAGTGTACAGCAGCGATGTACCAACTCCCACCAGCAGCCCTGCGATGCAGAACAGCCCACCAAGATGGTCCAACGTGAAACTCGTAGCAATCAACCCCACTCCAAACACTGTCGTGGCAGCAAGAGCAGTGTACCGCACGCCGAAGGATCTCATAACTCTTATCGAAGCAATGCCAAAAGCGACCATGCAAGCCATATACAGGCTGCCAACGAAGGTGATGGTACGCACGTTTGTGTTCAAGTTGGGCGATTTCAGGATGGCTGTTTGCAGGACGCCCCAGGCCGTTGTGTAGCCGTTAATCCAGAAGAGAAGGAAAGAACATGAGGCGACCACAGTCCAGCCATAGCCTCCATTGGGGATTGCTTCTGTGGCAGAGGGTGGAGGTTGCGGATCGGAAAGAGACTCAAGACCGGTTGAGTCATTTCCACTTGCATCAAGGCGAGTCTGTGAGTGCTGATCGGAGGAGAGGCTTTCCAACGGGATAATGGTCTGAGTTGTCGACATTTTGTGTTGGTTCACCCATGCCATGTAAAGGATTTCTGTTTATATATGAGGGCAGCAGTATCATGGTGGTTATACAGGCTATCGGTAAAAGTAAAGGGCGCAAAGACATACGCCAGGGCGTGTATGAGCGCTAGGGCGTAAGTATGCAGTGCTGACATTGCTTCGCTTCGAGTTGCTCATTTGTAGAGTGAGGTCTGCCAAGTCGGTCTTTTGGTTAAACTGGGGGCGAGCCAGTCATGAACGTCGGATTGTGTATATGGACGAGGAACGCGATATGATGTCCTGCAAGGCTTCTGTGAACATCTCGATATCAGTCGCTTGCATGTACAGGACGTCGACTCTCCCAGCCACTCTCTCGTGAGGCTTTGATACGTCTGTAGGAGGGATCTGAGAACAGCTAGCTTTATCAGTAAGTAAACATACGGCGGACATGGACTCCCATATGTTTCCCTATAACTTCCGTAAGCAGTGAAACTGGGTACAACAATAACCTTCACCCTTCACGGGTGGAGACGCGGGATGTTTGATGATCCGGTGCGACAGTCGGGCTGGAAGGCGACAGAACTCCCCCAGATGCGATATGAAAGGCTATGTGGCGCAGTACGCTGCCACATTGTATACGTGTGCGCTGATGATCTATGAGTTGGGCTGTCAAGACTTGAAAAGTGGCAACGTCTGATGTGTCGCAAGCGTTGTTTCCCAAGTCGGGCTGGGCGTGAACGCGTCTCGCGAAGATAGCAGATTGAACGCCCAATCGCGGCATTACACACGACGACTAGGTGACTGGTGCGCGATCCGATGCAGGCTCACACCCTATGGCGAAGCTGCGACGTGGGCGAAAGTGGTGGAAAGTTAAAGGCCATGGCAAGCCAAGGGCGGACGCGTCGTGTGCGAGGCACAGCCACAGCAAATGACATAATGCCCGCTGAATACCGCCCGCCATGCTTCCTTCCATCGGCAGCATAAGCAACTGGCCGCGCTCTTTTCTCCGCAACCCGTTCCTATATACCCCAACTCTCTGTTATTCTCTCCCCACACACGCGCCAAGATGGGTTTCAGTCTCAACAACCCCCTGCCCTCTTCCATGAGCAGTAAGTTGCTAACAGCCCACTTTGTTTATGCGCCGCTTGCGGGCCGGTGACGTCGCTGACAACTGCTCCCCCAGGCGAATGTCGCAAGACAGGAAAGATTCTAGCATCCTTTGTCGACCCCAGACAAGCCTTTGGACCCGACAAGATTATTCCCCCGAATGTTCTCGCCAATGCAAAGGTACGAGTGTTCCTGCGCATCCGGCGTCTGTCGATGCTGCCCAAGCAAACACTGGATGGGCTGCTAACACGCGTCTAGGGTCTCGCGATTCTCACAGTATTCAAGGCTGGCTTCCTCGGCACAGCGCGATTTGGTTCAGGTGTCGTTGTCGCTCGTCTCGCTGACGGATCGTGGTCGGCGCCCACAGCCATCGGAACCATCGGCGGCGGCTTCGGCGGACAAATTGGTTTCGAGCTCACCGACTTCGTCTTCATCCTGAACGATGCATCGGCAGTGCGTACTTTTGCGCAGGCAGGATCTTTGACACTTGGTGGCAACGTCTCTATCGCAGCGGGGCCAGTTGGTCGCAATGCCGAAGCTGCCGGCGCGGCAAGTTTGAAGGGCGTAGCGGGCATCTTCAGCTACAGCAAAACCAAGGGACTTTTCGCGGGTGTCAGTCTGGAGGGAAGCGGCATCATCGAGCGGAGAGACGCCAACGAGAAGCTGTACGGCCGCCGATGGACTGCGCGCGAGATTCTCAGCGGACAAGTTCCCCCACCACCAGCCGCCGCCCCGCTCCTGCAGGTGCTCAACTCAAGAGTCTTTGCTGGCGTTGGAGGAGCCCAGAACGTTACGAACGATGCCATGTACAACGACATCCCCGTCTACGACGATTCGCGCGACAATGTAGTATGGCAAGGGCGCCAGGGTTCAGCAATGGGCGAAGGCGTACGTAGGGATCGTACAGGTTCTCTAGGCCAAGGAAACAACGACTACGAGTACAGAGACCGACCACAGCGCTCATCCGGCTGGGAAGATGACGTTTACGACCGGCAACCATCCTCAGCACCCCTCGGCCGATCCTTCTCCACGCGCGCGAACCCCAACGAGACATTCGACCGCATGGATACACGGAACCGCTCCTCCACTTTCGGCGACGACTACTCATACAGCGATCGCAAGCCCGGCCGACCGACAGCTCCAAAGCCAGTATTCGGACAAACAACGGGTCAGAAGAAGGCGGGGCTACAATCCGACCAGGCGATTGCCAAGTTCACCTTTGACGCCGACCAACCGGGCGATCTGGGCTTCAAGAAGGGCGAGATCATCACGATTCTGAAGAGGACAGACAACGAGACAGACTGGTGGACAGGCAGAGTCGGAAACAGAGAAGGCATCTTCCCAAGGTACGTCGCATTCGCGCCGAAATGTTGAGTAGTCACTGACTTGTCACAGCAACTATGTCGAGACTGTCTAGGGTCTTTATCCCTAATGCGTGTGCGATATCCATAACGAATCCTCTTGGTCGACAAAGTTCCATCGGAAGATACCACGATTTCTAACCACATAGACTGGTATACCTTGCTTATTGTTACCTCAGCGAACATGTTCGAGTCCTGTTTGAGCGGTCAGCATCCAGCACCTTGCTTGCTTTCACGCATGGGATGGCGTCTTTTTCCTGAACGTTTCCGTGCTTGAAATTCATTCATCACTTCTCCTTGTTGCCATTGTTTGCAGATACCTATGTAGCGAAAACAAGTCAACGTTTCAAGATACAGAGAACAAGTTGTATCTGGAAGTGAGGTATGGGTTCATGTTGGAGTTACCCCAATTACCGAGAGTGGAGATTGGTCGGCGGAACATCGTATCTGTGACCTAATGCCAGCTCCAAACTCCACCCAGTCGTAGCTACCCCTCCTGTTCATGTCGTTGCGGCATGCGCATCGGCAAAAAAGTGCCCTGCATTGCTCTTGCCTGGCTTCATGTTATTCAGCGTGGAGCTACGCTGATATGGAAGGTGCTTAGATCAAATGCCCCAGAGCTACCCCACCCAGCCACTGGATAGTTCCAAAGCTATCAACGGCCTGCCAACGCTCAACGTCATTCCCGAAGCTGTCTATTTCCAGTCCGGAACCGCTCTTACGCACAAGGCGCCTTAGAGCATTTCTTTGAACATATTTCCCTCTGCAAACATATTGTCAACCAATCTTACATACAACCAAGTCTATATCTGATACCATGACGACAACATCTTGGGAAGAAACAGCAACGCAGAAGCGCGAGGCCATCTTGGCCGCTATACCGAAAGAATGGCGACTAGAGAAATTGCCGTCTGTAGAGGAACAAGTTGATGTCACCGAATACGTGAAGCAGTACTTCAGCGAGAAAGAGCTTGAGATCACAGAAAGCAGCGCAGATGTTATTGCGAAGACAGTGGCTGAGGGAAAGTGGACCGCTGAGGAGGTCACGAGGGCATTCTGTCACCGAGCTGCCGTGGCGCATCAGCTAGTACGTCGTATACCACATAAGTCGAGCGAAACCTGCTGACGAGGAAGCTACACTGCCTACATGAGATCTTCTTTGATGCTGCCATTCAAGACGCAAAGGCCCTCGATGCATACTATGCCAAACACAAGAAGACACTTGGGCCTCTTCATGGTCTACCTATCTCACTCAAAGATCAGTTCCATGTCAAGGATGTTGAGACCAGTATGGGTTACGTAGGCTGGATTGGCACTTTCGAAGGTAAGAAGGGTACTGGTAAAGAGAAGGTCTTTGAGAGTGAGATGGTGAAGATGCTGCGGAATGCGGGCGCTGTATTGTACTGCAAGACGAGTGTGCCACATACTCTTATGAGTGGCGAGACGGTCAACAATATCATTGGGTATACACTTAACCCGAAGAACAGGCATTTGACTGCTGGTGGTAGCTCAGGCGGTGAAGGCGCATTGATTGGTATCAGAGGATGTAAGTCGGCTGTCTCGTTACATGGCACAAACAAGCCCAAGCTTCTGCTGTTTTGGGCCCAATAATAGGATCATCTAACGTGTTACAGCGCCAGTAGGATTCGGTACTGATATTGGCGGCTCCATCCGTATCCCCGCCGCCTTCAACGGACTGTATGGCCTCCGCCCCTCTACTGGTCGCCTGCCATACGAAGGCATGGCAAATTCAATGGAAGGTCAAAACACTGTTCTTTCAGTAGTCGGACCTCTCGCGACCAACGCAGCCTCCTTACGCCTCGTCACCCAAGCCCTCCTCCAACAAGAACCTTGGCTTCACGACCCATTAGTCCATGAAATCCCCTGGCGTGCCGATCAAGAGTCCGAGATTAAGTCTGCAAAGAAGCTTTGCTTCGGCGTCTTACGAACAGACGGCATAGTGAACCCCCATCCACCCGTCAGCCGCGCGATCGAAATGGTTGTCAAAGCTTTGCGCTCCGCTGGACATGAAGTCATCGACTGGCAACCACCTTCTCACCGCACTATCAACGATACTGGTTTCAACTCGTGGATCTACGATGCAGGAAAAGATGTTCGTTCCGCATTTGCGCTCTCAGGCGAGCCAATGGCACCTCAGGTCTCGTTTTACCAATCCCTTGAAAAAGAGTACACTGCCAGCGAGATCGCTGCTATAAACGTCGAGGTGCGCCGCTTGAAGAAGGAGTACATGGAGTACTGGAACAGCACCATTGACAAAACGGGTACTGGTAGGCCCGTCGATGTGATCATTTGTCCTCTTGCGCCGTTCCCTGCTGCGAGGAAAGAGAAGTACAAGTACTATGGCTACTCGACGTGGGTGAACACGCTAGATTACACAAGTGTTGTTGTACCGGTCACAAATGCAGATAAGAGTGTTGACAAGAAGGACGAGGGTTACAAAGCGATTGACGAGCAGGATAAGAGAATCCAGGATGATTATGACCCGGAGATCTACGACGGTGCGCATGTTAGTGTGCAGCTTGTTGGACGGAGACTGCAGGAAGAGAAGATGCTTGCGGTTGCGGAGTATGTAGGCGGTCTTCTCCACGCGTAGGGTTTCATGTAAGGTAATTACATTATTTGTATGGTATGTTCTCTATGCTAACAGAATGACAAAGACTGTGCCTGCGGTTGTGTGCCCCACGCTGAAAGACTGAACACATATTATAGGTATCAACGAACGGAAGGTCTTGTTGTAAGCATCCCAAGAAGCATATCGAAAGGACAGTCTTTCAAAATATGGAATCGTTGCGCGATATTCTTAGCGCTACCTGGCATTGGGATCAAAAGATCCACGAATCTGCCAGTGGAACAAAATTGTCTCGAGTCCCAAGTGACGGAGCCTACTATCGCAGCATCGGAATGTGCTCTGAAACCCAAACGATCGACTATCTTTTGGGAAATGAAGTTACCTTCTACCTTTCGAGACGAAATAACGCAAATGATTTCGGTTTCTCCAGTCACTTTGGACAAGAGTTTTATGTTCCGTTTCGTTTTTTTCAAAGATGGAATCTCTGTTTGTTCAATCTTCCCTGACGTCAGTGACTGAAAGTGTGAGACATGTTTGTTAACTAACAATGTTGAAGCGATTTGAACGCTCCGCCGATACTGAGAGACGAGGGTGTACAAGCGTGGTAGTGGGTAGTGGAGGGGCTGATCCTGCGTTCGCCACAGCTTTTACGCCGTCGCCATGATAAGAGATAAAAAGGTACTTACTACGGAGACGTTAGAAGCTTTCTTGAAGGTGGAGAAAATACTGACATGTTGACGTGATTGATCTTATCTGCGACATGTCCGTTAATTTGTAGCGCACTGTCGTGGGCTCCATTCCCAACAACGGCTGATATGTGTGCCACTTCTTTGGCATTTGTAAGACGACCAATGGCAGATGCTGATGACCCAGCTCTGTCTTTCAAGGAACGATTGGAATGACTGACACCGCTTCCGTAGAACATACTCATCTTTGAAGCGCCGGGATCCAAAGCGTAAGGAACGGGTGAATGAAGGCACTCAGCTGGGGGGCCACGCTGTATGTGAAGGCTGTCCGAGCCGCCCGGCTCACGCCCGTATCAAGAGCGGCATGTTTGGTTCTGAGGGCTCTTACAGGACGCTCACCGTTGATTAGCTTGATCGCGGGGATCACTATCACGTGGCTCGTCCCGCCATTCAGACGATTTGCCGCGTCGCTACCGGTCAAGTGAGAGAGGCATAGCGTCTCACAAGAACGAGCGCCACCCCTGCCAGGTCCTGTCGTGCTGATGATGTTCAAGCTTGAGATCTGCCCCACTAAATCCTCCTGTCGTGCAGCAGGGCTCATGCGAACACTCAGGCGCACAGGCTTCCTCTCAGTTACACGAAACCGAACCTTTACTAACCCCTCAGCATTGTCGGCGCTCTTAGGGATGATGGCTCTCAGATAGAGCGCTGCATTGGCCGAGCGCTCACCCCAGTGTTACAGCGCATGCTGAAGGCGCGCGGGTACCAGGCTGGTTGCGACGAGGTTGCCTCTCACTGCACGACATGGGCGATCGCGTAACATTAGCGCAAAAGCTTGTCGACAGTTATCGTACAAAGGCCATCGAACTTTTGGTGGATTATCTCCAGAACAAGGATATTCGCACAGACGCCGAGCAGTACATAGGGCAACACGACCCTTCCCCAGCAAGGCTCGATACGGCATTTGAGCAGCACCATGGGTTCTTGCCGACACGTTCACATCATCGCAACGTCTCTCAACCACCAGGAGCGGCCCGCCAGAACATTTCGAATGCCAGGCACAGCTTGAACACTCCACCCACCAGCGCAGGTTCAGTCAAGTCGCATGCTTCGAGCATGGCTGCTGCAGGCGTAGAAAAGATATTATTTCTATCAGGCGACGACGAAGGCACAGATGTGCCAGTATTATCCAGACGCGCGCCAGGGAAATACAATCTGATCAAAGACCAAGTCGCACACGGTCGCGGCCTAGTTACTGGTAGATTTGGGGTGGATGAGTTGGTACCTGTACATCATCCATCCGTTGGCCACACATGGGAAAATGTGAGGTTTGCTGTCAACCTCACTTGGCGTCGTCGCAATGAGTATTCAACAAATGTGGACACATTCCACATCGTACCAGCGAGGTCGCTCGACTGCGACGTGGTCCTGGGATCTGATGCATCCATGGAACGCCAATTGCCCTCAGGTTAGTCTACTGCAATCTGCAGGAACTGCGTTTAACACGCTGACCCGTCTGTGATGACGAAAGACGTTCAAGATGCACAATCACCGCAAGCGCGCTATCCACAAACCTTTGAAAGAGTAGAAGAACTCGACCCAACACCACCACCGCATGCGCCTACGGCGCCCTCGTATGCCTATCAACAATCCTCTCTACCACCGCCTGCTGTCCAACGGACATACGAACGCGTACAGGCCATGCGCGACAATCAACGTATGCACACGGCTGACCCATCAGCTTCGGCTACCCACCCGAAGCATGTGAACCATGGCCAGCCAACACACACGATTACCCCCCTTGCAACTCAAGAGGGCTTCAGCGGCCAACTTTATGTAATTGGTTTCTGGGACAAAACACCGATCAAGATGTCGTTCGATCCGAACGATACGGGAGAAGCCTTTTACCAAGCATTTCATCAATGGGCCGTGAAACGAGAACGTGTGGATGATCTTGATCGACAAAGAATGACGCTGATGCTCAAGGCAAACAAGGATGCACCCAATGATGGAGCTTACGAACTCGGTCTCGAGGAAAGTGATCTAGAGGTGTTCTGGGAGACAGCCGTGGAATGGATACTGGAAAACAAAAATCCAAAGGCACCACATCTCTTCGCGACAGTAAAGTTCGAAGCGGGATGAAGAGCTTGCATAAGCGAGTATATCAACATTTCGTTCCTGATGGAAGAGCACCTCTCTCATCACGTAACACACCCATCCGAGGATACATAAATGGTGCTGTTTCTAGCACTACCACGCCTCCGCCATCATCATCGGCAGTGTCTCGCGCAAGGACCGTAGGACATGCACATAGCACACCTCGAGCTGCGAACAGACTATTGAGATCGGATATACGACTGAGCAAAAGCAATGCGCGCGGTCGATGGAAAGAGCCACATTGCGGGCAGCATAAGAGGAAGTCCGGGGTTCGTTCTCACAGTAGACCGCAGCTTTCAGCCGTATAGTGAAGAAGATGAGCATCACACAGAAGTGAGCGCGGGGACAAACGATGCGCGACAACCCTCAGACACAGTGTCTAATGGAGCGTGGACTCAGTACAATGTAGCGATTGATACTACCAAGGCTAGCTCGATTGCTACAAAATCCATAGCACATAGCGGAGTGTGGTTTCAAACACTTCTGTCTATGAGAACCAACGCGTATACGAGTGGCCATTATGTAACCACTCAAAAAGAGAAGCGGCCGTGAAAGAGCCGTTGCGCATTGCGAAAGAAGATCCCTGAACGCTCCGCATCGGTCACAAATGTCGAGGTCTCGATGCCTAGCAGGGACGGGGCATAAGTGAAGATTGGCGCATACGGAAAGTCCGTACCAAACAAGAGATTTGTCATTGGTATGTCATACGCAAGAAGGCCACCAACTTGGTGGAAATATGTTGGGCCCGCTGAATCCCAAAAGAAGCGCGTCTGCAAGGCGTCCATTGTGCGGTTGTAGATAGCTGGAAATGACTTCAACAACCGATCTGCAACGGAGGGAAATGCGCCACCGACGTGTGGTATAATGTAGTCGATATTCGTGAAATTCAGGATCGTCTGCGTGACTGCGAGATCTTGAAGCACGCGTGCCGTTTCGAAGTAGAACTCGATATTGCCAGTCGGGTACGTAGTAGGGTTTGCTTCCACCAGTGAGCCGTTCACACGCATGTATGGCGTTGTGGGGTGTATATATATGATCTGGCCTGAACCGCGCGCGTTCATCGCTTCGAAGAAAGGCATAAAGGTTCGATCACCAACATATCGACCCTCAAAGTTGGAGTAAAGCGCGATGCCGGCAGCTCCGAGCGTATCGAGCGCATACACTGCTTCTGCGATAGCGGCTTGTGTGTATGGTAGCGGAACGACAGCGTAGAAGGAGAAGCGGCTTGGGTAGGCTCGAGCGTACGCTGCAGATTGCTCGTTAATCAGCCGAGCAAGCGCTGCGGTGGCAGCTTCATTTCCTGGGTAAACGTTCGCACCGGGCGATGAGAAGGCCAGAACCGAATGCGAGATGCCTTGACTGGCCATGAAGTCAAGATGCGCAGTGACATTCCATGATGGCGTCGGATTTCCGCCGGCTGTGGGAGCTATTGTACGAAACCAGTCAGGTACACAATGCGCTATGACAGCTTGTTAGATGTGCGTCCAAGGCTTCGAAGCAGGGCATACCATGAACGTCAATGATGTTGGTGAGATTTGAAACACTGTGCTGCGCGAGCTTGGGTGCTTCGACATCCAGATACGTAGCGGCGATGCTCTTAAGAGCAGAGGTCAAAGCAGAATTTGGAACGGCTTCAAGAGTGACAGAGTCTAGATGATATGATCAGCAATGTTGAGACAGTTCTTGCAAGTACGAGGCGGGTACCAGCTCTGGCACGCTGAGAGACAGACTGAGCGATCTCATCTCGCGTGGACAATCCACTTGCGTAAGCTACAAACGCTGTTATCAGTGCAAATGCAACAGGCAGTGTCCTATATGTCTTCATTCTAAGGCAAAGGAACATAAACTCCCTAAGTGTCGCTCACAGAGCAAACATCGAGGGGGGGATCGTTTTGAAGTGTACCCTCAGCGGATGGATGCGCGAACGTCATATCAGATTGATGAGGAAGGTTTCCGAAGCTCATACAGTTGTTTTGGCCAATAGATACACCATACACATGATGCGTAAGCAGTGCCGCCGGACGTCAGCACGGGAGCGGGTAAAGAGGCGGTCCACGCTAGACTGAACTCTGCAGACTAGCCATGAGCTTGCGTAACCGATATCCTGCTGTGTAACCACGATCGTGGTGTTCCGGTATCGTATAGGTGGCTTCCAGGCCCCTCGGCAAAGCGGATGGTAGACTGTGCGGGACAGATTCTCGAGAAGCTGGCTCAAGCAAGACCCGCGGCTGAGATGCGCAGCCGCAAGATCGCTCGATAATTTTCTGGTGTTGGGACCATTACCCATGTACATAGAACCATACGCGACATGTCGCAAAATATCGTATGAAGGGCGTGATACGCATGCGCTTCCCAGCTCTTCAGTTCCCTCTACGCATGCTGGTTGACGTCATCGGTTCCGGCGAGTTCGTCTTCATCGAACATGTACATCCATCTGAGGACTACTTGTGCGTCCATTATACCATCAGCATTTCCCCATAGTAACTTCGCTTCGAACACTCTGCTATAAGTGCTCTTGACAGGCACTATTCCCAATGACCCTGCCCTGGCATCGGTCTTTATTCACCCTCTCGAGCAAGACCCAGCGCGACAAGCTTCCAGCCGCCGCGGCAGCCGGGTGCCGGTGAGCAGTTTCAATCCACAATGGTTTGCTGCAATCAGTGTCGCGTCAAGATTTTCGAGATGGGCGGTCGCGGAATGTTTTGACGGGGACGCGTCCGTCTCTTGGTGAGCCCGAAGTATGTACATGTCAGCGCGCTAATGACACGCTAGTGACGCGTCGACATTGGCAACGGAAGTACGACCTTGACTGAAACTATTATGTCTCTCCTTCTTCCGCAACCAGGATGTATGACAGGTATTGAACTATTCCATTACCAGGGCGCGGAATGCTGCGGACCTCTGCCAAGAGACAGCCATATCCTCTCGGTGGTAGCTTCTCCTGTCCTATAAGCACTAACATCCAGAAACAGCCATGCACCTGCAAAAGACATCTTTGTCGGACATGATACACCGATCGCGCAGTAACAGAGGAAAAGACGTGTGAATAGCTTTGAGAACCAGTTAACTGCGCAGCCAAAGAGGCCAGAACACTCAAACAAAGCGCAAGGTAGCGCAACGTGACTTGGTATATGACCCTGGGAAGTAGCATACCGGAGTAACGTCCGGAATCTGAACCACATCGACAACTCGTATATATGATTTACGGCCGTAAATTGGGTACGCCCTCTTAACAGACCATTCCTCACGTCAGTCTTAGGCAGCTTGCGGATAGTCTGGCGCATCCAAAGATGCTACCAGTTTTGAGGCTGTAGAGAAAGCCTATAAAGCATTGCTCTCCTCCGCCTGAACATCTGGCTAACTGTCTTCACTGAATTCCGACTCCTATAACAGACCGAGAAAACACTCTTACACAATCATGAAGTTTACACTTGCCGCCACTGTCATCGTCCTCGCAGGTATCGCGCAGGCAAGTTACCACTCCAAAATCTCTTGCGAACCTACATGTAAAGAACGCGGCTAACAATCTACTTAGGCTAACGTCGCTTGCTACTGCACTGGGCCAGCCGAGCTCAATCCAGACAGATTCGCCAATATCTGCTGCACTGACACCTCCGGGGTGACGTTCCCCGACGGAAGGGATCGACCTGGTAGTTGGGATGGCAGGAGCGGCGAATGTCGATTGCAGACAGATGGGCTAGGCTTTACGCTGAACCAGATGATCAATGCTTGGGCTCCGTGCTGCAGGAGTACAGGGCCACAGGGCCCGAACGGAGAGGACTTGTTGTGGGGTGGGAACTGCAATGATGTCTAAGTTGAGGGAACAGTAAAAGGAACTTCATAGGTCAGAGTGAGGCAGAGTTTCGAACATGGTCGTAGCAGAAGCGCTGGAAGACAACAATGACGCGAACGCTGCAACGCCGATCTATACGCGGGCGCAATACTAAACAATCAGTCCCAAGTCCTCGAAGCAGTGTGCACTCAACATTGTAAATGACTTGAACGTGAAGCCCGTTAACATCTTTAAGATCCTAGTCTCTCTTTACGGACTAAGAAGCGAGTAGGGCAGGCCGATAACTCATGTTTGCAACCGCTCCCTTCCTCAACAATATACGGTTCAAACAGAGTACTCCTGGGCACATTGCGCTAGTTGAACATCCTCTGAGACCGACAGCACGATACTCTAGCAGTCATCCTGATATGTACCGATGTTCTCTTCCGGAGTCGGTGGTATCTGATCAGAGTTCCCAGTCCCGTCCATATCGAGCGGGTGCCTTCCCAATACGATCTCCAAGATGCCACAGAACACGATGGGTGCGAGGAGCAACGTTAGAAGACCGAGAAAGTCTCTCACAAACCAACTATAATTGTCGTTGATGGCAGTCCAAGCTGGAAAAGCGATCAGACCGTATGCTGCACAAACCGACATTGGCGTAAGGAAGAATACGGCGAGAGATTTCCAGCTGACCAGAAGATATCGCAGGCGATACGCAAGAGCCGTCGGCAAAAATACTGCGACGGCATTTGGCCCCATCCACCACCAAGGGAATTTGTTCAGTACGATAAGAGGCTGGTTTCCATAGTAGTCGTATATCCCCAATGGAAGCAGGATTTCTTCGAGGACCAGATCCAAGATCATCGTCAATCCAAAAAATGCCCATAACATCCGAGTCGTCGCGTTCTTATGCAGCAGTTGGAGCCCCAGCTGCATTATCGACGCGTAACCGAACCAGATTGGGATCCAAGGGACGATCTCGCGTCCTAGAATATGGAACGAAACGTAGTTCTCGGGCCAAGGGTAATAAACAGCTCCTAGTACATCGATCATAGTTTCTGAAAGTACATTCATGCCACCACTCAAAGGCAAGACCAACGGTAACAATGAGCGCGTGATTCGGGCGTCACGGACACCACATGCGACTGCGAAAAGGCCACTGACTCCTGTCAGAACCATGGCTATTACATTGCCCTTGTCTGAGTAAGGCGTATCCACTGGAGGCGAGGGAAGTTTGAAGCGCGGGTCAAAGTCGAAATGAGGAGTTCCTTTCTCCGGACGCTGGTGAAGATATGATCCCGCAAAGGCGATAACGACAACTGCCAACGATGCTGACCAAATTAAAGGCTTCTGCCATTGTCGAGTTTTGGTATGGATGGAATCCATGTTGAGAGTAAGAACAGTAACAGAATGATGGTTCTGCCTAGAGGAAGATGAATTGTAGGGGAAGATACAGGAGGCAAGCAGGCAAATCGAAGTGTATAAATCATTGTGCGCTCGTAGAATAACGTTATGTTCGGTCCGTCTAACTCAATCGCGTCATAGTCTGGGAATTGCATGTGTGGACTGACTTGTTTCAGACAAGTCGGAACCGAACTCATGCATAGCAGATCGTCCGACATTCAGGAACCGAACCGTGTCCTAGAAGTCGTGCCTGGGTATCCGTTAATGCTAAAGTATTCTCAATTCTCCTTTCGTCGACCTGCCTCCATCGACCGTCGTTCTAGGTTAGATCACGCTCTTCAGGTAACGATCTTTCTTTGTAGTCCCAAGTTTGGAAGAATTTGGATGGTGCCGAAGGTCACCTACCGTGATCATCTCGGCTCCGAGGTTTTTGACCCACTTCTCCCTTGGCACGCCGTCAGATGGCAGCATCGGGCATCGCATTTTTGGCAAAGAGACTGCATTACTCATACAGATCTCTATGCATGTACTTAAGCCCCGTATCGCACGCGACCGTTACTACAGTCTTGTCGGGTCCCAGTTGCTTTGCCAGTGCAATGGCAGCTGTCACGTTGAGACCGGTGGATGTACCGACAAGGAGTCCTTCCTCCTTCGCAAGACGTCGACACATTGCACGACCTTCGTCCTCCGGGACTGCGCATGCGTCGTCATAGAGGTCCTTCTCGAGAAGAGGCGGTATGTATCCAATTCCTATGCCCTCAACGCCATGCACACCACTCCGCCCCTCGGTAATAGTGGGCGCAGATACTGGCTCAAGAATTCGAACATGAGTTTTTGGCCACCGTTCCTTCAAGATTTTCGACACGCCCATGATCATACCAGCTGTACCGACGGCTGCGCAGAACCCGTCAATGCCGTTCGGAAATTGATTGACCAGCTCCAGCCCGAGTGCTTTGTAGCCAACGTAAGCGTCAGCGTTGTTGAATTGGTCGGTAGGATAGTAAGTGTCGCCCTGAGCAATCGTCCTTGCACGTTCTATCATCGATGGAATCAAGTCTGCTGTGATGCGACCAGAAGGGCTGTTGACCAGATCCACTTCAGCGCCGAACGCTGCCATAGCTCGTAGCTTGTCGACCGCGTAGGCGTTGGACGATACAACGTGGAATTTGTAGCCCTTGACAGCACAAACAAAAGCGAGCGAGGAGCCGGTACTGCCTCCAGTAGCTTCTACAATGGTCATACCGGGTCGCAAATCACTTCTCCGCTCTGCTTCTTCAATCAAGGATCTTGCCATACGGTCTTTGTAGGAGCCCGTCGGATTCAGTGATTCAAGCTTTACAAAGACCCGCGCGCATCCATCTGGTACAACTCGTTGCAACTGTACGCATGGGGTGTTGCCGATCGCATCGAGGGCATTGCCCATAGGAGGTGATTCAGCCATGATCAGGGTGAGGTGAAGGGTTGTTGTATACTCAGGAGTGCCAGGGGTCGCAAGCGTCTTTATTGGTACGGTTGTACGAAACTTGCCATTTCAGTGAGGTCTTGCGTGCTTGCATGCGGGGTCGGCACTTCGGCCAGTCTCGACAGGGGCCGCCGCCGCCGCCGCTGCATCTGTACCTACACTAACACCATCATCTGTCTTCATGTCCAGGACTGACAATACGATGTCGCACCGATTCTCGTATCTTTTACAAGCCTTCCGATACGTGCACTGAAAGGTCACTGATAGGCGCTACTGCTCGCGAACGAGGGCCCGCACGAAGGAAGGGTTTTCCGTACACGACAGCAAGTCTTCACCTCGATTGTACAGGCATCGATACCCTCGCTGAAGTCACAAGAAATGCTGCCGAGAGTTTGGTATGGAATCTCCCATGTCTAGATCTCCCATAAACGATTCATTAAAGGCGAAGTCCGCGAGCCTGCTCTTTACATAGCTGCGTCCAGGGATCACAATTCCACTCTCCAAATCCCATGATCGTTGTAGGGTATCACATAACGAGCGGCCCGTCTCGACTTTTTACTTGCGCTACCGTTCATTGAATCTTCTCCTGCAGTCTGCTGTCGCGCTGACGCTACGACTAGGCTGACAATAGCTCATAGGCGGCAGCCCATTTACACCTTGAAGAACGGCCTTACCATTTGTCGCATCCACTGTTCCATCTTGTCGACGCGCTATTCGATAGCAGCAGACTTCAAATGCAGATGATCTCCACTACGAGACTGAGAGTGCAGATGTTCGACTGACATACTCGAATCAAGCCCAAAACCCGGCAGCCTTAAGTTCTTCGATTGTCCCTTTGAACCCGACGACTTCCCCAGGATCGATACCCAGCTCTTCTGGACTGATGAACTCTTCAGTGACCTCCCACGGGTCGCACGCCTCTCCATACTTGAATTGCTTCGCTAATTCGTTGCCCATATCGCCGTACAGCTTCGTCACTGTCTCCATGCTAATTTCAGCAAACACACAGCTCTTGCCGGTTACTTCCGACCATACATCGACCATCTCTTGGAACGTCAACTTCTCTAGCGCGACGTTGGCGTATCTACCGTAAGCCTTATCACCAGTGGCAAGGGCTTGACGAACCCAGATACCGGGATTGACAGTCATGTCGCCAGCCACGAGCACTTTGGCGTCGGCTTTCGTAGGCAAAGTCTGAATGTACTGGCCGGTGCCGGGCTATATGCTGGGTTAGTATGATGCGTCGTACAACAAGGGCTAAATTTGACATACGTATTCGATTGGCTTGCACAATGGGAAGAAGGCCATGTTCTGGGGGTAGTACCCGAAGTACAAGTAAGTAGTAATAGCAGCAAGCTGAGGCAACTCCGCTTTGATGCGCCTGTCGACATTGGCCTTATAGTCCATATGTGGTGCTTCTAGCTTGCCCCAGAACCGGCGCTTGGCACTTGGAGTTGTTGACCAGATGTAGTGGTCTACGGTACGAGTGGCGGCAGCAGCTCGAGCAAGATTCATGCCATGTCGCTCTTCGATCTCACCAGACTCGTGCTGGCTTTTACCCTGGAAGAGCGATTCCCACCAGTTCGTGACAGCAAATACGGCATGCGCACCTTCAAAGGCAGCTCGCAGGGACGCCTGATCCTCAAAATCAGCCTTCACAACCTCGATACCCTCAGCTGTAAGCTTTCTCGCCGCATCACTGTCTGGATTCCTGGTAATTGCTCTGACCTTCCATCCAGGGTTCTTCTTCATAATATTGACAACTCCACCACCTTGGCTTCCTGTCGCACCTGTGACAGCGATGATCTTCTTACTATGGTCAGGCCAATCCTTGAGCGTACCAGCCAATCCGCTCTCTTCTCCATGCACCAGATTGAACCATGGCTCGAATACGGCCTCTGAGCGCTTCGAAAATGCTCCGCTCTTGTAGCCTGGATGACCCCAGTCTACAAGTTTGTCGTGCGCCACCTCGATGGTTTCACCTGTCCTGAGATTTTCCTTGTCGTCAAGGAAGCAGTCGTAGCCAGCGAAGAGTATCGACTTCATCATCAATTGTTCAGGATGGAAAGCTTTGCTAAATCCAGGCATAGCTTCAGTCTCGATTGGGCCCAGCATCACAGAGTTGACGGAGATGTTATCCTTGGCCAGCAGAATGGGTCCAGTCGTCTTCGCCCACATGGCCGACGCTGCCTCGGCCGCGCAATACTCCGGGAAAGTCTGGCATGCGTATACACCTAGCATGCTACCTGTAGTGATAATCTTACCGCCCTTCCGTCCTGGGTTGTTGCGCATGTAGTGCGTCGCCAGTGTTGTGCCATATATTCTTCCTTTCACCACCACGTCGGTGCAGCTGGTATCCGGTTCTGGAGGTGGGCTGTTGATGGCTGTATCACGGTATTTAAAGTTGAAAACGGAACCGCGATCAACAAAACCAGCGTTTGCGATCAGAACGTCAAGACGACCCCACTTCTCCCAGACAGTCTTGAAGAGGTTGACTTGCGAAGCGTAGGAGCCTACGTCGCATTGAACGAAGATGGCTGTCTCTTCTTTTGGGTCAATCGATGAGGCGACGTTGTGTCCTTCACTCTCTCGTCGACCACAAATTGCGACGCAGTACCCTTTCGCATGCAGATGAGCTGCTAGCCAGGAACCGATGCCACTCTATCAGGTTCTGTTAACGATTTCATTGTTTACATTCATGCGACGTGACTGACCGTGGCACCGGTAATGATTGCAACTTCTCGCTCGTTCTGCGAAATGGAGCCCATGTCGTCAAGTCTCAGTATTCGAGAGATAGTCGTGGTGCATTTCTGAGGGGAGATCGATCATATTTGAAAGAGCGGGACGGTTGTATCTAGCCGCATTACTCCCCAATTGCCTGAACGAAGACGCTCGTCTCTGTCCAGCACTGGGGCATGACGCTTCCCACATTGCATCCCAAGAAGCTAACTCGATGTTCGAGAGAGGAGTAGTTGCTTAATTTCGCCTTTTTCCCGAGCCGTTACACGAACTTGCAGCTATTAGCGCGACTAGCGCTTCTTCGTTGCCGTACCAGGTGTTTGGCATGAACGCTCGCAAGAATTAGTGTAGAAGCACTTGCCAAAGTTTCTGCAAGTTGATGCTTCACGATGCAGCCTTAGATCCCTCTCGCCATGGAAGATTCCAGTCCCGATGTTCATCTATTGAACTGTCGTGGAAACGATGGCACGCAGCAAAGATGGGCGATTCCAACGACGTGGATCGTCCGCAACCGCGCCACCTTGGCATTACGGCGTGGTCCACAACCAGCTTGCCGAAAGGCGGGTGGGGCCACGCTACGTGTGCTCAGATGTGACTTCGCAGTGCCGACAGTAGGATTCAGCGCGAAGGATTGTGATACATATGTACAGGGAAAGTGTTCCTGCGCTACAGATATTGCCTGTCAGACGGGACGCTTTTCTTGCCGCGCCTCTCGTGGCGAAGGAATCCTGCTTGATGGTCGAAAGAATACCTAGTACTGCAGCGATAGCGACAGAATGACTATGAATTCTACAGGTGTATTGCAATACGTCGTTAGTCATGCAAGAGGTCTGTAGGCTCGACTTGTGGATGCGCTGACGACCGAATGCCACAGGTTGCGCCTTCGAATCATGGATACAACAAGAGCAGAATCACCGCGATACTATCAATTGCAATGATGTAGTCTGAGATGGCGCTTCCACTGGCATTTTTGCTCCGAAGGAGTACCACATACCGCTGCTCATTGCCAATCCAATCTGACGGGTTCACGAGCCGCCTCTCAGTGTTCTAGGTCATAACAAGGGTTACCTCTTTTAGGATGTGGCGAGGTCAAAGCTGTACGTGCATGCCGGGAAAGTAACCTTGTAGCTGTCGTTCATGCTCATTGCGTACATATAGGAGGCTAGGTCCACCTATTCGAGCCCCTTCGCCCCTTGGGCATATTCATGCAGCGGACTCGGGAAGCAGATTCATTCCATGACAGCAGAAACGATACCCATCGAAAATGGACAACAAGTCGGCGTTCTGGTGACTTCTTCAATCTCCATCCTAATAGTCATAGTCGCTGTGGGTCTGCGGATCGTCGCCAAAAAGATCGGAAACAGGATTGATTATAGTGACTATTGTATTGTCGCCGCCGCAGTAAGTCGAATAATGTAAAAGACGGCCGTTCTGTTTCTGAAAACATCTACCAGCTATGGAATACTGCAATGCACGCGTGCTGCATCTCACTAGTCACATATGGCGGTTTTGGGTTCCACACAACAGAGATCTACCAACGTTTTGGACCTGAGACGGCAACGTTCTTCTTCAAGGTGAGACCGAGAATCAGCCCTTCCAGAATCCACATTTCTAATTTTCTTTCCATTGTAGGGGATAATGTCCTTTTCGATACTGTGGAATGCCACTGTGTGTTTCAGCAAACTATCGATTCTATCAATGTATGCTGCACTTATACCAATGTCATCTATGTTGCAATGGGCCCGTATTCTCGGCGCTCTGGTGGTAACGTGGAACATCGCCAACATACTCGCTGCTTTCCTGATATGCCGACCGCTCTCAAAAAACTGGAACTTCGCATTGCCGGGGACTTGCGGAAGTCAACCGTCTTTTTACTTCTCAATGGGGATCGTCAATCTCATCACAGATGCTGTGATCATCGCATTGCCCATGCCATATCTGTACAAATTACGAATAGCCTGGCGCAGGAAGCTAGCTGTGATGGCTTTACTCAGCATTGGAGTTGGGTGAGTAAACATTGCCGATGATTTCATCTTCCCTTATTGATGTTGAGATGCTGACATCTGAGGCAGAACCTGGGCCATCACCATATACCGACAAACATTGCTACCCAATCTAGACTTCACGGATATGACATACGAAGGTGTGCTCGCGACAATACTTTCTGGGCTCGAGCCTGCTGTCGCAATCGTTCTGGCGTGCATTCCGCTCATGCGTCCTTTGTTCAGTAAAACAAGGAACACCGCCAACTCCAGCTTCTCCTACGGAAGTAGCACGCATACCAGTCTTTTCTCGAAGAAAGGAGGCAAGGTACCTGATCTCGATCCGACTGCCACGTTCTCGGAACTGATGGACGACAACGATGCTTCTTCACAAATCGAGCTACAGCCTATCAAGACTTCGCAAATAGTTCGTGTCTCATCTGTATGTAGTCATCACAAGCAAGTACCAGCCAACTTAAATCACGCCATCACGGTCGAGACAAGGTGGGAAGTGAGAAGAGAATGATCTGGAGGCGCCTACATGCGACGTTAGTATTTCGTTTTGGATTGTCAGCTTTGCTTTTGCGAGTGAAAGATGGGCCGGAAAATACATAGAAACGTAACAAGGCAGGTACTCATCCGTATCAACCTATTGTAGACTCACAGCAAGCACAACATGTCGCTTTTGAAAAGCATCTTTCTATGAGAGGCAGGCAGAGTAGCCGATGGGAAAGAGATGATGTGCTATGCAATCCTATTGCGCGTGCATGTACTCCTGCGACTGAGCTTACTCCAGGGCGGGCTTGTGATATCCTATGATGTCATGCGGGATTTGTTCGCTCTGCCGCAACGTTGTTACATATGTGCACACTCTAATGCCACACACCATCTCTCATGGCCCGCACTCTGGTACCGTACCAAGAAACGACCCAAATCATGTTGGATAGTTTGTACTGCGAGCCTTGCTGTCGCTTCCTCCGCGGTGATGTTGTAGTGATCCAGGACGACAAAAGTTCAATCGTCTTCGAACACCACGATGATTATGGATCTCTAAGTAATGCGTTGAATTTACCATGTACGATTTGCAGTCTAGCATGGCAAAGCGATGAGCCTTCTGAGCTACACTGCGCGAGAGGAGTAAGAGGAACTTACAGCTACAACCCTCACAGTACAGGACATGTTATGAGATTCACCTATCGGGATAATGACCTTTACGGAAGTGATCAGGTAGTCTTTATACCATGGCATGGTGAGTGTGACCAATTAAGCTTGATCACCTTCCACTGAGATTAAGTGTAGCCACAATGATCGGGAGCTTTTCTACATGTTTGTCACATGACACTGGATCAGACTCTGCCATTGGTTTCGTCCTCGAGAAGTATAAAGTTTGCTGCGAAAATCATACACGATGCAAGCCACTCAAGCAACTGACGACTTTTAATTTTTCATTGAGGTTATTGGATGTCGGGACAGAGCGGGATTGTGCGATTGTGTTGCGCAGCACTAGCTCTTTTCGCGATGAAGAATATGTCTGTCTTTCCCATTGTTGGGGAGAAGTGAAAACATTTACACTCAATGCACAGACTCAATCGGTATTGAGCGATGGATTGGACTTGCAACGCCTACCAAAGACATTTCAAGATCCGGTTCTTCTTACTCGACGTCTCCACATCAGATACCTTTGGATCGATTCGTTGTGAGCACTTACGACTTCGTGTTGAAAGTCTTGAACTCACTCTAGCAGATGCATTTTTCAAGACGACAAAGTTGATTGGGCTTCGGAGTCCTACCGTATGGGAGACATATATGCGAATGCAGCCTGCACGATTGCAGCTACTGCTGCGAAGAACAGTAGTAGCGGTCTCTTTTTCAACAGGTCTCCACAGTCAATTTGTCCAAGGGAAATCGAAATTGATTTCAGCCCGGAAGCATTTTGGCTAGAGGGAAAGATACGAGGCTTCGCGATGGAAGGGACGTACCTTTGTGATGTCCGATTGATCGCTCAGTCATGCATCGAACGCGCGCCACTGAATAGAAGAGCTTGGGTCTGTCAGGAGAGACAGCTCTCGCGACGGCTACTACACTGTGCTGATGGACAACTTTTCTGGGAATGTCACGAGTGTCTAGCGTGTGAAACGTACCCCGAACGTCTTCCACACTGTGCCAAGCCTTGGTGGCGTTATGATGCGACAGCACTCAAGAGCCGGCTTTGTGACATTTTGCAACAGGCTGGAAGCCCTTTATCACAGGATTCGATCTACCCTCGTTGCACGCAAGCTATGGACATAGATACATATAATGCCTGGCTCACATTTGTGGAGCAGTACTCAAGGTGCGCACTAACCCTTGCCGCTGACAAGCTTGTGGCTATTCGAGGTATTGCGAAGTTGGTCAGCGAAATGACAGGCGATACATTCGTGGCCGGCCTTTGGCAAGGTCGCATCATTGAAGAGCTTTGCTGGAGCAAAGAGCCCTCAATGGAGGATCCATTGATGGAGCCAACAGAATGGAGGGCACCAACGTGGAGCTGGGCTTGCAGCGATATGCAAATCTGTCGTAGCTTACTCTATAAGTTTCACGACTTGCATAACGAACGAAGAATCGAGGCGGAGGTTGTTGATGTTGACACAAAAGCCGAACCTTCTGGAGAGCTGAGATATGCCTCGATGAAAGTCAGATGCAAACCACTGCAAGCGATCTATTCGCCCATTGCTACGGGTAAAATACGCGCAATGCTCGAGATAGGGCAAAAGAAAAGCTCGTTAATGCTCATGAGATTCGAAAAGAGCCCTAGGACATCATTCTATGGAGACGTTCCTGACGTGTCAGAAACATTAGTTGGTTACGTGGTTGTTATGCAGGCATGCTTCCATGACAAGGAACTCTCATGGCCCGCGAAAGACGAAGACTGCGTCGAAGCTTTGTTCATACGATCTCGGGATGACGGGGGGGAACAGTTCGAAAGGATCGGGATTTTCTCCTTTGACGGCCGGCATGCAGTGGAACATGTCCTCAAAGCCCATCGCGTGGCAAAGGAAGAAATAATCACGCTTGTCTAAACTGTAACAAGTGAGCGATCGAGGCTGTTCAGGAGACGCTGCAATGCAACTTGTATTTCATACCATACGTTTATGTTTGTGACTCCCAACAGGAAGGATTGCTTGGCTTGTTTTGTCCAGCGTCCGTCCCTGGCGATAACATTCTTCGATTGGGAACAGATCGCGTGTTGATCGTGTTCATGAGTATAACAAATGGATCGGCCCCAGATATAAGGGAAACAGTCATAACAAAGCACAACACATCAAGCCTCTAGACATTGAGCTCTACGCGGATGGAATCGTCGCAGAGATCGCGAAATCACAGAAAGGCTGTGTGATCATCATGCAATGGGTTGTTCATGAACGTGGATACACGCCTAATGGCAACGCGAACTCAGCAAGCAAGAGTAGCGAAGTGGAGAGCGAAAGAGACAGTGAAGGAGTGAATGAAGCTTCGGAAGCATTAAGGAAATCATGTGAGCTGAACGGCGCAGAAGCTCTCATTTTACAAATGCATGACTGAATAACGTTTGAAAGAATATGGCCTATTCGCTGCAGTCGCTATCCTGCATCCAATCGATACTCGAGACTCATCGCGTTAGTAGTAACCCGGTGATCGATATTGTTTGAACAGAACCCGTTGCCAGCAAGAGGTAAAGATCGCACTTTACCGAATATCTCAGGACAGCTATTGTATGTGGCCGTAGACCTCTAGCCTCGTACAAACTCTATGTTGTCGGGATATCCATTACTCGAACACGTTTCTTGCACGCGCGAATACAATATGGGGCGTTAGGGTGAGGCGGGCGTTGCCGTTGCGCATCCCTGCACGTGTTTCGCGCTCGGTGGAACTAGCAAATTCTTACGGTAATTTGTTCGTACAACAGTTGGCATGGAGGGCTGCAGCCTTGTCGATCGCAAAAGCTGGATTCTGGAGCGTTGAATCGACTAAATTCGAAATCCTTCGCTGGCCTTGTTAGGAGAATGTGAGCGCTCACCCGTGCGCGCTCGGCATCCGCATCTGGTTTAGTGACCAATGCTGATCGCTCGTGTCTTGTGTCGCAATACAACAAAAGCTAAGTGCTGACAGCTAAGCAGCACGCTTGCTCTACAATCATGTAGAAGACAGGGCGCGTTCCAGATTGCCAGCTTATGTGTCTCGTCGGACACTCCATACTGACCGATGCGGTAGGGAACATCCAATTTCAGAAGGAAGCTCTGCCGATTGTGGTGCTTGCTTGTCTGGTGACGTATCCAATGCTGCTAGGCTATCTCCATGTTTGTTCATCGTCTCGCTTCCTGGCGCTTATGAACGTGAGCAGCATATCTCGTCGGCTGCGGCATGCTTCAACACATCAGATGGATCTCAACTGGGCCACAGGAGAAAGGTCGATATTGGGGTTGATGATGAGGGAGACAGAGAACATTGTGATGGCAGGCAACTAGGGCATGTCAAGGCCGTTGCCAAGGTACCAGGTACGATCACAGCACGGATACCAGTACTAGCGAAGAGTCCCAGGCTCACCTAGAGCTTCGAATCTCACACCGGCTCTCCATTCTGGAGAAGGTCTCAGCCTCATGCTTCATTTTATTCGATCTAGTGCAAGATGCGACTGTCGTGGCAATCCCTCACCTTTCGCGCAAGCTAGCCATCGCAGTCGCCATGCAATACAGGTTGATCAAATTCCTAGGTACATTGCGTCGGAAATCTCTCCTGTATCTCTCGAATTTCGAACATGACCACAGCATATGGTTCTTGCACGTGGTCCTTTTAGCGTCTAGTTGGTGTCTTCTCCTGACTCTAGAACGCCTAGTTCAGTTCCCCAGACCTAGTAATGAATTCCTAGCAGTAACGCGACCCTACAGTGGAGGTCTTATCTTGGTTCGCTCTACAAGGTATGATGTCGGTACCGTGCGCCCCTTTGAGATCCACTATCGAGTAAGGTTGGCTTACAGTGAGGCCGCGACGACGTACGACACACGACCGATCGGCAATGGGTGCCGAATGCGCAGCTCTGTTCCAACGTCAACTTGGATTGGCACACGGCGAAGCCGCAGAGTACGTTAGCACCCGCCAAACCACCAAGAGATTGGAATACGAATCACACCGAGATCCGGACCTTCTGTACGACAGCTTGGGGTCTTTGGTTTGGCGGTATCGTCATCCGGTCCTTTGGAGCATAGCCATACTGTCAGTATCAAGGTAGTGATGGGAGTTGTGTCTCACGGAGAAGTATAAATGCCTTCAGTTCCCTCCCACCATTTTGATTATCCACCGCACTCAGTCATCAAATCATCGATTCAATCACTTAGTCACCCTTCCCTAGGATCAAAACCGTACGAATGATTAACTTCATGTCTCGAAGTCTCCTGCTAATCGTTGTTTATAGCAACTCTACAACTCTTTCCCGCCAAAGCCAAGCAACCTCCCAACGCCAACATGCAGCTCACCACCATCCTCTCTGTCGCTATCCTCGCCCTTGGCGCTGCTGCTCAAAAGACTGGACCTAACGGCAAGCGAATCTGCGCTGGAGGTGCCATCTCTTGTGAGTACCAAAAGGGTCGTTGCGCCAACATCTGCGGCGACTCTCATGCAGACGGCTCTGGCACCCCTGCTTTCATCGACCCCTCTTGCTCCTGCCCTGAGGGTCAGGCCGACAACCTGTACACTGGTGCTGCCTGTATCGATGTTTTCCGAGCTCTTGGCCGTCAAGGCTGCTAAGCGATATGGACAAGTCTACTTCTCTTTGCCACTTAGTAATTATGGTTGGAGATGAGCGACTACATCTCCTTGGAGGGATGTTGGAGATGTGTAACGGGATGTATGGAGCGTCAGTAGGGCCTAGTAAATAAGAGTTCTTGTTTTCAATATTCGATCACTTTGATGGGCTTTAAGCGACGTAACACTCGCTGCAAACAGGATTCTTGACATGGACCTTTGCGAAAGGCCAGGCTGAAACTAACCTTGTTATTTGACACGAGAGGTTCCTTGACAGCGAATCAGCCTACTCCGATGCAGACCTAATGGCTAATATTACGATCACGATATCGCGCGATTTTTGCTTGTTTTATTTGCTCCTTTCGCATCAAATTCTACGGAGACAGGTGGAAAAGAGGACTTACTATTACACATGTTGCATACTTTCCTGTTAGAAGGCTAGGCTATGGATCTGCATGGCGCATTCTTTCGTTAGCCGAGTGCGGTACAGCAGGTATATTTCGGTACACAGCAGGTGTGGTTACACAGTAGTGACAACACACCTGGGCTTCGAGGTCTATCCAAGTGAACCTCACCCGCCAGATTCATGAGCAAACGTTCAGAATCGAACTCTTACAAAGATATTTGCATCAGCCGCGTCGGAAGCGATCCTAAAAGCCATGTAGATGAGAGGAACGAGAGTCGTCAATACGTCCCAGTCTGTCGCCGAGCTAGCTGACAAGCTTGTCTCCATCCATACACTCAGACAGAAGAAAGCACTCCCTAAGCCAGTCATTTACATCGATCTTGAAGGTTCGAACCTATGTCGTGAAGGCTCAGTCTCTATCTTGACCCTTCTCGTCGACCTAGAGACCTCACTGAAGCTGGCCTACCTTATCGACGTTCACACACTGGGCGAAGGAGCATTCAACACAGCAGGTGTAGGGAAAACCACCCTAAAGGAAGTATTGCAGGATGAAGAGATCTTCAAGGTCTTCTTCGACGTTCGTAACGACTCCGACGCATTGTTTCCTCATTATGGTATCGCCCTGTAAGGTGTCGAGGACGTACAACTCATGCAGAGTGCCACACAAGAGACTACTGGATCGAGAAGATACCTCAACGGACTGAAGAGATGTTTCGAGACAACTTTGCCGGGTGCATTCTCCCAACACCGATTAGATTGGTTAAAAGCCAAGAATACGGGAGAGAAACTGTTCGAAGCCGACTACAAGGTATTCAACGAGCGACCGATCCCAACACCAATCATTGCATACTGCGAAGGCGATGTCCGATGCCTTCCCCAAATACGTAACAGACTGATGGTGGGGCAGTCCCAGCGTTGGCATGACCTTGTGCTTGACGAAATAAAGAAACGCGTTGCATCGACTCACGCGCTGGACTATCAGCCTCATAGCAAAGATAGGGTTCTAGCTCCGTGGAGTTCTGAACAGAACGTAGCGTTGGACAGATTAAATTGTGAACCTACCATGGAGGAGTGCTTAGAGGCGTTGTAAATTCATGGAGATGGGATCTAAGCAATAAGATGCATTTTACATAGAGACGTCGGCGAATGGAAACGGTGTCCATGACAATGTTGTAGCTGCTAAAGTTCTTTTTTCCGTGCTCCTTCCGCATATCGGTTGGGCTTCTACCTCCTATAATGATACTCGTCTCACAGGCTTCGATCATGTTAGCGATGAAGTGCACTTGTCCCGGCTTAACATCGTGTCCGTCTTATACTTGTGAACTTCAGCAATTTGGTGTGTGTGGTAGATAGGACATTGAGCAGTCGTCCTTGCACAGTGGAAGTCTGATATACAATACTGTACATATATCTACATACGAACATGGCGTGCAATCATGCTGTGCGATCGCTGTGCACCTCCTCATCCTCATCCTTCTTGGTGGTCTCGTATCGCTTACCACGGAAAGCGTACACACCCCAGTTGCTGCAGGTAACGTCGTGTGGGTCTAGGTCGTTCAGGTCCCACCTCAGACTCCTGAACAGGTTTTCACCTGGCTCAAGCAACATGTCCATCTCATTGCCAAACCTCTTGTTCAAGAAGTCGACATCCTGCTGCATGTCCCATGGGCTGTATCCGGTTGCGATGATAGGAACCTTGGTCTCGAGGAGAAGGGGTAGCGTCTCCTCCCATTCGTGCGCGGAGGCTGGGTTGCCGAAACCGGGATGGAAGACGATGAAGCAGTCAAAGTACGGGTCGTACGGGTAGAAGTAGCCCGTCTTGTGGATGTTGTGGTAGTACTCGACGAAGGTGCTGATCTTCAAGGAGTTGCTGATGCGGTCCTCGACAACAGCACCGAAGGGGTTGAGAGGAGTGCGTTCGGGCAGCGGTAGTTCCTTCTCGCGGTTTGCCATACTCTCAGGGCCGATGAAGTTGAGGGAGAATTGTACGCGGTGGAAGAGGTAGGAAAGTTGCATCCATGTTTCGCGGGGTAGGGAGGATTCTGCGCGTGCGCCGAGAATGAAGAGGCGGACGGATGGCGGAGCAAGGCGGGCGTTCTTCCAGGTATCTCCACCACCTGTTCGCGGTGGGTGAAGGGTGTGACGGAGGGCTGTTAATGTTAGTATCATCCCAACTGGTCAATCAAAGCCTACGTACCGCTGAAGCTCTTCAACCCCTCGGGTGTCATGCGCCCGTTCTTCCGGATGTTGTAGGGACTCAACTCGTTCAGGACACTCGCGATCGTGATGGGGTATGTCAACAGCTTTGTCGCCTGGCGCATCTCTCGGTCCTCGTTCAGCGCGTCAAAGTCTCGTGTGTACATGTATGTATCCCAACTTGTCATGTTGACCAGAATCTCCTCCATCTGGGGCTCCGCAAATTGGAACTCCTTGAAGAAACGCCCACTTCTCAGATCATGGTCGTCTTCGTTGATTTGTTTCAAAACGTCGCAGACCTCCAAATGCGCCTCGTAGTCGTCGGCCCAGTGCTCTTCACAGCAGTATACTGGTACACCACAGTCTGGACACTCGAAATCGACATGGGCGGGTGGAGCGCCTGTCTCGGATGATTTGCGTGCCTCTAGGTCCATGGGGTTGTTTGCCGGACGTGTCGGCTGATGCGAGGGGTGTGGACAGTAAGCATGCTGGCGCATAAACGCAGCACGTTTGCGTATTTCGGGTATAGGTGAATCGGAGAAAGAATTGAAAAGGTTGTCCTCGGTCAGGACCAACTTCCGTCGATGACCCTCTGGGTCAATGTATTCGAATGGTTCGAACGGCTTCTCAAAGGCCCGCTTCGGCGTCGTGGAGAGGTTACGCTTCGGTAGGGCGAGTTTTGGCGGTGCTGGACTTTTGGTGGAGTGATTCCGTTGCGACGACACCTTGGGCGCGAGCTGGCGAAGCCCTTGCGACGGCCGTAATTGAGACCTCGGCGTCTTGACTAGCGACAGACATTGTCTGCAGGTATATGGCGTCCTCATTGTGAAGTCTTGACTCGCAATTGGTGTTTGCGGCAGCTGTGATATCGTGACATGATCGTCTGCGAATGTTAGCGCGGCATCGGTCAATACAATCGCCGATTGGTCACATCCCCTCCGAAGACATCATCACCCCTCCCATTCTTCGATGTATCAATTGCAGCACCATCACTGTCAACCATCAGTTCATAAGAAATACATGATGCATCCCATGTAGCACCTGCACAGATGCAACTTCAGGATTACTAATCATGAACGCCTGATGTACGGAATGCGCGGATGAGGCTGATGCCCATACGTCCCAGACGACCGCTTCGCTGCCGCAACAACTCCAAGAGGTCAATGTCCGAAATTGTACTTTAGCAGGCGACAACGACAGTACTTTCAGGACATCGGAACGCCCCTGTATACAATCTCCTGGCTAACGGATTTCCAACAAACGAGTAGGGAGCCAAGATAGACAAGCCGAATGCACGTCGCATCTATACTCTAGTCGATGTGTTCGTGCTTACGTCCGTGACCCTTAATATAAGTAACACTCCGCTTCCGTCACAACAAAATCGCTTTACAATGCTTCTTAAGCAGCGGTGACTGCACCGGAATAATTGTTTCAGAATGCCGTTCGTGGAGAATCTCTACAGCGATCGCCATATGGTACTATACTTCCCCGCAAGCTAACCCCAGAATAGCAGCATAGTCGCAGCCCTCATAAACGTACATGTAGTACAACCACTCCACGCATTCCAACGTCAATCCTGTTGCACGCCAAAGGAAAAGTTCTCGTGCTCAAGATGTCGCGAACGCCTCGTTCATTACCTCTCCTTTGCACATTCATCCCAGTTTCGACAGCGTTATCATTATGGTCTACCACCCCTGCAAATAGCAGCGACATCATCCGCACCACCTACCCGATCGGAAATGGTCGTCTGGGTGCAATGCCAATTGGCCCACCAGGTGCTGAGATACTCACTCTGAATCTGGATACTCTGTGGTCAGGCGGCCCATTTTCAGCATCCGTAAGTCTGGATACATCTGGTACATACCCAAGTCATATACTGATGCGACGCATAGAACTACAGCGGTGGAAATCCAAACTCTTCTGTTGCCGAGGCTCTGCCGGGTATCCGGGAGTGGATCTTCACCAATGGAACGGGGAACGTGACAGAATTGCTGGGTCTAGATGACGCATACGGTACCTATCAAGTTCTCGGCAACTTGAGTGTGACCATTCCTTCGCTGGTGGATGCCGATGTTGCCAATTATACGCGCACACTGGACTTGAGCAATGGCATACATACCACCTCGTTCAGCTTGAACGGTAGCCATATCGAAACTGAAGCCTTTTGCTCGTTTCCGGATCAAGTTTGCGTCTATACGGTTCGGTCTTCGAATGGACTGCCAGCTGTTGAAGTAAGATTGGATAATGAGCTGGTCGACCCTGAGCTGCGAAACGCTACCTGCGTTAGTGGCAACGGCACGGAGTCCGGTTATCTGAGACTGGGGGGTGTGACAGAGCTTGGTCCGCCTGAGGGTATGCGGTATGATGCAATTGCGCGAGTGGCATCCGGCAGCAATGTCAACACGAGGTGCGATAGTAGCACCAATCTGCTGACTATCGCATCTGGCAACGGTACAAATAGCGTTACGATAGTGCTAGGCGCTGAAACAAATTACGACGCAAAGAAAGGAACACGAGAGTCTGACTACTCATTCCGCGGCGAAGACCCAGGTCCAGCCGTTGAAGCAACGACTTCTAACGCCGCTGCGAAAACACTTTCTGGGTTACTAAAACGCCATATCGACGACTTCACTTCTCTCACAGGTCGCTTTACATTGTCTCTTCCAGATCCCTTGAAGTCTTCCCAGACACCAACATCAGAAGTCATCGCACGCTACAACGCAAACAACACAGTGGGCGACCCTTACATCGAGAACCTACTCTTTGACTACGCGCAGTACCTTTTTATCTCCAGTTCACGGCCAGGCTCTCTTCCACCAAATCTCCAGGGACGATGGAGCGAAGGTCTCTGGGCTGCGTGGTCAGCAGACTACCATGCAAACATTAATCTGCAAATGAACCATTGGACAGCCGACCAGACTGGATTGACTGACCTCCAGTCACCATTATGGGATTACATGACTGACAATTGGGTTCCGCGCGGTAGCGAGACAGCTGAGCTACTATACGGCGCACCAGGATGGGTGGTACACAACGAGATGAATATTTTCGGTCATACCGGGATGAAGAGTGGTGCTGAGTGGGCAAATTACCCAGCTTCTGCCGCATGGATGATGCAGCATGTGTTCGATCATTGGGATTACTCGCGCGACGAGGCGTGGCTGCGAGATCAAGGATATCCGCTTATGAAAGGTGTTGCAGAGTTTTGGCTCAGCCAGCTTCAAGAAGACATCTTCAATGACGACGGATCACTGGTTGTCAACCCATGCAACAGTCCCGAGCATGGTCCGACAACATTTGGATGTGCGCATTATCAGCAACTCGTACATCAGGTATTCGAGGCGGTACTCTCCACGACGACCATAGTGGGCGAATCAGACACTGCTTTCATAGGCAATGTCACCGATTCGCTCCAGCGGCTCGATAAAGGGTTTCACGTTGGATCGTGGGGCCAGATCAAAGAATGGAAGCTTCCTGAAGAGCCATATGGTCTGGAATTCATCAACGACACCCATCGCCATCTCTCTGAGCTAGTCGGCTGGTACCCCGGTTACTCGCTCTCCTCCTTCCTTGATGGCTACACCAATAGCACCGTTCAGGATGCTATCCGACAGAAACTGTACAGCCGAGGTAACGGTAATGGTCAGGATGCCAATGCCGGATGGGCAAAGGTCTGGCGCTCAGCTTGTTGGGCCAGACTGAATGACACGGATCAAGCTTACTATGAGCTCCGGTATGCCATCGAGCAAAACTTTGCTGGAAATGGATTCAGTATGTATTCCGGTATCGAAACGCCATTCCAGATCGACGCAAACTTTGGGTTTGGAGGCGCCGTGCTGAGCATGCTTGTCACGGACATGCCGACAGCTGCGGGTGGTGAAGAGGATGGAAAAACCGTGGTGTTGGGTCCTGCGATTCCAACAAGCTGGAGCGGCGGGAGTGTAAAAGGATTGAGATTGAGAGGCGGCGGGATTGTTGACTTTGGTTGGGATCCGAACGGAGTCGTTAAAGATGTGAAGACATATGGTAAGCTCGAAGGTCTGACCCTGGTGAACAAGGAAGGTATTGTGCTAGGGTAGTGAGAGAAAAAGCAGTCGAAAGTACGGCCTTCGACTATTATTCAGTGGCCGTTTTTGGGATCAGCCAATCCACCTTATCTAGCGATTTGGACCTAGCACCAGATCATGTGGATATATGCCATGTTTTCGGTGCTTCCCATCTCTTCTTATCGATGACAGAATCTTTAGAGCAGCTTGAACCCTGGGATGTTTCAGTTGCAGAAGTAGATGCCACATCCGCGACACGCACAACCTTCGATGACTGCGCCGCAACCTTCGAATCGTCCTTGTTGTCGAACCAAGACGGCGGATAAAGTAACTGTAGATTCCTCGCACCTCTACGCTTGTTCCCCCTTTCCAAACGCCCTCCCTCGACATAGATGTTCGCATTGTGACGACCGTTGGGTGGGCTATGGCCCTCGTTCCTCCAGAATAGAGGACGCATAAGTGGTATGCAGGCTACCAGGATCATGACTGCGGTTTCGAGCTCGCTCAAGATCATGGCGAAGATTATATTCGGTGTTTTCGGGATGTCGCCAAAGTCCAGCTTCCAGAGAAGCTTCTGGCGATAGACCGTGATAGCTATAGTCCTGCAATTAAAGTCAGCTCATTGCAAACGTGAATATGTCTGTCGCATGTACGTACCCGATGCCTAGTCCTAACATGACAATCGCAACCACTTTTCGACTCCACGGCATTCGTAGGCGGAATATATAGGGCATCGGCAGCACGATAATGACCATATCGATGATGAGGTTCAACATGCCCTGGGAAAAATAGAACGGGTTTTGGCTAGTGCATTTGTCCGGATCCTTCCATGCCTGTGCGAGTGGTTTACAGATAGATAAGGCCGTGATCAAATCTACTATTATCCACAGAATGATTGTTGCTCCAATGTAGCGGCACATGACGAGCATGGATGTGTTGGGTATGATTGAAGTGTACATGAGCAGGACGGATAGCTTCGAGAGACAGACGGTGACATTCCATACAATGGTCATGACTAGCACGCCTTTGAAGAGGATGTAGAGCACGTCGATGCCGAAGCGGGCGACTATGGTGTACATGTCAAAACCGAAGGCGCCGTAGTACGCAAGATAGATGCAATTGGCGCATAGCGCTGTGTGTGAGACCTAGGTTATGTCAGTAGGTGTGCTTTCCTCACAGATACTAGTTGCCAGGCATATGCGATCGATGCCTCGAGCGTAACAGAGCGCTGTGAGATCGAAACATGATATGGTACCAAGGCTGCGACAATGCAATAATCGCTGTAGTCGAATTTCCTGCGAATATGTTTCGCGACAAGACGCAGAATGACTGCAATCCAAGCTATCGCGATGGACGCGCCAGATAAAGCCAGAGTCCAGACCTGCAGGTAATTTTCGATGGGGATGATCATGTTTGGTGATTAATGAGAGTGATGAAGATGAGAGTCGCGATAGCCAACGACAAAGATGTTGAGCGCGCTCCCTCAAGACATGCAGAGAGTTGGAAGAGAAGACTGCGCGACTCCAGAGATGCCGCACTTGCTAAAGTTACTCGTCATACGGGTTCGTGCGTGTTGTATAGAATCGTGGATCACCTGGCTGGCCATACTTCTTTAATCAGCTGAGGGGACAGCATATCAGAGGATTCTATCCTTTACATCCTGCACCAAGAAACTTCGAAGGGATCTCTGGATACTGCAAAGTATGTAGATAAGTAGTTCGAAGCGATGGCTCAAGTGAGTTTTGAATAGCTCCCGAATAGTAGTTGAATAACAAAGATGTAGCCAATCACAATAGCGGTCCACTCGGAGATTTGTGCCTGGGCGCACGGAAAGTGGGTCGACCACACTCTATCGTATTTCCAAAACTCTTTATATTACTGTAGCGCATTGCTTCAATAGAATTACGCCTTGCTTGATAGGCTAAAACATAAGCTGTATCTCACTTTCGTCTGATGCGGTAAAGTAGGGCTGTTAGGAGCACGTTAGCAGACCAAGGGTGTTTTGGTGAAGTCTTAACGAACGCAAGCGACTCGGATGTCTGCGCAGCTTATCCATGGAACAGCCAGGTACGTTATAGTCTTGAATTCTAGGGCTGTTTTGATGTTCGAAATGCGCGTTGGGCCGTCGTGCGTGATAACCCAACACGCACGGTACGTACCGGTAGCCTGCCTTGGCTAGTTCACGCGGACGAAATCAGGAGCCGCGCTAACTCCCGAGGTGGATACTGCGACTAGTCTTGCAAGACGTGTCGATATCACTCCGATTGGATGACGTATCGACGGTATTTCGATTGGACGACGTATGAACTATACCTCGATCTCACCACGTGCTGACAGCACTTCGACATTATTTATCAGCATTGCCTAGGTGCGGGTGTAGCTATTGATCGTTTGCCGCAGCTGTGAATCGAGTCTATAGAAGCTAGATAGTCTATTAGTAAGCATATTGACGAGAGTCGTCATGATATTGGTTGATGTCACGTCTCCTCAGTATTGACTGAAAGACCTCGGCAGTGTGCTGCATCATATATAAGTGACCACCTCCACGCGAGACCGGACATTACTATCATCCCATCTACACTACTATCAACACCAGCTCAATATCTCTCACAAGATGTCTCACCCAACATACGTCTTCGGCTCTCACCAGATCGAATCTTTCACGAAAGACGATTTACAGGCTCTTCTGGACATCCTTAAGAGCAGAGGCATTCGAAACATTGACACTGCCCGCATCTATGGCGACAGTGAGAAATGTCTCGGAGAGGTGAAAGCTGCCCAGTCGTTCATCATTGACACCAAATCTCCAGCATTCGCTCCGAAAGCGCTCACTGGCTCCTCACTTAAGGATGGTATTCAGACATCCCTCTCACTCCTTGGAACCGAAAAGGTCGATGTTTATTACCTCCATGCTCCCGATGACGAAACCCCCATCGAAGAGACCGTGGATGCCATTCAGGAGCTACATTGCCAGGGCAAGTTCGAGCGCTTCGGACTTTCCAACTTCCTACCCGATGATGTACGAAAGATCTATGCGTATGCAAAATCAAAAGGCGGAGTTGTTCCTTCCGTATACCAGGGCAATTACAATGCCTTTGCTCGCACGATTGAGCAAGATCTTTTTCCTATCCTGCGCGAACTAGGTATTGCCTTTTATGCCTACTCGCCACTCGCTGGTGGCTTCTTCGCCAAACAGCCGGACGACTTGGAGAGCAAGAAGGCAGAGGGGAGGTTCGACCCATCGACATTTGGCGGCAAGATGTATAATACCATGTACAACAAGCCCGCTGTAATCGAAGCCTTGAGGCAATGGAATAAAATTGCGGAGTCAGCAGGCGACTCGGGCGTAAACCTAGCCTACCGCTGGGCGGTCTTCAATTCCAAGCTCGATGCAGGGCTTGGTGACGCAATCATCCTTGGAGCAAGCCGGCCAGCGCAGCTGGAGAAGACGCTATCAGCACTTGATGCGGGCCCTTTGAAGTCTGAGACAGTGCAGCAAATCGAGCAACTGTGGAAACTTATGGAGAAGGATGCACCGCTGGACAACTACCACTCCTTTGCAAAGGCCTCTATGTAAAAATCACTCATATATTAGGATGTAAATAGACCTACTTATATAGAACCGTAAAAACCACTGTTCGTCTACTATCATACATTCAACACCTTTCAGGCGCCTAGAAACTCCTGCACTAGTTCGGAGAAAGCCTTTGGAAACTGGAAGAGGTGACCATGTCCGGAGTCTGGGAAGACTTGCAAATAGGAGCCAGGAACCTTTTGCTGGAGGACAAAGTCGCCAGAGGAAGGTGCTAAGACATCGCGTGTTCCGGAGGTAATAAAAAGCGGCGCCTTGATATTTTTCGCTTGCTCCAGGTATGTGGAGTTCCGGGTGAAGTCGAGGATAGCTTTGAGGTGTCTAGAGGTACCAGGCTCTTGCACTTGGTTCGTCTTGTTCTCGCCTGGCACGTTCCGCTCGGTGATGCGATTAGCGTAGTCGATAGCTGCAGCCGTGCTAGTGTTGGAAGGGTAGAAGAACAAGCCCAGGCCTTGATCTTGGGGAACTACAGGCTGGCGAGCAATAGCAAAAGTCGCATCCGTGGCCAGTTCAATACCAGGCCCATTTCCAACAATCGATCCAGCGATGACAGCCTTCTCCACAAGGTCAGGGTAGTTGATGGCAATGTGCTGCGCAACACCGCCTCCCATAGAGAAACCGAGCAAGTTGACCTTTTTCACTTTGATAGCCTTCAGGAAGGCAACCGCTGTGTCACCCTGGGCCGCGATAGAGTCGCCGATCTCGCCAGTGCTGTGACCGACACCGGCGTTGTCGAACAAGATAACGGGTCTGAATTGAGCAATGTAATTGAAAAGTAAGGGATCCGCGATGTCCATAGTCGCACGGAAGTTGGCGAGAAAGATAACGGGATTTCCTCTTTTCGCACCAAAGACCCGGTACGCGATTTGGTCGCCATTGACGTCAACGTATTTGGTCGGGACGACTTGGACCAACTTGGCCGGAGGGTCAATTAGAGCAACTTCTCGACATCCACTATATGGCCTTGTTATCTTCCATTCGGATATTCCCTCGACATTCTTGTAGTAAGCTTACCTGACAGCCAGTCCGGAAGGAAACGCGGCCACGCTTGATGCGCCGATCAGGGCGGTAAAAGAAGTGAACCACCTCATTTTCTTTCTTGCGGATGCCGGATTTTGTTGGTCGAATGGAGTTCTGATCAGAGCTGGTGATTGTGAGAGGTGTGATCACTGTCTAGGCCTCCGCACTTTGGTCTATATATGACAAGAGGACCTCCAGAATGGTTTTCTAATCATGGTCCCGGCCGATCCTAAACTTTCACTTGTAGCTTGATAGCTAATTTCAAAGTGCCCATTGCTTGTGCAGAAACGCATGGGGAACACCGCGGTGTCTAGGGATGTGGTATGATCGGAGCATCGTTACCATACACAGTGGTGGTACTGTAAACTACGATTACTGATTGGAAAATAAAGATCGCTTCCCGAGCAACTGTGGTCGGACAGATGATGGGCCGACGCGCTTGTTGATCAATCTTAATAGCATGATTAGATGCTGTAGCAATGAGAAGTGCAAAGCTATCTGCTTACCCGAAACGATATGCTTGGTTTTACTGGGATCATACGTGTTTTGTTCTCGCGAAAGTTATGAGGCGCGATGAGGTGTGATGAGACTAGGGGTGCGGACACCTTGAGTGGCTGGGGGCTAGCCAGCCCTGCCTAGGGAGCTGGAAGCGAGCCTGGACGGGCATTGTCGCCGTCACCAGGCTAACGCACCTTTTGCCACGAGCTTACTTCCCATCGCGACTTCGCATCAGACGATGGCCAAACTCACGGACCTCTCTAATGAGATCTTACTTTCCATTGTTGCATACTTCACATCGGGCGATGCATCCGATGTTGGAGCCTTACTGAGCTTATGTCGAACGTCCCGCACGCTAGTATCTGTCGCGCGACCGGCGCTTTACACTTGTGTGCAATTGGCAGAGCCAGTGGCAGACCCTTTGAAATCTCTCAAGCTCTTCCTCGAAACTTCGATAGAATATCCCGAGCTAGCAAATAAGACGCGAGAGCTGATTTTATTCAACGACCGAGGAATACGCTACGAGTGGCCTGACCTTGGACGCGATGACACATTCATGAGGTTATCAACATTGATAGGAGGGCATGATGGTGAGATCGAACCGGAACTCTGCTACAAACCGCTTGCGTTATACGTTCTTGCCCGAGTGCCAAACGTCCAACATATTCACCTTGAAGCGCAGATCGAACCTCCACGCGCGCTGCTAAAACACATGCACGAGAAGAGAGATGCCGACACTTCATTCCTTGCTAAGTTGAAGACGTTCCACTTGTAAGTACACCTACAGAATATAGAAGCTGCTTAGCGACTCAGCACCTGCATTCAGGCCCAATCTGCAGATTTTGCTGACTCAAAGATCTGCAGGCACAAGCAATATGAGAAGGGACCAATCAATCTGGAAGACTTCATTCCCTTCATGCATTACCCTGCCTTCGAAAGATTCTCAACCGAGAGCGATGTATCAGACATAGCAGGCGAGCATCCTGCTACTAACACAGTGACACACACAGTAGCTGAACTGTTTTGGAGCTTGGGACCGCTCTCAATCATGAAGGCACTCTTGTACGCATGTCCACGCTTAACCGTCTTCGAACTCGTCATTCCAGACGGGAGGCGTCATGATTGCATGATGTGGGACGTAGCCTACCAACCACTGGTTTGCCCTCGAGATCTGGTGAAAGCGCTACTAGAAAACCATCGGCGGACTTTAGAGACGCTGCACTTGGACTTTCGTTACTATTACGACCTTGGTGATCCGATTTTCCGGCAAGACCTGTGGGAGACTGGTGTGGGCCCAGATGACTATATCTACCCCTCATTCCGCGACTTTGAGCATTTGTCGCGCCTAACGATCGAATTCGAGAAGCTCGCTAAGCTTGGTGATCTGCCGTTGTCACTCAAGTTATTGAAGCTGCAACGCTGCCAGTTCGCAGATCTAGACGCGACATATCTTCAGGATCTTGCACGACTGAAAGAAACATGGTGTCCAGTTATTGAACACGTCGAGGTAAGTGGCCTCGAAGTCACTGACGATGCCTTCGTCAGAATTCGGGAACATGCGATTTTCTTGGATTTACCGATCCACGTGTCAACGAATGGAAGGCACCTTCTGTTCCAGAATGTGGGCTACCATTTAGAGATTCAAAGAACAGAAGTTTGAGGCTAAAATCCGACATGACTTGAGAAGTGTTGGCCAGAGTCAGAAGAAAAGGGATCAAAACTGCCTGAACCACGCTTCCAATCCATTGAGGACTTTTCCATACCCAACAAAGCCGGAAATTTGGAAATGTGCGAACTTAGTCGTAAAGTGCACGTAGTAGTGATGGGATTTTATAATGGAGATGCAGATAAGAGAGGCTACTATATGGGAGCTGTCATATCGTTCTCCAACCATTGGACGGCTTTCCCCGGCGTTGGCTCGACGGATAAGAAACCTGGTTTTTCTCGTTACCAAACTCGATTTTTCGTCCAGCCCACGTGTGCAGATAAAAATATCAAAAAGATGCTGTCGCACAGATCAGCTATACCGCGATTACCGTGGCCATATGGTTCCAATTCTTGCTGTGAATGGCGCACAAAGTATCGCCACATCCTCCGGACCCTATTTTTTCATCCTAAAGACGATGAAGATTTTTGACAATACATAAGCCTGATCACAGTGTTGTTTCCAAAGTACCAGACTAGAGACACTTCGCCTCACCATCTTTTCTCATAATTCGCGAGCACGACCCTCATCTATACCTATCCTAGTCATCATTTTAGCTCAGCAATCTATCACTAAAATTACCGACATAGTCTCTTTATACATCGTTCTAGAAATGCACAACTCCATCATCCCTCTGGTGGTCACCGTGGCCACTGCTGCCCTGGCCTCCCCCGTTGCCGAGCCTGCGGCTACCAGAATGCCTGTCGCTGCCACTACTACATCCGGTAAGAGTCTGTAAGAACTGAAATCGAGAAATATTCTGATCTTGTGCACTGAGCCTCAGGCCTCTTCTCTGACGGTGTCACCACCTCTGTCCCTGACCATGATCAGACTCATCGTAAGGCCGACTTCGCTCAGTTCGAGCAAGACGAAGCGTTATTCAGTTCGAGAGAGGCTCAGAGGCAGCAGCAAGAGGCCGAGGACTTCCACTATTATTACAGCGAGGCTAGCGCCAATGAGGAGGATCCAAACCAGAGGGCGTGGAAGGATCATCGGGGTATGACTGAGAAGATGGACTGGAACAGGCTAGCTGAGAAGAGAGATGGTAAGAGAAAGCACGGCGTCGTTTGCAGCATCTTGTAGGTTCTGGGTAAGTCTGTCGCAGGTTTACCTATGAGTGCGCCTGCTAATTTGCTGCACACTCGATCAGGATACGAAGACGTTATTTGGCGATTAGACCATGAAGTAGATCTAAGGTTCTCACAGCGCCCACAAAAAGGAACAATACAACTTTAACTCGTCGAATCATGAACAAGTATCATTTGTGGTGACAACTACATCTTACTATAGTGCTCCGCCAGCCATTCTCACTCTACAGGCCCTGCTTGAATGTGATCTCACAACGATGCGCTTTTGGTGCAATTAGGAAGAAATTCTGTTATCAACGTCAGCGCGCATTCCACATGTACAGCCTTCACGTCAGACTTACCTCAAACTCCATACTCTCGGGCGTTGTTGATTCGGCCAACCTTATACCTCTGCAGTCACGGAAGAAGAATGCAACAGCATATCTCAGTTCCATGCGCGCCAGATGGATACCGATACACGATCGTGCACCAGCACCGAAAGGATGAAACGCGAGCTTAGCGGCGGGTGATTGAGCCTCTGCAACCATACCCTCTTTGTCGGCGATCCAGCGTTGTGGGTTGAAACTATGAGCATTAGCTGATGATATCCAGTATGAGACGGCGAAGCGACCTACGTCAAAGGATCACTCCAAATCTTAGGGTCGCGATGGAAGGTATACGCCTGGGTGTCAACCGTCACACCCTGTGGGATATAATGTCCAGCGAATTTGGTACCACCCTGAGGTACAACTCTCGGCAGACTGCTCGGCGCAGCACCATACAATCGAAGCGTCTCCTCGATAACAGCGTTAAGCAATGGCAGCTTGATCAAATCATTCTCCGTGAAGCCCTCTTCCAACGCCGCAGTCTCAGCCTCAAGCGCCGCCTGCAACTCGGGTCGTTGCAGCACGGCCCACGTGAGGTAGGTTAGAGTAACACCCGTAGTATCGGTACCTGCGATGATGACGTTCATGGCTTCGATTCTGACGTCCATGTCATCGATATGGCCCTCACCTTCTTTCTCGCAGTCCTCAATGACCTTGGCAAAAATGTTGTTTTCGCCAGTGCGCGATCGTGCTGTTTCTACGGCTTTGCCTGCGCCAGCAAGAATGAACTCGTTGGCGTTGAACATCTCTTGTACTGCAGGAACGGGAACGAAGCGCAGGAGGCGGAGGAAAGGCATCTCGACCATGATACCCGCACCCATTGTCAACTTCTTGAGCACACGCATGAATTGGTTTTGCTGTGGCCCGTTAGCTGGTGCGTCAAGTGTCTATCGCTGTGACTACTTACATGTCCTGACTCTAACATGCCAAATGAGTCTCCGAATGCAAGGTGGGCACTAACGTCTGATGCGAGAAGCATCCACCAGTTGTAGACATCGGCGGTGCTTTGCATAGCATCGGCTTTGATCTTAGTCACGGCCATGAGTGCCTTGTCTCTTACCACCGACTCCCAATGTTCAACGAGGTAGGTTCTGCTGAAGGATCTCGACAAGAGCTTCCTTCGAGGTCCATGCTCACGTGGGTCAAGCATAGTAAAAACGCCAGCCTTAGGGAAGTTGGCCAGACGGAGATACCACTCGCTCTTCATGTACTTGGTACCAATCTTGTGAATCTCCTTGAAGGCATCCAGGTCGGCAACGGCGACTTCGGTGGGAGATAGTCGCACGATGGGCCCATATTTCTCGTGAAGGGAGTCAATGTAAAAGATACGTTGTCCTGTTACTACGGCACGCTTCAGACGGTAATGCGTGAAGCGAGTATACCAAGGACCGGGTAAATGCTTCGTGGGGCACGTAAGGCCAACATAGAGGAACTATTATCGTCAGTCGTTGTCCTGAAAGATTGATGGCTTCCAGGCGATTACCTTTGCCACTAGTAGACCAATGGCCAATAGAAACGCATAGGCAAACGACACCATAGCAAGATGCAGATGTTGCAACCGTATACTAGAAAGCCGAGTGATGGTGGACTGAGCAGCCAAGACTTCGAAGTGTTTTCGGTAGATGGCAGAGACGATGGGAGTGAATATCTATATCGCGGTCTAGTTCTTGCTACGAACTTATAGAACTCATATTGATTTCCATACACACAAAGACGTTCTCTTATCCATGTTACTTTCTTCTTTTCGCTAGTCCAAACACTACCAGACGACATCGTGTACCAGGATTGCTTTTGCCCTCACCGGCCGACGGTCAACTGGGGACCCGGTAACGATAGTTCACCGTACCTGTTGGTCTCCGAGTACTGTTGCATGTCTCCTTCGTGGCATAGGCTGACTGCACGCGAGCGACTGTCAGAGCAATGCGAGCCAATGAGAAGCATCGGGCACCCACCCACACCAACACGTCCAGATGAACCCTTGCCGAACAAAGTATAAAGCAAATCGCCTGCGCCGAAACCTGCATGAAGGTCACCTGGAATGGGGCGGATTAGAAGTGTGAGATCTTAGGTGCTCGTTTGAGGTATGATATATCGTATTAACTGCTTGCATGCACTATCGTGACGGCAAGCACCCCAGACGAGATGTTGCAGACAAAACCATTAAGGTTGGCACATTCCTAGCAAGCCGAACTCAGCGAATTGTGCAAGCTTGGTGGTTCGTGGAGTCTAACACAACATCAAGTCTGCCACCCAGCCCCGCTTGGCGGGGGTGTAGGATTTGCGGTGTGGTCGCTATATGTGGGTTAGCGAGAACACTAGATGTACATCACTGCAACGATCGCCGTGAGCTTACCGCATACTGAGGTTCTACCCAATCTCCGAACCGTCCCCATACCCGGCCCTAAATCCCTACCCAAGTCTGTACCGAACGTGAATTCTCTGGGCCCGCTAGATGGCGTGCGGGATGGCGCTTGACAGACCCTCAGCATTCGCGGGTTCTGCTTGTGTTCGGGTTGAGAAGGGCATGCCGAAGGGATGTGGCTAGCCCGCGTCGAGGACGAAGGCCAATGGCTGATTGTTGATTGCTGATCTTGCAGTGAACTTTGCGACGACGGCTTTGGTGTGAATCATCGGAGTATTGGAGGCGCGAGCGGCGATCGGTGTTTGAACACGCGAGACGCGATCATGTACGAGAACGCTCACTGCTATGATCTTTGGTTAGAGGTTTACACAATTAGATAGCGGTATTGGGGCTGAGACTCACGTACAAGGAAACTTCATACTTGGTTGACCTCATCACCTTGTAGCTCTCATATCCCAGTTTTTTCTGCGTCTTACTCTGGGAATCCATCAGGACCGATCGCTGTCGCACGCGACCAGATATGGATGTGGCGTGTCGGACATCGCGTTGGTGTTTCCACCATGCTCGTCAAACGCGCAGTCTGGATTATCGTGTTTGAACGCAGGATAGTGGGTAGCATATGCAAACAGCTACTTCAGCTACAGGGCATGTACCTGGGACGATTGCGGATGTAACAGTGATTCTCGCTCGCAAGTACCTCTGGTGATGCGCGTGAAGAGTAATCGGAGATTGAAGTGAGCACTTGTGTCACCTTAGGAAGGGTGGTGACGTCATGTTATCCCTGTGGCCGTCATACCTAGGTAGTCAAGGGTATCGCTCTTATTGTTTATTTAGCCATTGCTTGAGAGCAACAAGCCTTATCTTGGGTATACAATCTTACAACTAAGACTCAGTCGCAGTTGGTGTGCTCAAGTGTATATGCGACCTTGTGCAACGGGACCGCATGTGGTTCCGTTCCATACTTTGTAACATCACAAGCCTAAGAATATTGATCGCGTGCCACAACATATTCGGGCCTATCTAGCTTTTATCGAGGGACATAATTCCGGCAGGTCACGATAATGTGGTCTAGGCGTGTTGTGAAGCAATGGCGAACTTTGATTAGCATCCACTCCATAATTCAATCTTGTCATCGGCCCTGCAAGAGGACGATCCATTACGTGACGCAGGCAACACTTAATTGAACTGGACTACGAGAGCTCGGAGTTCGACAATACCAGACCTATCCAGGCTCTTCCAAGTCCTCCAACCTTCTAGTATGCACCCTTAAGAATCATCTTTGTCCTCATCCCATGCTGCTGCAAATCCAGCGAATCTTGACATCTGCATCTTCACTCGCTCCTGCGAAGCCCGCCAAATCTCAACTCTACATCTCTTAAATCCACTCTCCATTCGAACATCACCTTCGCCATTCATGTCTACATCATTCCGATGCTTCCGCTTCATAGCTCCAACAACACTGGCATTTGGAGAGGGAAAACTAGCCTCACCAAACGTAGAGGAAGGCGGAGTGTAGACCTTCTCCATGGGTGTTTTGATACGCTTACTGCCAGCGACGGAGGTGAATGGCGACATGTTTTCACCTGAGGCGGAAGTGGACGGACAAGGGCGCTTCGTGCCGCGGCTTTGGGGTGTCGTGGGCTCGCGGTGGGTCTCTAGCTTCGTTTTTTGCCTTTTGTGGCTGGCCGACAATGCATCTTGCTTGTCGTCTTCGCCCGTGGAGGAACTACCTCGTGGCTGCTCATCATGAGCAGCTGAGCGGTCTGTTCCAAGGTTGACCTCATTAACAGACAGATTCGTCGCATCTTCATAGCTCTTGCGTTTGTCGTGTGTGTTGAGAGGGTTCTCTTGAGCGAATCTCTCGCGCTGCTTGCGCTCAGTTCGCTCTTGCATGTCTCTCACAATCCACTCGATTGTCTCGAGTCCCTCAGGATCTGGTTTGTCTGCCTGCTCACATTTACGTCCATAATTTTCCAAGAGAAGTCCGGCTACAGCCTCGGTGATGCCGGTCTTAATCTGGGGTGCAGCGCGGACGACTTGCTCGACACAACAAGACACATAAACTATGCTGTTGCCCTTTTCCTCTAGTTTCCTCAACCGTATCGACTCGAACGCTGAGAGGATCGATCCGGTGAGGACTTCGCGAACGATCTCTTGACATGTTGGGCAATTGAAGGGCTTTTCGGCATGATTCTGCTTTTTGCAGTTGCTACCACATGGCTCGGAACTGGAAACCCAGTGGCCGCATAGGAGGAGATGTTTGGTGTTATGACTGCAAGGTAGCATGCCTGGATATTCTGGAATGAAGTGACGCGAGCGGCGGAAAGTGCCAAGGTAGCCGACGGGGAGATTGTTCTCAGGTGTGTCTTCTTCGATGACGATGTCGTCGACCCAGCTTTTCTTAGTTTGTGGTGTGATGGGTGTTTGCTGGCGGTCTTGTTGACGCACTGGGATCGATTGAGGGCGGCTGCTGCGGTGGACTGATGTTGACGAAACGGTGTCGGATGGCCCGCTCGAAACACTTTCAGCTGCTATGTCTTTTCCGTTTTCTTGTGAATATTTGTTCGATAGATGGTGGGCGTCGTCCCCACCAGGTAGTGTTGTTGAAGGTGTCGGAGGTGACCGGAAGTCCGCATCGGGCATGTCGATATCCTCAGATTCGGTAGAGCGGTCTTTAGTTCTCTGGCCAGCGGGGGTCGTAACTGGTTTGGCATATAGGGGAACTTGTGGTGGCGGGATATCGTTAATGTTAGAGGTGCCTGTTCCCTTGACACGCGAGAAGAGATATCCAGACAGCGCTGAATTAGGAGCGCTGGAAGACGGCTGCGCATGTGGCACCCTTTTCGCAAACTGCATAAGAGGGGCTCCAGAGTTGAAGGCAGCGCGATATGCTGGATCGGAATTGCTATTTGACGTTGATGGCGAACTACTAATTTGGGAAGACGCCGCCTTGGTCGGTATATCGTCAGGCTTCCCGGGGGCATTCGCGCTACCCCAATAGTTAATGAGTCTGCGAAAGGTGCTAAGCATATTTGCTATTCGCTTTTGGTTATTCGATGTGTTGAAGTAAGGCTTCGATGGATGATTAGCCCGTTCTACGAGGTGGTGCAAGTGGAACAAGGCTGTGAACGGAGAATGGTATATATAGTTAGGAGAGCGTGGGGCATCGGTACTGTCACAGTGCCAAGCGAAGTGAAAGGTTGTGTTGATATAATGGCGCGGAGGATGATTTCAATGACAAAGGCTGGGCCTAATTTGCACTTTCACTGGCTATGTGGCCAAGGCGCATGACCGTGTCTAGGCCATGATGTAAACTTGGAAGAGTAGCGCCTAGGGACATAGAATCATAGATTATGTTGCTGTTTGTAGTAGTTCCTACCTTTCCATCTCATGTAAGTCTTTCCCCCCATCGACAGCCTTGGAATGTTGAGCTGTAGCGTCGGTTGGCTCATGGCTTTTCATGGCTTCCAAGACTTCGAGGCCCACATCTGCTCGAGGGCCAGTAAAATTCTTGCGTCCATCTACGAACCATTGGAAGGTGCTAATGAACAGGATTATACCAAAGGCGACGACGCAGTAGTCTGGACTAGTTAGCATAATACATGTAATCGGCAAAAAACACTTACTCATGCTCGAAGCTGAGACGGGCAATTCAGGCGGGAACAAGAAGAGAACAGTAGTGACGATAGTGTATGCGATACCAATCAAGTTCGCAATCCAGCCGAAAGGTCCAGGCAAAACAAAGGCTCTGGGTCCGAGCATCTTCCTACCACGGCAGACATTGATCGCAACGGGTATCGCATAACTCACACCCAAGGCAACAACTGATGCTGAGATAAGAGCGTTGAAAGCGCTGCTCGATCCGATTAAGATCAATCCAAAGAGAATAGTCAAAGTCGCAGCCAGAATTAGGGCGTTGAGCGGCTGACCTAGGCGTGGGTGCACCTTTGCGAAAAACTTGGAAAATGGAAGGCCGCCATCCCGAGCGAATGCGTATGTCATGCGACTAGAGGTGGTCATGATGGCAGTCTCTGCGAAGAGAATGCAAACCAATGGGAACATTAGTAGACATGCTGCTCCAGCTCGGCTGCTTGTAGCATTATACAAGATCTGTAACAAGGGGCCTGGCGCTGCTGAGATGATGGACTCTGCGTCGCCACCGGAGACAAATAGCAAGACCATGAGGAAGATGAAGCCAGTTACTGTTCCAATACAGACGCAGTAGATCATGATCTTTGGCCCCTCAACCGCAGCATTCGGAATCTCCTCGATCATATGTGCGACTGCATCGTAACCGGTAAGCCCAAAACCACCTTGGAGCAAGCCCAGAAGCCAAGCAATACCGTCCGGCCAGCCCGTCTCATTGATAAATTCGGTGAAGACGAATTCTGCAGACGCGTATTCCGGGGATGAGCAAGCTAGGACGGTAATGCAGACAATCGCAAAACCGCCGATTGACCAAATGAAAGCGCCACGATTGACGTAAGGCAGAAGGTTGTTCATAAAGGCGTTGATGATGAAGGCGATGATCGTCCAAGCGACATAAATCAGCCAGACCTGCCATGGGTGCAGCGTGAAGTCGGGATGGTATAATGCGATTAGGCCAGAGATGAGCTGAGACGCTAGTAAACCTCCGGAAGTAGTCAGTGCAAGCCATCCGGATACATTGATCCACCCAGTAATGAAAGACGCGAGTGGAACCCATTTCCGCGGGGTAATGACGGCGACCCAATGATATCTGCAACACTGTGAGTTGACAATAGAAACACCGCTCGGAGATGCTTACTGTCCACCAGCAGTGGGGTATGCTGATAGAAATTCGGCCAGGGACGCGGCCAGACACAAGTTGCATATACCAGCTGTGACGAGTCCCCATATGACGCTGGTTGAGCCACCGGAAGGCAGAGCTAGTCCGATTGACGATGAAAGCGCCGTCCACGAGTTCAAGATGGCGAAAGCAAGCCCAAGCATAGACAGGAGACTGAAGTTGCGCTTCAGCTCACCCTTGTGGCCGAGAGCCTGCAATTGGGCCTCGTCATCCAGTGTATGTCGCTCATCGGGCTTCATGGTGGCGTATCCAGGCGGCGAATGAATTGACGAGACAGGGACTCGATGTCTACGGAACGAGAGACGAGGAGACGGACTCTATATAATCCTTGGCCTGACGATGCGACCCCGAAGAACGCGCGGATGCTGTGTCGTTAGGCATGCCGCCATTGACGTCGGCTGATACGGATAGGGCATGTCCAGCCTAGTGGTTGAAGCTTGTCAAAGCTTACTTGTGGTTCATCCATAGATAAGACGCCCTGATGACGGTCTCCACTTTGACCGAAAACATGGGGTAAACGCCAATCATAGGCCACGCTCGCGTCTATCTCTAGCTGACGAAACGGCGTTACATCGCGCAATTGCATGCAAGACCGAAAGCCGCCATCGGCTACGGACGCGACCGTATCTAGCCCCTTACTGCGCGTCAAGGGCGTTTTTCAACATGGCTGTATCGATAGGTGACGCGATCAGATGACAACGCGATGCAAGTGAAAAGGACGGAGTGCGGTGGTGGTTGACTTTCGTGGATGCTCTTGCGCTCGAGCTTGGCGTCCTCGGATTCTGCCGACAACAACATGATGGGCGCATACGTCACCGCGGCTACGCGACATTCCAACACCGACACGTACTCCAGAGGTAAACTTGGAATTTTTGTCACTTCATCGTATCAATTCGCGGACTCGTGGATATCATTGCCGTTACTTCTCTAGATGAGTAAGCCCTGGAACAGGATGCGTGGCCCTCGTTCCCAAGACTATGCGCCTCTGCCGTTGAGCGAGAAGGAGCCTCTTTCGCACAGATCTCGACGCGACCAACGGTCGAAAGGCTTGGGCATATGGGTTCTACGAGCACTCGGCGCATGCGTAGTTCTATACGGAGCCTCCAAGTATGAAGCATCAGTCCTCTCAATGGTCCAAAGCTGACGCTCTAAAGCCTCCTTAATGTCTCCACCAACAAGTCCTGTGACAGCGTCAACGAAGGCTACCGCTGTAGCCCGAAGACGAGCCACTCCTGGGGTCAATATTCGCTTTGGTATTCCGTACCCTCGGACATCAACGTAGCGCCTCCGAAGGGCTGCGAAATCACCTTCGCGAACGTCTTGTCCCGCCACGGCGGCCGCGATCCCACTCTGGGGAAAACCCTCGCCTACCACATCTTGATCGCAGACATCCAAAACACGAGCACATCGTATCCGAAAGAGTTCAGATTCTTGAAGGATTACGATTATACATTGGGTGCGGATGAGCTGACGGATGCTGGGAGGCAGGAAATGGTCAACTCAGGAGCTCACTTCTACCGCCGTTACCAGAAGCTCATCGACGACAACGTACCATTCGTACGCGCGGGCGGACAACACCGTGTAGTTGAGTCAGCTGAGAGGTGGCTTGCGGGTGTCGCGCAATCACTTAAGGAAGAGCCGCGAAAGATCGATGTGGTGATTCCAGAAGGGCCGAATTGGAACAATACTCTCTCCCACGACATCTGTCCAGCATTTGAGGGCGGTCCACATCATGGTCTCGGGGATAGGGCGCAGCATGTCTGGGCTGACAAGTTTGTGCCGCCGATCCAACAGCGCATCAACTCTGCTCTTGGAACGAACCTCAGCGCCACGTCCATCGTGTACTTGATGGACATGTGCCCATTTGATACATTGGCGCATCCGTCAGCCAAGATGTCAGACTTCTGCAGAATCTTTACCGAAAAGGAGTGGCGTGAATACGACTACTTCCAGACACTGGGCAAGTTCTACGGCTACGGCGTTGGCAACCCGCTTGGTCCGACTCAGGGCGTTGGATACGTCAATGAACTGCTGGCGCGACTAACGAACAAGCCTGTTGACGACAACACCAACACGAATCGCACCCTAGACTCCGATCCCAAGACATTCCCCCTCGACCGCAAGGTATACGCCGACTTCAGCCACGATAATGACATTAGTGGTGTTTTGGCTGCGCTCGGCCTGTACAACAGAACGAAGCCGTTATCGAACACCACTATCGAGGATACAAAGAAGACACATGGTTATTCGGCAGCATGGAGCGTGCCATTTGCAGCACGTCTCTACGTGGAGAAGCTGCAGTGTAAGCACGAGAAGGAAGAGTCAGTTCGTGTCATTGTTAACGACCGCGTACATCCATTGGACTTCTGTGGTGGTGACAAGCATGGCAGGTGTACGTTGAGTAAGTTTGTAGACAGCCAAAGCTTTGCAAGGAGCGGTGGCCTTTGGGATCAGTGTTACGAGTAGATGTCGCTGTTTAGCGCGTATTTCATACTGGCATTCAGCATTTGACCTTCAGCATCGCATCAGGAGCACATCTGCAGCATCGCAATGTACTTATCCATTGACATTGACACACTATTAGAAGGGGCACTAGACGAGGTCATGCCCACCCAATTGTTTGTTAGACAATGAACCTGGTTTCATCTATTTAGAACAACTCTGCTGCAGAAGTCACGCCTTCTTCACAATGTCTCGCTTGTTGCGTAAGTACAAGCTGTCGGTGACCAGCAAACAGTTCTATAAACATCTAGCTGACAACTAATTGCGACATCACAGCAGGAAGAACAGCAAGTAGTTCTGCCACTGGGCGCTCTCTACACCAGAATCCCACATTAGTCAAGTGCCACAGCTTCTTGGGCTAGATGGGTCTCAAGATAAGAATACCAAAGCACATATGGAACGACTATCAGCCTGAAGCCCATTTCCACAGATCAAATAGACCGTTTTCGAAGCCAAGACTGATACTTCGACTTCCACCAGCTCCCACGGCTATCAAAGCTCGTCAAGTAAGGCGAAGAAAGCACAATAGCTCACACAATGAGCCCACGTCCTGCAAAGCAAAGCTGCACCAATTTCACTACGGCGGACCACATCGACAGCAGAAAGGGAAGTGGCAAAACAGTATTACATACCAACAGCCTTGTCTACAACGGACATGTCCGAACTGCGTGAAGTGGCATCCACATCTTGTCCGCGAGCTGGCACAATCACCAGTAGTCAAGGCCTTTCATGACAGTTCGCCGACTAACAGCCTTTCACGCCTTGGAACGCAGGATATTCCTTTCAGAGCAAGACGTGGTACCGACCTATACAACTCCCCAGACAGTGAACACAGTTTTGATAGGCCGACGTGTATAATCTTTCCAACAGAAAAGGGTAAGAGTAGGTTTCGGGAGCTGTTCCATGAGAGAGAGGGGCGGGAAAGTAGGAACAAGAATGATGACGCGAATAGAAACAGGACGATGCTAGGCCAAGGTAGTGGTAGGGCGTGAAGAGGGGCACTGGTTGTATAGAACAGCTTGCGGTCGTGTCAAGACACATGTCCGCGGGCCGCTCTAGTAAGCCTGGCACGTTTTGTATATCCACAAAACGCGTGGGTGATGGAGAACATGGAAAATGCCCAAGACTCCCATGTTGGACAAGGATGCTGTAGTGTGCATGTGCCATTTTGGCCACTGTCGGAACCATCGGAACTGTTCCGTGAAATTATCAACAGACATCATACTTCCTATGTCCACGGAGCGTCTGAGGGATAAATAGCAGAAGGGCTATCAGGACCACCTAGGCTCAAGATCTAGACTGATTTGGATACACTTGCCTACCCCACCCTTGCTGAGGGTATCTTAGTAAGGTCGCCGCACTTGGCAGCAGATCCCTGTAATCGGCTCGGACAGCCCACCTAAAGCATCTGCCGCATGTCACATCTCAGTCATCTCCGCCCTACCCTTCTCTGGCGTATATAACTCCCCATGTGCGCCCCTCCCAATGTTGGACGAGGCTTTTACAAACTCGACTCCTCCTAATGGCGCAGATGGCTAGGATACGGGCGGGCCCGGCCGCGGTGCGACGAGTTGCTGGCTGTGGCAATTATCTACGACAACCGTCAATAAGCGCATTACAGACAAGAGGCGTTGCGACCAACGCGGCGACCCAGGAGCCGAATGTCGACTTTCCCGCGGGGATTCCACCGGTTGCGGTACCGTCACGTTCGAGTGGAGACGCCCGGAGGAAAGCGATCAAGAATGCGAAACCCTTCTCCGACTTCTTGACGGACACGTTCAATAGGCAGCATGACTATCTCCGGATCAGTATCACAGAGCGATGCAATCTGCGGTGTCTGTACTGCATGCCAGAAGGTGCGATTGGTACGCTTACACAGCAAAGGACGCTGCTAACAAACAGCAGAGGGCATACCACTGTCTCCGTCGGCCAACATGCTTACCACACCCGAGATCTTCTACCTCTCCTCGCTATTCGTCTCACAGGGTGTCACCAAGATCCGCCTCACTGGCGGCGAGCCCACCGTCCGTCGCGACATCGTCCCGCTCATGCAGCAGATCGGCAGTCTGCGCCCGAAAGGCCTGCGCGAACTCGCACTCACAACCAACGGCATCTCGCTACACCGGAAGCTGGACGCAATGGTGGAAGCGGGTCTGACTGGCGTCAACCTCAGTCTGGATACACTAGACCCGTTCCAGTTCCAGATCATGACTCGGCGGAAAGGCTTCGATGCTGTCATGAAGTCGATTGATCGCATACTGGAGATGAACAAACTAGGCGCCAACGTCAAGCTCAAGGTTAACTGCGTCGTCATGCGGGGGTTGAACGAGCGCGAGATTCTACCCTTTGTCGAGATGGGCCGCGAAAAGGACATCGAAGTACGCTTCATCGAGTACATGCCTTTTGGTGGAAACAAGTGGAGTGAGAACAAGATGATCAGCTTCCAGGAGATGCTGGATATCATCAGGACCAAATATCCGGGGCTCAGGCCGGTGCCAGGACACAAGAACGACACCAGTAAGACGTACGAGGTGCCAGGCTTCGTGGGCAAGGTCGGCTTCATCACGAGCATGACAAATGACTTTTGTGGGACGTGCAATCGGTTACGAATAACGAGTGACGGCAATCTGAAAGTCTGCTTACACGGTAACGCCGAGGTGTCTTTGCGCGACGTTCTGCGACAGGGCAACAATGGCGAGCCCATTGACCAGGAAGCATTTGAGCGCATCAGGCAGATTGAGATGGACCGACACGAAGGCCGCTTGAGCGATGAGACAATCCTTGGCTGGGGCCAACGCGAGCGCGAACTCCTTGACGTTGTTGGTGCTGCCGTCAAACGCAAAGCGGAAAAGCACGCCGACTTGGATGATCTGGCCAACATGGAGAATCGGCCCATGATCTTAATTGGTGGGTAAATCTGGACTCTTTCTGTTTTCCTTCACGATGGTTCTGGTTGGATGCCTTACGATACCACGGCGGTCACTGCATAGTTGGCGTTCTGAGCGTTCTCCTTGATTGTGAGTCTACACTATCGCTTAGAGATGGACATGTGGCTACATATACCAATCATATACCCGATTCTACCATCGCTTACGGCAGTTCAGTCTGTGATGTATCTTGCTGACCCTGTCTAGATGACAAGCCTCTAGCGAGCCGGAACTCCCAGCGGCCTGTACTACGGAGAAGACCATTCGACAACCCCCATGCCTTGCTGGCACGACATCGCATACCCAGCTCACCACTGCCCTATCTGAATATCGTGTCTCAACCCCCTTCAACCACTGTTCGAGCCTTCTCTACCTCGCCTGTGTCTGCTGCGGAGAAGCTATCTCAGCTGGAGCCACTGCAAAAGGCTGAGGATATTCCAGAAGCTGGTAAAGCCATCAAGAACGCGACAGGAATGGATCTGCATTCCATACGAGACTTTCTGGCTGAAGTAAAGTTACCACAAGGAAGCGATCGAACAATCCAGATATTAGAAACAAATATCATCAACCTACAAGATCGCATCGCCCGCGTCGTCCACCAAATCGACAGGCCTGCAACGAACGTAAAGGAAGCTAAGGAGAAAGAGAGGCTTGAAGCACAAAGGTTCGAGTATGAAGAACTTCTTGGAGAGACCGTGGAAAAGTATACAAGTCGATTCGCTGCTCTCAGGAGACAAGCTAAGCTGAGGAAGCAGAAAGAAGAGATTTTGGAGAAGAAAAGGGCGTTGGTGAAACAGTTGGAAGAACAGGAAGAAGCCGAACGAAGGGCTAGGATGGTTGTAAGAGCAAGGGAAGAAGGAAAAGAGCGGGATGGCAAAAGTCTTGGTGATATATTGGATGATGCATTGAAAAAGATCAGGAAGGAACCTACACATCCTCCTAAGATACAAGAACAAAGAGACAGGAAAGTCTTACCCTCCGACTGGGTCGTAAGGTCAGTTGGGGGGTCAGGTCCTTATTCGGTCTTGGGTCGAAACGAATTAGATCGAAGCTCCGAGGAAAATGCGCTTGCGGATCCAATCATGGACAAGGGACGAGTGCCAACGGTGCCTGGCGAAGGACATGCATTTGATCTCCTATCATCCTCGCCCTCATCCTCACCAAGCAAACGTCCTGGTCTCGTTGTTCCGCCATCCGGCATTTTACCTATCGACGAAGATCTCATCGTCACTTTCGACGCTCCCGTCCCCCAACTTCAGCAGCAAGTCCTCGCCCTACGAGACCGGCTTAAAAAATCCTATCCACGCCTCGACGTGTTACCCTACGAGGTCTGGACCTCTGAGAATAAACGCACACTACAAACATGGCTGAAGATCTTGATTGAAAGATGGCAGGCGAGGTTTGAAAATGTTAATCTCACGGGCCAGATGGTTAAAGGAATAGTTGACGAAAAGCTAAAGGCGGTATTAGATCAGATGGTGATAGATCACAATCTTGACAATGATGCAGCAGAGAGGATGGCAATGAGGTGGCATGATGTGTCTTCTGAGAGACAATCTCTGACTGGTGATGCGGAAGGCAAGCTGGATTGGGATGAGATGGAAGCGGAAGGTCTGGGGTTTCTGGCTGATGATATGGAACATGAGCCGTTGCAGCAACAGCAACCTGATGTTGAGGCAGTGGCACAGGCGCAGCATGGTATGACTGAGGTAGTAAGAGGAGAGTCCAGTGGCTCGACGACGTCTAGGTTGGTGGGTCGTAGGATGTACTCGACCTCCTCACGTTACGCCACCTTCCCTTCGCCTGAAGCCGAATCCAAGCCGAGCTCGATCGATAAGACGGATGGGAAAGATAAACTACATCAACGACAACCGCAAACCCCACAACCTCCTCCAACCTCAGAAGCCCAGCCCACAAGTCCTCAACCACACCTCCCCCACCTGACCGCCTCCGGCTCCGCACACATGGTCAGCGTCTCGAACAAGCAACACACAACACGCACCGCCATCGCCGTCGGAACCGTGTACTTTACTAACCCTACCCCCCTCCAATTGATACGCTCGAACAGCTTGGAAAAAGGCGATGTTCTGGGTACATCGCGAATAGCGGGCATCATGGCAGCAAAGAAATGCCCCGAGATAATACCTTTATGCCATCCGATTGCCTTGACGCATGTCGGGGTCGAACTTCGTGCTTTTGGGTCCAACTCGGGTGGATCCTCCCCAGACTCCTTGCCATCGATACCCATATCCCCGTACAGCATCGACCCCGGCTACGGCGGCATCCAGATCGAAGCAAAGGTCCAGTGTACGGGTCCTACGGGGGTCGAAATGGAAGCTTTGACGGCAGTCATGGGTGCAGCGCTCAGTGTGGTGGATATGTGTAAGGCAGTGGACAAATTTCAGCGGGTGCAGGATTTGAGGGTTGTATTAAAAGAAGGAGGCAAGAGCGGCGTTTGGAGGGAGGAGGGATGGGAAAGTTGGCAAGATTAATGTGTAAGATAGTGTAGAGGACCATGACAAAGCAAGAGAATCACGACAAAGCAAGCTAATGCTTGCGCAAATGTAACATACTTTCAGCACTATTTCCATGTCCTGAGCAACCTGTTTGAGGTGTCTGTATGGGAGCTCGAAGCTACTATGACTCGTGATCCAGCCTCTTTCGACGCCGCCCTTCATCTCAAGCTGCAAACCCGGCACCTCATCTTAACGTTTGAACTCACCTACCATGGTTCTCCGGCAATGGAAGCGACTTTTAGGCTGAGACTAACTAGTCGGCGGGACCCCAACATTCCGATCTACCCGCGGAAGCGTTGCATTTACAAATAGTACGGATTAGTCGCTGTGGGTGAACCAACGAGATTGTCCGGAGCGCGTCGTGCATCAGAAAAGCAAACCGACCATGACGACACAACGACAGCATCATGCTTATGGTCAGTTCGCTACATATCCTCGTGTGCGACATGCATATTCGCGAGGATGTAGTAATTCTTTGGCCTTGCTGCTCTCGAAAAACGCGTAAAGATGCCTCCAGTCCCCTGGCGAGTCCACATTACCGATCACCCTGGCTCAACGCGAGAGGAGATCGAGCAGGAGCCTGACTGGTCGACCGAACATAATCACCAACATCGCGTCGGCTACAAGAATCGCGATGACCGTCGGGCTGGCATCACCCACGAGAGTGATGAGGCCAAGACGCGCGACGACGTCGAAGAAGCACGCGAGGGTCACCAAGACTTGACGGGAAAAGAGAAGAAGGGCGATCTTGTCAACTTTCGAGATATTGTGCTAGAAGAAAAGGATCTCCACCTGCGACACCCTGAGAATAGAAGCTTAGGCTGGAGGTTTGTGCTCCCGTGCACGGAAGATTGGGTCAAGAACCAAGAGGAGTGGCCGGCGAACGTGGAGAAGCGCGAGAAAGAAGAACAGAAGAAGAAGGATGAGCACCAGGATGACGGTACAAAGGACCAAAAGAAAGGTGACGGTACATTAGACGAAGAGCAATGGAAGCGAACTCAGGGCGACAGCGACAAGCATCATGACGCATATGCCGAAAGTGGGGAGGACTCTGGCTACTCTAGCGATGAAGCCACAAAGAAGAACAAGACAGAGTATGAGAAGCTTCGAGAGCGTTACTCCGTGCAAGAAATCGCATTGCTTCGAACTCTACAACACGAGAAGGACTACATCCAAACCCTTGAACAGAACGATGGAAAGCGCAAAAGCCCTCAAACGCACAACCGTAGCACCATCTCCATCGATGAAGCAGATCAATTTTCCCCGGACAACTGGCTGCCACGTTCTTCAGATTTAATTCGCCTGACGGGTAAGCATCCAATGAACGCCGAGGCAAACCTATCACATCTCTACGACGCTGGACTGATTACGCCTAACGAATTGCACTATGTGCGCAATCATGGCGCTGTCCCAAGACTGCTGTGGGAATTCCACGAGTTGGATGTCGAAGGCGGTAAGCTTGTATTGTCCATGGACAATCTGAAGAACGATTTTGATACCATCAACATTCCGGTAGCTTTGGCGTGTGACGGTAACCGCCGGAAAGAGCTGAACATGATCAAAAAGTCTAAGGGATTCAGTTGGGGTAGCGCGGCTGTCAGTTGCGCATACTGGAAAGGACCGTTGGTGAAAGACATCCTGCTTAAAGCTGGCTTACCAGCAAAGATGCCAGAAGGCAAACGCTACTGGGTCAATTTCGAGGGCGCAGACGAGCCCAGTGAGGGGAAGTATTCCACATGTCTACCATTTGACTACGTGATGGATGTAACAAACGACGTTATTATCGCATACGAAATGAACGATCTCCCGCTTCCCCCTGATCACGGATACCCGGTGCGACTGATGATACCAGGGTACGTTGGTGGACGCTGCGTCAAGTGGCTAAAGCGTATCTGGATATCAGAGAAGGAAAATGACTCACATTATCATATTTGGGATAACCGCGTCCTACCATCATTTGTTACGGAAAAGGACGGCCAATTTGCGGAGACGTTGTTCCGCCATCCCGACACAGCTTGCAATGAGCAAAACTTGAACTCGGTCATTGTGAAGCCTGCGCAAGGGGAAAAGATACCGCTTTCCGAGGCCAAGAAAGGAAAGACGTACCGTATTGAAGGTTATGCATACGATGGCGGTGGTCATGAAGTACAGAGAGTGGAGGTCTCGCTGGACGATGGAGAGACGTGGCTGTATTGTATTCGAAAATTCCCAGATGCGCCTATTCGACATGGCAACAAGTTCTGGACGTGGCTACACTGGCATGTGGACATTGAGATTTCGCACTTACTCAGAGCGAACAGCATCACAGTGCGCTGCTTCAACGTCTTCAAGAACACCCAGCCGAAAGATCCAAACTGGAACGTCATGGGTATGATGAACAACTGCTGGTACATTGTTCGACCTTCAATCGTACAGGGAGACGACTCTGATATGCCTTCAATCATGTTCCGTCATCCGGTGGAGCCAGGCACGGCGGATGGTGGGTGGATGAAGCCGAGCGTTGAGAACCAGATGGCGGCTGTCAAACAGTCGGCTGGTACGCCACAGAAGCAGTTCACTCGGCAGGAGATCGAGAAGCATGACAAAGAGGATGATTGCTGGATCGTGGTCGATGGAAAGGTTTACGATGCGACGAGCGTGTTGGAATGGCATCCCGGAGGTAAAGCCGCCGTATTGGGCCATGCCGGCAAAGTGCACGCAGAGACTAGTAATGAATTTGAGAGCATACATGACGGTTATGCTTACAAGAAGCTCAATGGTAAGTCTTCCAATCATGGTTGTTGCACGTACGCTAATATTCCGAACAGAATGCGCAATTGGTGTAGTGACTGACAAGACTGCTGCTTTCATCAAGAAAAACGCAGAAGCAGCTGCGAAAGAGCAGTCACAATCATCTTCTCAACACAGTAAAGTTGTTCTGCAGAAACACCGATGGGTACCGGTCAAGCTCCTCGACCGCAAGTCCATTTCGGAAGACACACGCGCGTACACCTTCCAACTACCAGACGATACACCCGATCTGGGTCTCGCAACATGCCAACACGTACAGCTAGGCTACCATCTTCAAGACAAGATGCTCATCCGATCATACACGCCTACCAAACCACTTCTTCCTGATTCATCAGATGGAAGCGATAAGAAGAAGACTGACAACCAGAATCTCGCAGACGGCGTCGGTACCTTCGAACTCACTGTCAAGACCTACTTTCCATCTAATTCGCAACCCGGTGGCGCAATGTCCAACATTCTCGATTGCATGCCTCTCGGTGAGGAGATCGAGATCCGAGGCCCAATCGGCGAAATAGTATACAACGGCAAGGGCGTCTTTAGCATCTCTGGAAAAGACTACACGTTCAAGAAGATCAATCTCGTTCTCGGCGGAAGTGGTATCACGCCCGGATACTCACTCATCGCACGTGCGATGCTATCGAGCGATCCTGATATACAGATTTGTGTTCTGGATGCGAACAAGTCTGAAAAGGACATCCTGCTGCACAAGGAGCTTGATGAGTTTGAGAAGTCTAGCGGAGGCAGACTGAAGATTACTCATATCCTCAGTCATCCGAGTGACGAATGGAAGGGCAAGAAGGGTCATGTAGATGCTGATCTGATTCAAGAAGTCCTGTTTAAGCCAGAAGAGGGGACGGGCGTTTTCCTTTGTGGACCTCCCGGTATGATTCAGAAGGCTGCCTTGCCGGCACTGGAGAAGTGGGGTTTCAAGGAGGGAGAGAATGTGTTTGGGTTTTGAGCGTATATGCAATTCCTGTAATCATGAAATTCTCGGCCCAACTCGATTTGGTTCGAAACTTCTGCATTTCCATATCTTGACTATGCCTAGATGCTCCACTTTTGTGTAGCCTTGATCTCCTTTTGCCTGTTACTAAATCTAACAGATGTGTCTTCCATCCGAAGACATATTAGCTGATACAGCTATTCTTCCTTCTTGTACCCAGGATATGGCTTCACACCCTCAAACCTCCTAACACAGCCACCCAGATCCATGCCCTGTCCATTCAGCTTGAAATGTTCCTTCACAATGTTCTCCAGAAAACAGGTGACCGCACGCGCGCCCTCCGCTGGAGCATTCCCACTCAGCCCGCGGGCTTTGGTGCCCTTCTTTCCACCTTCCGTCCTAGCTAGCTCAACAATCATGGGAAGATCGGACGCATCGAAGATGGCAGAGTCGTCGAGGTCAAACTCCGTAGCTGGGCCAGTTAGGTGCGACCAGGTCGTCGGCCAGTGGATGTCGTGCTCGCGGCGGAAGTCGGCGCGACCAAAGAAGAAAAGAGGAACGTTTCGAACATCTGAAGATAAGAGGGGTGGTGTACCGGAAAGATTTATGCTGAACTTTACGGCAGAAGAGGTGAGACCGAGTGAGGTTGCTACTGTGCCACCAAGGCCGTGACCAATGATACCGTACGTCGCTGTCTTCAATCCTGACGTAAAACGTTGAGTTGTGAAATGCTGTTGCAAAAGAGCGACGTTGTTGATCTGAGAGAGCGTAAACGCGATGTCGGCCATGCGCGTGTCGACAGCAGTTTGGACTGTGGTGTTCCAGGTTGTGATGGGGGAGAAGTTCGAGAGAGGGACAGTACCACTGTTATATACAGTCTGGAGGTCGCGAGTGCGGGAGGAAGAGAACTGGACAATGGAAGCGTCGCCAGGATGGTCGATGACAACAACGGCGACACCGTTTGCGCTAATGAAACGTGCCATGGTAGAGTAGAGTAGTCTACTCGTATCAACATGCGGTTCCAGGACTATGACTGGGAATTTGCTTGCATCGATGTTGGTAGAACTGCCACAGCAAACGCCATAGGCCATCTCTTCGAATATGCCTGCATCACGCTTCCCGCCTTCGATGAACTGCTCGTTCGCAATCGCAGCGGTCTGAGGGGGCATGTAGCTGTTTTGGCATTCGTTCGAGCATGACTCCTTGGGTACGGGCATGTACAGGCTGACCATAAGCCGGCGGACCTCATCCGGCTTGTATGGATCTTTTCGGGCAGTGTCTGTTAAAGGAAAGTGGCTGACAGCGACCTTGTACTTGTGTTTACCATCGGCACTGGGAAGGCGAATAGCGTGGACATTGCCGTAGAGCGCGGTGAGCAAGATAACGACTGTAAGACCGATAAACGGAAGCATGATGATGGGCCGACAAAGTGAGCGGAGAAGACTGAGGACTCGAGTTGAGAGATTGGGTTTCGTGATTGTGGTCTCGGACATGGAAGCGAGTGATGTGCGATCCTGGTCAACAGTATTGAAGCGGTGGAAGAGCGGCGCGTCGCTTTCCCTTGATGACGTGGGGGAAAGATAAATAGACAGAGGGAAGTGAGAGACCGGAACTAGCTCTTTGCGACGGAATGTGGTAGAGGCGCCGAATCAATCACTTTTCGACAGCGGGAGGTATTCTGATGTGCTTCATTTGTGCCACTGTGCCCACGTGCTGTGAATGTTATAAAACTGGTGTGTTCGCGACGTGGTCGTGCTGATGGCATGCGCCTTCCTCCAGATGCACTCCCGAGTAGTACCACACGGTTAGCAAGCCAACTTTAGTGTCTGCCTACACGGATCACAACTCAGTGGGAACGGGATTTCGTGTAATGACAGAGAACAGGTGAACACGCAAATAAATGACATGTACGAGATGTAACTTTTGGTGTTGATTTGATACAAAATACCGCTACGCCATCTATCGCTTGCACTCCTATCCCTCTTGTCTATAAGCAAATAAAGCAAGTTTTAGTGAAGTTCGGCCGTGTCGTCGTGATCGTGCGGTGTGGGGGTATAAGCAATGTTGAATCGTCGCATGGGTGAAACGAGTGTGAAAGTCGTCATAATATCCAGGGTCTTGTAGCGATGATAGATCCTGGGTGATGCCCGGCGTGAAGACTTGAAACACAAGTGTAAGTGAATAGTCTTATGAAGGGGTCCGCAAAGAAGTAGAGAGTGATTTCTAGGCTCATACACGCGAATTGCGTGAAAATGTTGAGCCAATGTACGCGGGCGGAGACGCGACCAGGCTCAGGAAGAGTCCAGGGAGGATAGAGACAACCTCTTTCGTTTCTCGACAGACAGTCTCTTCCACATGCCTACGTGTTCGATGCCTTCCTCGATCCAGTGAGGCTCTGCTGGTATCTCGACTTCACCGTTGTCGTTCCTCAGCTCCTCGTGGAAACCGTGCTTCTCCCACATGCTCTGGAGGTTAGCTTGGGCGTGGATCATGACCAACCCTTGCCAAGTAATCTCGCGCTCCTTGTTGTTGCCCAGCATCTGTGCCATCTCCAAAGCGGTGGGAGACGGAGGCCGGTAGATCAGGTCGGGGTTCATCATGGCATAGTCGAGCGCAGCGTTGACGAGCAGCTTCGCAAGGCCGAGGCTTCGGTAGGGCGCCAGGACTGCAAGTCTGCCGAGCTTGATGTAAGGCTCCGGCGGGTGCTTAGTCTCCTGTTCCTCGCCGGGTGGGTCTGCATCGGCGTGTTTGTCCGTCTTGTCCTCGTCGACGTACTTGTTCGGTCCGTGGGGCGGAGGAATGAGCCGAATAGTCGCGACGGGAACGCGGGTGGCGGTGGCAGAGGCGCGTCGCGCGTCGTCAGCGGGCGTGTTGCCAGAGTCGGAGCGGCGCAGTGTCTTCGGGGGGTGGGTTGTGTGGGTGGCAACGGAAGCATAAGCGACCCAGTGCCAGCTGCGGGCATCGTCTTCGTCGAACTCGGCTTCAAGAGGCACGCCCTGCTCGCCATAGACTTCTTCGCGGATGGCCATGGCATCGCAGAAGTTTTGCGGGACGTGGATCTTCTGTTTGCTGCAGGGTATTGTGTTGTCATAGCCATCAAGGGCGCCTTTGAGCGGGCAGACAGTGTTGACAAACTCAGTGCCGGAGTTGGTCGCCAGCAAAGGCGCACCATTTGGCGAGCCAAAGCCGCCTTTCAGTACGCTGGTCATGGTGATGATTGTGATGGCGTCGCCGTCGAGGTTTGTAGACGTTGCGTTGTATTCAGGCGGGGTCGGTGTGGTGGTGAAGGAGTCGTTGAGGCAGGAAGAGAGTACTGCAATGGCGTGCTCGGTGGCAGTGGTCAAGGAATTGCGTGGCAGTCGTCGTCTTCAATTCGCGCAATCGCAGGCAAACCCTGCCTGAGCGAAAAGGCGCCATGTGCACTATAAGAGACACACCGACAAACTCTACGGGTAGCATGCAACACGTTGTTTTGGGTCCCGTAGTTTCAGGCGCTCAGGGTCCTAAGACAACGCCTATCCTCTTCGCGGTAGCAAAGCTGGAGATCGCGCGTCGAGGAACTCAACGGGCGAGTGAGGTTTCGAGGCCATCCCACCGACGTTGCGACGGTGATGTCACAAGCTTGGACCCTTATCCGGGCCGCACAGATCAACGCGGCACATGGACCGAGAGCGAATCAGATGTGCTTCAACATTCTGGCCTTCCACGGTGGATCATCTGTGCCTTACTGCCTTTGTTTCACATGTCAGGCAGCGCGTTGGCCGTACCTATCGCCAGGCTCCCAGACACCTGGGGGCGCCTTCGCCTCACCAACCTCATGCGATGCCTGATCCTTTAGAGGCCATTGATCCTTCGCCGTGGCGCTATCTGGGCATGATCCTTCGAGTCGATACACTGCATGGCAGTGCTGATAAGCGAAGGCCGACGAAAGCCGCTATACAGTGCCTGTACACTTCCGCAGCATACGCAGAACGGATAAAGCCAACCTCAGCTCACAGAGAAATATGAGATGAAGTGTGGGAAGACGAAAGAGAGGGTATGATACGAAAGCAGATGCTGTGACAACGACATCTATCGGGTGGTGTTATCAGTCTTACATGGTGTAAACTAACTTGCTAACACTAACAGAGCGGCAGCTCCAGTGGTTGATAGAGTCCTCAACCAGCTATCGTTATGGCTACACTCAGAATCGCGGCTTTTACGTCTGAGATGTTATCTGGTATGCGGATTTGGAAGTCGCCTGTCACGACGACAAATTGACCGAAGCTGCTATCTAAAACCAGCTCTCGATCACTGAGTCTGCTATCAGAGAGGGTTCCCAGGCTCTCCAACGCGAAGGAGGAGAGCGACTCACCTCTCACTCACAAAACCACAGGTATGGTCTCCTTTCTGGATATCTTAGCCCACTTCTTCGACAATACCAGCGCAATCGCGGTCAAGACAGCCGTCTACACATTTCATGAGCTGCGCGATGTCAAAATGCGTTCATTCGGTGGTATTGACCGCTACCGTGGTCGTCTTTACCAAGAGGCAGTCGTCGGTCGATAGTCACGATCTCGGTTTATCCATTCTTTGGGCAACGTCTGGGGAGACGGCTTTCAGGGCTTGACCCTTGGACATGAAGGTACTGTTACGATGCAAACTAGTATGGATTCTTGACACAGCACAGTGCCTGGCCCCTGTCTATACGTAGACCGATGCATTCGCTTTCCAATTTCTCAGAATTAACAACATTTGTACAGAAAACAACAAATACACACTGCAATATCGGTAATCATATTGGGAGCTGACGCAATGTGACTTCGAAGGTGAACCGCTTACCGGCCCATAATTGTTTAATAATCAGACGCGGAGCTTCATACGACATGACGAGTACTTCGACCATCACGAAACCCTGTTTTACACTAGTGGTTGGTCTCATTCTCAGGTACACCAAGTTACTCCTAGCACGGCGTTGTATACATACCGTTGATCCGACGAGGGAATCCAGACAAGGCAAGCTAAACTGAGGGCTGACCCATCACCGGCAGACCGAAAGAACCGACGGCGCAACCCAAACACCGTTCTGTGCGTATATGAAAAGCTATACTCGACAGCTGTAGCGTCTATTACAGCGGCACCAAGGCTTGATCAATATTGTCCTGCTGGTTTTTACTTGAAGCATATAGTTTACATCATCCCATTTCTCTAAAATGACGCGCGTTCTCCTTACTGGTGGCAATGGCTTCATCGCAGCCCATACTCTCGATTTACTGCTGAAGTGCGAGCACTCAGTAGTCACTACAGTCCGCACCCAAGAGAAAGTCGGAAAACTCACGACAGCTTACGAATTCTATGTCAAGAACGGTCAATTGGGATTCGCTGTTGTGCCAGACATCGCTACACCAGGCGCTTTTGACAAGGCCGTCATCTCCAATCCGCCGTTCGAAGCAGTGCTGCACACGGCCAGCCCGAACCGCTTCAACATCGCCGACATTAAGAAAGACTTGATAGACCCAGCAGTCGAAGGCACGGTTGGAATTCTCAAGAGCATCAAGGCCAGCGCTCCTTCAGTGAAACGTGTCGTTATAACTTCTTCCTTTGCCGCAATGGCCGACGCCAGTAAAGGCACTCGGCCAGGTCACATCTATCAGGAAGAAGACTGGAACCCTGTCACCGAACAAGAAGCGCAAGCAAACGCTATCATGGCATACAGCGCTGGCAAAACCTTTGCCGAGAAGGCTGCATGGGAGTTCTTAGCGGGCGAAAACCCTGCTTTTGACATTACTGTCATCAATCCTCCAATGGTCTTTGGTCCGGTTGTAAGTTCATCCAGCTCTAGGTATAAAGGAACAATTTCTAACAAGAAGCCAGATTAATGGTCTGGAGACTCTTGACAGCATGAATACCTCCAACCAACGTATTCTTGAGGCGGCACAGGGCAAATTCCAAGACGAGATACCCGACAATAACCTTCTCTATCTGTGGGTAGACGTCCGCGATGTTGCTGCAGCACATGTCGCAGCACTCGAACAACCCGCAGCAGCGAACAAGCGTTTCTTCACGGTAGCGGGATACTATTCACACAGAGAGATACTCACCATCATCGAGAAACGCTTTCCTGAATACAACAGGAAAATCTCGGCCGGTGCCACGCCAGGTGGTGACTATCCAGACGGTGGAACCGACAGGCTGTATAGATACAGTAACAAACGATCGGTCGAAATCTTGGGGATGAAGTACAGAGATCTAGAGGAGTCTATTGTCGATACGGTGAAATCGTTCCAAACGTTGGGTTTGTGAGGTTGTCGCAATAAGTGGTCGTCGAAAATAAAGTCCTAGGCAAGATAGCTTACTCATTAGATCTTCATGTGAATTACTGTGAGTGGTGTTTATTTGCTTCTCTAGTGATCTCGTTGATGTACTTGTCGGGTGAACCAGTCGATCTTAGGTACATATACGCTGGTGAATGGGTCAGGGTTGGGTCAAGGTTAGGTCGGGTTTGGGTCGGGTTTGGTGACCCTAACCCAACCACAACCTCTAACCCATGATTCCAGCGCTAAAGGTGGGTATGGGTTGGGTTGGGTTGGGTTGGGGTGGTCAAAGCGTGGGTTGAGGTTGGGGTGGTCAAAGCGTGGGTTGAGGTTGGGTATGGTATACCCAAGTATACCCAGATATACCCACCAAATCACCGCATATGATTATAGCTGACCCAGACAGAACCTTATACCCACGCTAGGGTATAGTATATCTATTTACCAGCGTAGATACATATCAAAACAACTCATACTAACCATATTCGATGGCGGCAGAGCTTAGATACATGTATGTCTATTTGGAACAATGAACATTAAGATGTTGGCATGAATAACGACAGCGAAAGGAACAGAAGGCACATCTTCATCTGTACTAAACCCAAAGGTTCAACTACATGGGGCTCAGGCAGAGTTCTGGGCCCATTCGTTTGTCCGGCGCAACGACGACCCCAAGCTTAATTGGCTTCCCTACCATACACCATCGTCGCTCTCAGTCTATTGGTATAACTGCAGTAGCGAATTGCCTAGATCAAGCTCGATTTCGAAGGCTGAAGACTTCTGGTACACAGCTGCTGTCTTGGCACTCAATGCTTGCACAACTGGATCCTCAAGACGCTTGACGAAAGCTGATGCGTCAGGTTGAGTATCCTCTATCTTTGGTGCTGTCCGCCGATTGATCGACTTCTTAGCACTCGCTAGCGCTTGCTGAGGAAACAGTCGCAGGCGTGAAGTAAGACCGTCGATGTAGGTGTTCATCTCGGCCGACGTGTCGAAAGCCTTGTTTATCCAGCCAATTTTCTCTGCTTCGGAAGCGCTTATATCTTTCGCACTCAGGATATATTCCATTGCTAGCCCTCGTCCTAAGTGGTGGTAGATGAAGTCAGTCCATGTATCGTGTGAAGAGTTTAGAGAGATATGACTTACCGATCAGTCCTGGAAGAAACTGACTTCCTCCTCCGCCTGGAATGAGTCCACTGCCAACCTCTGGTTGTCCGATCAGAGTATCATTTTTGGTTGCAAAGCGCATGTCGAGCGAAACAAGGAATTCATTTCCAATACCCCGCGCCCTGCCCTCTACAGCGCCGATGGTAACTTGCGGTAGCGCAGAGATATTATAAATAAGCTCGGCGTAACTTGGCCACGTCTCCGCTGTTTCGAATCCTCAGTTCTGTTCGAATCCAAATGTTCAACGGGATGACTTACTGAGGTCAGGCATTGTTAGATCGAGGTGACCTATCCAATATCTTGGGACGTCGCTCCGAAAGACAACGACTTTGGTCTCATTGTCCTTTTGAAGCTTCGCTACGATATCAGTCAACCCGTTCGTGGTGTCTTGATTCCAGAAGTTCAGAGTCGAGTTCGGATTGTGGAATGTGATATCGAGAATGCTATTGTTCTGCGACGTCTTCAACCCGACATAATTTGGCAGTTGGAGAGCTTGAACGGAAGAGAGAATACCGCAAGCCACTAGATGCGCAACAAACCAAGACGGTGCCATTGTAAGATTCGAAGGGTTGCAGTAAATGGTGGAGGCGCGGATTGAATGTGAGTTTTCTGGTTCGGTTTGATGCGATACTATGGGAGAGTAGATCGCGAAAGAACTATATACCTAGAGATTATTGACATGATTAGACGAAGACGGACGAACACTGTGCTGTGTAAAGATCATCTTCTCGTCCCTGATATCGTCGCTTGGTAAGACCTCAACCTATACAGGTATCCCAGCCACATTGAGATGGCTGAGGCGTAAGGTGCGAGCTCCAATTTCTGGTAAGTAGAATCCGATCAGTGATCAACAGTGTAGAATGCGCTGGAGAAATTACGGAGGTGTCGCTGCAAGGACTGTGCGACATAGCGCCTATTCTAGCTTCTCCAGGTGGTGGACTTTAGCGCCGGCTGGCGGGACTTCTTTCTTCGCCGTCGGGCTAACAACTATTGCGGGGAATTGCAGTACGACATAAACATCACCATGCACGAACAGCACTAAACAACAGACCACCACCTATCATTTCTCAGAGCGATGTTGCAATCGCTGGGTCAATACTGATGTAGTGTTGATATCCGAGAGGTCCACCATTTGGATCTGCGTGCTACCACTGTAGCCACCCAGGGTTGACCACAAATCAACTATGTGGATAACCGTTGTCAAGGCTAGGCAAGAAACTCATAATTCGATTGCGCAAAAAGCTTATTAAGTCTTAACGCCTCTTGTTAGCTAAACATCCATGCTGTTTATTAAACACTAATGATTCTCCGAGTTTTGACGTCCGACGTATTCACATTCACTATGCGCACTCGCAACAATGAGTTACAAAGATTGAAACGGACGAACACTCAACTCTAATTCCAGACTACATAATTATGCGTATACGTCTTGAGCTTGTCACTTTGACGTTTCATACGCATATAGAGCATCGTTGCACCATAGGTCTCTGTCAAAAACCTTCAAGCCATCATTGCTACAGATCTCCTATCAATGCTCTTTGAAAACTTCCCGAACTCATTCAACATGGTTGTCATCGCAATTGCTGGTGGTGCAAATGGCCTGGGTCGCACTATTGCGGAGACGGTTCTTCGCCAGGGCAAACATCAGGTGAAGATCTTGAGCAGATCGGTAAGCAAAAACTACTTGTGTGGTAAAAGAAACCTCGGTGTACTAAGAACATCAAGGCGAACCCTAAGCTTGCAGCCGAGATTGGCTGTGAAATCATCGCTGTCGATTACGACAACATTGAGAGTATGAAGAAGATCTTGGAAGAGAATGATGTTCATACAGTGATCTCCACGATCTTTTTGACCACTTCGGCAAAGCCGCAGAACAACCTGGTGATGGCTGCAGATGCGTCAAAGGTAACGAAGCGTTTTGTTCCAAGTATCTGGGGTGTCCCCATGACTCGAGAGTAAGTGCTAGCGAAATTCCGACTCTATTTGGCAAAAGCACTGCTTACATTGAACGTACCACGTAGGCAAGCCGACGCCGCTAACTTCATCATCGGCCGCGTCAAGTTCGAGGGTGTGGAGGTCCTAAAGAAGACATCCCTCGAACACACGCGGTTCTATGTGGGTTTCTTTCTTGATTACTGGGGTTACCCCCACGTACCTACACACGTAACCCCCCTTACCATGGCCGTCGACATGCAAAACGAGTTTGCCGCTCTCCCCGGTACCGGAACAACTCCAATCTCATTTATCCACACTGTGGATATTGCGAAGTTTGTAGCTGCGAGCTTGAATCTCCCAAAGTGGGACGAGGAGAGCTACATTCTTGGGGACAGGCTTACCTGGAATGATTTCGTCAAGACTGCAGAAGAGGTCAAGGGTGATATATCCCGCCAGGAAGTACCATAGTGTACTCACTAACATGAAAATAGGAATAAAATTCAGAGTTACATACGACTCGATCGAAAAGCTTAATACAGGAACGGTAACTGAGCTTGAGACTCACAAAGACATCTATCCTATCATGCCCAAGGAGAATGCCCAGTTACTCATGGCAACTTTCGGAAAGTTTTTCCATGACGGGGTGTTTGACTTGAAGCCCGAAAAGACACTCAACCAGGTGTTTCCTGAGATCAAAGTGAGCTCAGTAAGGGATGTTCTGCAAAAGGCTTGGGGAAATCATTGAAGAAAAGTCTCCAGTAGCATAGCGTGCGTCAATCACAGAAGCTATCATGCATTCTCATAGCACTCGAATTCTAAAAGCGCTTTATATCTATTACCATCTTTCAAAGTCATTGGTGTTCCCGTCAGGAGGTACACAACCTCCTTGGAATTATACTCCTACAACCTCGGCCTCTCCTCCATCCCCTCTTTGATCCCTCGACTGATCCAATCACTAATGGCCATATTTGTAACCATGGGGTTAACTCCACTAGCACTAGGGAACACACTCGCATCAGCCACATACAGGCCCTCAGTGCCCCAGACAGCGCCTCGCGGGTCAACAACACCGTCTTTCTCCTTCGCACTCATCCGGCAAGTACCCATTTGATGCGCGGAGACATACACACTCTCAGGTGATGGTAGGCCCATATTTCTGATATCCTGGATCCAGGTCTGGAACTCTGGATCGTTAATACCATCGCCTGCTGGCATGGAAGGATCCCGAACGAATGGTCGCATATTGGGTATTACGGTGAAGATTTCCTGTGCTCCTTCCACATACTGAATCTTCGCCAGCGCAATAACACCTTCTAATACGTGTTTTTGGTCAAACTTGGATGTCTGGTACGAAAACCTCACACGACCGTCGACTGGATCTGGATATACTCGCCCTGTATCGCGGTCTCTTGCAATGGAAATGTACCCAACCATGTGTTTCAACTTCGCCGCGTCGATTTTGTATTGCATAGCGCTCTTCCAATCAACCCACATAAGACACGCAGAAGGAACCATGTTCGTAGCTTCAAGCTTGACACCATGGCCTTTGCCGTCCATGTTTTCGAACTCGCCTACTACCGCAGTGAGGATCCCGCCTTCCCAAGGTTTGATCTCTTCCTTGTGATAAGCGCCAAGGAAGGTGACGGGGTGAAGGTATAGGTTGCGACCTATCTGCGGGTTCTTGAGTCCAGAACGCATGAGGAGAAGCGGAGATTGCATGGTTCCTGCTGATACGACGACACGCTTTGCTTTGATGAGGACGCGGCGGGTTGTTAGGGGGGAACCAGCAACGCCGCCGTGAGCGTCACGGGATGTCCATGTGCCAAGTACGCCGGTTGCTATCTTTCGGCCGTTCTTATTGGAGAAGATGACTCTCTCTGCGTGGAAGCCTTCGATGAACTTTGCTCCCGCTCGGGCAGCGTCAGGGAGGAAGGATACTACCGGGCCTTGCTTTTCACACGAGCCGCAGCCAAAGTTGCAATAACCGCAATAGTGCTGCTGTCCACCGGTATTTTGTGGCACAGGCTTAGCAGTCCAGCCGAGTTTCCTGGCACCTTCAAGTAGTATCTCGTTGTTGCGATTCTGCTTGATGTTCTTGTCTGAGACGCCCATGCGATCACAGACACGATCTAAAGACTCTTGGAATTCTGCAGATGTGAAAAATGGAAGACCTCGTCCTGCCCACTCGCGACGGACGTAGCCCTGTGTCTGGAGAGAAGCAGACCAGTTGACAGTACCTCCACCGCCCATGGACTGACCTGCTACAACACTGACAGAACTATCATCAGATGTCAAAAATGATCCACTCATGAAAAGATGGTGCCATCCATCCAGTTCAGCCATGGGAAAGTGATCTGGAGTCCAGTGATATGCCTTCTCTACGATCAACACACGGTGCCCGGCTTCCGCGAGGTTCTTCGCGGTCACACCACCTCCACACCCGCTTCCCACAATCACCACGTCTGTCTCGATAACTTCAGGCTTGTCGCCGGGAGGAATCTGAATAAACTCATAGTCGAAGCCCTTCCCAGGCTTCATGCCCAGAGGCACGCGTGGGGCGCCTATAACGCGTCTCAATGCAGGCGACGTCTTGATCCAAGCCTGTTTAGTAATGATCACCAACGAGCGACGCAGTTGGCGAAGCGCTCCAAGCCGCGCGGTAGCCCAGCCCTGAATGATTGACTCTCTTACATGAGCGGGTTGTTCGCTAATTGGTGTAAGATAACCAGTCAGTGCCAGCGACCCCGCTCTAGTATTCAGGACATTCAGCACCATACACAGCTCCTTTCTTTGGTTCTGCGGCATGTACATAGCGAAGACATGTTGTAATTCCGCTCGAAACGCTGGATCCTGACTCGCATAGTCATCCAGGTAGTCCTTCACCGCTGTTACCGCATCAGGGTCATTCTCCGGCGTTAGAGCCCTCAGCTTGCTAATCGCGGTCGAGTAATCGGTGTCGGTCGCAGCGATTTCAGTGCGCGTCTTCGCCGTGGACATGGGCTTGATTGCTGGGATGACCGCATCCGCAATAGCAAGAAGTGTCTTCCATTGTTGGGACGTGAGCGGATCCTCAGACGGCAGTGGTGGGAGCGGAGTAGCTTTCGGCGAAACGGGCTCAGTTGAGAGAGTTGAAGACATTTTGCCACGTAGATTTGAGAATCCAGGGATAGCCTTGATGTCGCGCGTGGACCCTCAAAGGGTCTTTCAGGTGGAGCAGTCGGGCATGCTAAAGTAGTGCAAACGCAGGTGTCGTCTTGTTTTGTATCCACAGTCGTCGAGAGTGAAAGCAACGCTTCCCCGCGTCACAAGCTGCTCCATTGTTGTCAACTACCTAGGTATTAGGGGCGACACTGGCGTGGCAAGTTGAGCCTCGGTCCGGAAAACAAACTTCATGATGGCGTCTCGGCAAGGAACGCCAAGGTAGGCGTTGTCCGTGAACGTCGGAAGCCGGAAGAGCAGATTCGCCGGAGATTTGAGAACATCTGGCTTTGATGTCGTGAGTGCTGTGGATGCTGTGGATGATGTGGATGATGTGGATGATGTGGATTGATATTGCTATGTCTTGCATTGATCTACGCGGTAAAATCCACGGGCAGATCACAGTGGCAGTCGTCTTGGCTCTCGACCTCGGGATGGGGCCATTGCGCAGCCTTGGGAGCTGAGTACCGTGGATCTTCCATCGGCGCACTCGAATAGCATAATCCGAAGTTCTTGCGGTATCGTGAGGTTGTGGGCCACTGGCCGGCGGCGCAATTTTAGTGAAGCGCACGATGCGACCCGAAGATGGCGGAATTAACGCCACGATGTTTGAGTCTCGGCGAGACTGCCCGGCGTCTAAGCTAGAATCTGCACCTGGTACATATGCACGGATGAAGCATCATGCGATTAGTACACGAGAACAACAAATGAGGTTGCATTCGACCATCTAGGAATTCGCACGTGCCCGGCTCTCAGAGTTGTTTACGTTGCTACTACACACCTAGGTAACGTGGCTTTTCAAAGCCCGGCCGTAATCGTGGTCGGCCTTTGCTACAAGCTGTGGTTTCCGAAAGGTCAAGGAGGCGTACCTCACATCTACAAGCTCATGAGCCGGAACGGCAGCAAAAACAAACTTCTGTTAGGCTATGTTCCAAGGTTTCGTCGTGTTGCTTGTTCTTGTAAGCTAGATGGACGTTTTCAGCAATACAATAAATCTACACCTCTCTCACTCACGCGAATGATTGGTTCCAGGCTGTGTTCCAAGCTTCTTACATCCCTGGTCAAAGATCTACTGGGTATGCACTTACCATCAAGCGACTGGCCCTGAAGCTGTCTTGCGAGATGCAGTATACCAGGCTGACGTACCTGTCGTGGTAGTGTCGTCCATACCAATTGTGATCATGGAATCGATTTCGTCCACGTCCAGGTCGAACTCATCATCAAGGCGTCGCTGCTGGTCTACTAGCTCAGAGGGTTCAAGCTGTTTCACCTGCCGCTTGTCGACGTCTTTATCCTTAATGTCTCGTCAAGGCATATGGAGATCGTCGCTGTCAGCTTCATGATCGTCCCGGATTGATAAGAATCCTAGATACTTGACGTGATAATCCACTGTGAGGTCACAGTGTGCTCAGTATCTTCTGCATCACAGCCGGCCATGCCGTTGTGGGATATTACCAAAACAAATTACTGCCATGTAGGAAAAAGACGTCACGAGACATCACGAGGACTTGTCGTCCTTGTCCGGCGGTTGCTACTGCAGAAACGACGTAAACGGCATCGAGGAACCAGAGAACGTCGTCACTGAGGAGCGGTGAAGGTGTATCGACCGTAGAAAGACCGGCGAATCGATAGAAGGATGAAAAGCAGACGTTTTGCAACGTCTTCGACGCGCGCATACGTCAAAGTTTTGGCGGCGAAAGTTGCGGAGTGGGTGGGTTCTGGTCTGATGGCAGGGCTTCGCGTGGTGCTAGAGACGACCGGGGATGGCTGCACGCCATACTGCTCAGCTCTCAAGGACCGCTTCATGATCCACGCTCACAACGCGACGCTACCTTACCCATAAGCGGGTACGATTTCATTAAGAGTCCCACCTTTTCCACGATCGTGAGGTCTGGCCGAATAGCCTCAAGGTGGGATTGAGTGGAGCATAATATATTGGATAATTGCGCGCGCGCGTCGTTGCTACAGGAGCTTGCAGTGGCATCGGAGTGGATGAGGTGCATTGAATAGCTAGGTAGCGTGGCAATTATGCCCCGCCAGTTGTTGCAGGCTGGCCGCAGTTGAGCGGGATTGGAGCGCCTCTCGCGGCTTACTTGCCTGTCGTTTAGAGGTGAGGTATGCTGTCATGTCTATCATGTCTATCAACGTCTATCGCAGTCTGTTGAGCAAGATGCAATCACGATACGACGCGGAGACTACATCATATCCCCAGGGCAGAGTTCACGCTTGACGCAGCAGTTCCGTCCTCGGAGAAGGTCGAGGGGTTGCTTTTCATTTGGTCCTGGTGTGATTGGCTAGAGATAAGGGACGCCCAAACGGGAAGAAGTGGAACCCAACGGCTGGCCGCCTCAAGAGGGCTAAACTCACACAGCGAAGGAAGAGGGGAGGGAGTTCCTTTTGGGGGAGCGGGAAACGGAGGCGTTCGCGTAGAATGGAGATTGTTGTTTATGCGCTTTTGTCGAGGTGTGTTTTGGGAGTGTTGCAGAGCAGAGCAAGTGTGGTGGGAAGAGGGCAGTTCCCAAGGCGTTACTCGATGCAATGTTCAAATGGCCGGTCGTAGCCCGATGATACCCTGTCGTTCTTTCGGTTGCCAAGCATGACAGGCATCCCCCTTCGGGCTATCGCCGCCCATCCGTCAGTTCGCTGTAGGTAATTATTAGCAGAAGCGCTGGCTGGCTACAAGTTAATTCATCCTGCCTGTCCCCAGAGCCTCACCCCAGGTCTCCTCCGCACTCACGCGACACCGCTGTTTCTTATCTCGCCTCACATATCTCTCGCATATCACCACACATATCACCTTCCCCTTCACTCGACTATGTCCTGCTGAACCACGGTCGACTTTGTGGCCCCGGCGTCTGTTGTACCACCGCCCGACTGTCCTCTTATCGCCTGCACGTCAGCTACCAATTGACGACCAACCAAAACACCAACACACCCTACAAGGAGCCGCACTCCTGTTCCACGGCTGCATACCACTGATTGCACCAATACCAGCCGTCCACTTTCACCGCCAGTCGATACCGACATAGGACGTATTATACACCTCCCCGTCGACTTGACTTGCTTTGCCCCGACTACATCCAACCTCTAGTTACGACCTTCAACATGGCCACAACATTCTCCTCAGCAACGGCGATTCCGCACAACACACACGCACATGCTCCCTACCAACACCACGCATACCGCAAGTCGACACACTCGACACACTCGCAGTACTCGCCCACAAACTCGGGCCTGAACACGCCCGCCAACATCTCTCCTACCTCCCCGCGCACCACACATCTGCCCCTCGCCCGCCATCAGGGCATCTACCAGCCCAGGACCGCCATCGGGATACCCGCTGCGCTGCGCAAGACGGAGAAGCCCAGCAGCAGGTCGCCGCCAAAGGTCGACTCTGGCGTCAGCTCTCCCAACCAAGCATGGTCGGCGGGAGCATTTGGGTGGGTCGCAAATGAGGGCAGCGCGACTCCCGGCTCGCAGATTGGCAACGAGGACATGCAGAGCCTCTACAACGCCGAACCACTGTCGCCCGTCGCTGGGCCAATCACACGCAACCACTGGCAGGTATGTATTGACGCTTTTCCTACTTGTTCGTTATGCCGCTGCTAGCCCGCACGGCCTTCCCTGTCGCGTGCTCAACCAGGGCTCGAGGCTCAGATCTTACGTACATGGTCCGAGTGGATCCTCTGTTAGCGTGCCCTGGTCTGGCCTCCCGCTGTCTGCAGAGCCGAGATGCCGAGCGCTTGGTGTGCCACATCTCAACAAGACGCTGCCACCGCCTGTCGGAGGCGATACTGGCCGTCCTGGTCATCGTCCTGTGCATGTCGGATTCGTCTTCGGATAATTTCCATCGTACAACGCCGGCACCGCTTGCTCTATTCAGACGGTCGTCCCCCACGCTACCCTTTACCCGATGCAGGGCTGAAGTTCGTGCTAGCGACACTTGTCCACTCTTTTCATCCCTGCCTAGTCCAGTCGTGCTAACAGTCCCTAGGCCGATAGTTCCACTTCGGTGTGCTCCGCATCATCCTGCCAAGAGCCCTTTGGCTTCTTCCAACGTCGCCACCATTGCCGCAAGTGCGGCGGCATCTTCTGCTGGCAGCACTCGCGCAACAATGTCCGTCTCGATGAGCTCGCACGTTTCCATCCTGAGGGCCATTGGCACCGTGCCTGCGACCGTTGCCACAGCTCCTTCCGCGAGTGGGAGCACCTTCGGTCCAGCCGCACCAACAGCGAGAGCTCAGACAGTAGCAATGGGCCGAGTCCAGCCGCAAAAGCCATCGAGGCTCCTGTTGCGGCGAAGCGCCCTGAGACCACACGCGTTGGCAGCATAGCTCAGAGCTTCCAGGGCACGTGGAACTGGAGTACCTTCTAAACAACATCGGCGTCTTCCGCATCGCCTTCATATCTTCATGACTCCTGGACGGATGGATGGTCTTCTGATCCCGGCGTACCTTCTTTTGATGATATCCGGAGACTGGCCAGCATTGCCTTTGTGCACTGGTTCACTCCACCTTTTTCCTTGGCTTCTTCTACGAAGCATTATCCGGCATAAACCAAACTGCATATCATCGGCGTTGTCGTGCTTTTCAACCATGGGACCTTTCCAACGATAGGTGGTGTTTGTCCTTCTCTTGCGATTCAGCGTTTTCCTTCACCTCCTACACCATAGAGAACAGTCTTCTCTTTTTCTCTCCCTTTGTGGAGACGTCATAACGGCCGATGAGATATCCGACTAATGCTAGTCAATGAGGATGCGAGATGGATGGAGGCTTTTTGATTGGGAACATCTGGCGTATTTTGTGTTGCGGGTGGTCATGTAGCTGTATGTTGTGATGAATCTATACTGGTATATTCCGATTGTGTGTCCTTGACAAGCTTTGGAGATGCGGATTGTTTGATATATGGATAATGTGCTTGACTCGGGTGTCGTGATGTGGTACCCTGATGGCGTGATGTCGGGAAAGGTATGGTCGAAGCCAAGGGCTAGTGTTAGGCAAGGGCACGGTACCTTTGGTGGTGCGTCTAGGTACCATGCCGTTGGGAAGCAATGTCTGTTATGATCAAAAGTGACAAGTTTGGACACTTGTGTGAAGATGGTCGGTGACATCAAACAAGTTTGGGCAAGGGCGCAGACGAGGGTGCCCAAGACGTATTGACGAGCAGGCTGAATCCATGGTTCATGCTGAGAAACAAGCAGGATTGATGGTAGACAAACTACGTAAAGAGAAAAAGAAAGATTGAGCTCACCATAACACAAGATGAGTCTTGTTGTACCACGACAAAGTTTCAGCAAACGCTCAATGGTGTGATACGGAGATATCTTGCACTCCGATTGGTCAGTATTTCGTGCCGAGTGGAGTGCAGGATGGCGTTTTTTCGCAGAACAAGCACACCACGAGTCAAAGCTACCTTGACGCATCTCGCAACTGCGCACGGTTCGTACCTGGCCTCACCTCGTTCGTGCTTTCACATCGTGAGAGATTCGGCGTCATACGTCCTCTTCTTCTCCAAGCGTTTGGGGGCGCCATCGCCCCCAGGGTAGCGAGCCGATTGCCGAGACGGTATTTTGCGAACACGATGACCACGACCGAGACGACGATGCAGGCCAACGGAGAGATGGCGGGGGTTATACACGGTCAAGGCCACGGGGATGTGTCTGTTCAGGAGAACGGAAAGAGAAGAAAACTTCACGGACGCGCATTCTATGAGAGTATCGGGAGTCCGAAGCTAGTACTCGCGCCTATGGTCGAGCAGTCAGAGTTCGTATGTCTCTTCAACTCAATACAACTGGCCTGGGATGATGGCTAACGAAATGGCTTTTACAGGCATGGCGATTACTGTCGCGCTCGTTCCTTCCCGAGTCTCAGCAGAAGAACCTCCTAGCGTATACCCCGATGTTCCACTCCAAGATGTTCGGTGAAAAGAGCAACTACCGCGATGCTCACTTTCAGCCTCTCAAATCGACTATTCCGTCACCCACCGACTACTATCACCTCGCACAACTACCCGACTCAGATAGACATCTAGACGGCAACCCAGCATTTGACAGACCTCTTACAGTACAGTTCTGCTCAAACGACCCCGAAGATTTCTTGCGGGCTGCGAAACATGTTGCGCCTTTTTGCGATGCGGTAGACCTGAATCTGGGATGTCCACAAGGTATTGCGAAGAGAGGCAAGTACGGCGCTTTTCTACAAGAGGACTGGGACCTGATATCAAGGATGATACGCAAGCTGCATGAGGAGTTGGAAATTCCGGTTACAGCAAAGATGAGGGTGCTTGAGACACCGGAGAAGACTCTGGCATACGCAAAAACACTACTAGATGCCGGCGCAAGTATCATCACAGTACACGGCCGACGGAGAGAACAGAAGGGCCACAACACAGGACTGGCAGATTGGAAGATGATTCGGCATCTACGGGAGAACCTTCCCAAAGAGACTGTTATATTCGCCAATGGAAACATCCTCCAGCACGAAGACATTGCGACATGTCTGGAAGCGACAGGTGCAGATGGCGTCATGAGCGCAGAAGGAAACCTTTACGATCCGACCATATTCGCCGCACCACCTCCACCTGGTCAGGAAGGACGAGAGTACTGGCGCGGGCGCGACGGAAAAGGCGGATATAGGATGGACGCTGTGATGCGACGATACATGGACATCATTCACAAATACGCCCTCGGCCAGGAACCACCACAACGGAAACCACTTTGGATGCCTGGAGATATCGAAGAGCTGCCACAAGAAAACACCAACAACGCAGCGGAGAATGGCAAGAGAGCAGGAGATGAACAAGACGGCCCACCACAGAAAAAGAGAAAGCCAATGTCTAAATCGGAAAAGAAGAAAGAGGCGTCGAATCCCAACCTCACGGCTATGCAAGCACATCTTTTTCATCTCCTACGTCCTCTCGTCTCGCAACATCATAATGTGCGCGACGCACTCGCTCGATCACGGACAGGCGATATCGACGCGTTTGAAAACGTGCTGAGCCTTGTAGAGAAAGCCGTCAAAGAGGGTATCCAGAAGTATGAAGAGGAGCATGCCAACGAGACGGCTTCCGCGCCAGAACAGCCCGCTACGATGGAGGAGATCACAGGAGAAAACTTGGATCCGTACGAATCTTCCCTCGCAACTGTAGCTCGCGTCAAAAGACCATATTGGGTCTGTCAACCGTATGTCAGACCGCTGCCTAAGGAAGCATTGGAGAAGGGGAGTATGACGGTTAGCAAGAAAGAGAAGAAGAGGCTAGAACAAGAGGCAGAGAAGTTGGCTAAGAAAGATGAAGATGAAGTCAAAGCCGTGGGGCTCGAGCCTGGGGGCAGGGTGGAGGAGAAGGTTGTGGATGATGTGAATGGGAAGAGTGAGATTGTAGAGGAGCCCAGGGATGGACTGGTTGCTGGATAAGTGGGAGAATGAAGGTGGGGAAGCGATGTAGATACCCAATAACGCAATAATAAACCATAACAATCTATTTGACACTGCGACAAACCAGATTTGTAGGTCACAATGCCGCTGTACAAGATGCCGATGCCGACTCGCTAAACCCTGCTTACCTACACGTCAGCGCCAGGACCATGTTTACTGATTGTCTTTATTGCTGCATCGGCCGCTGTTTGCTAACTTGCTATAGTAACACCTTCGACTACAGTGCCCGACTAAATTCTCCGCATCATATCTTCTGAACGATCTGATTGGAGGGCTCGAATGCAAGATGAGTGCGATAGCTGGCTTCATACCTGTAACGGCAAAGGCGGCGAATGTATGCCTGTATTGTCGGGTAAGAAAACAAAAATGCGACCGGACGCTGCCACAGTGCGAGAGATGTGCTGTGTGAGTCTTTTCTTTTTCGCGAATGCTTTTGTTGACAACCGAGTCTAGTAGCTTTAGACTAATATACTGCCAGGAAAGGAAAAGTATGTGATTACACGCCATACAAAGAGCCGCCACGACTCGGAGACGTGGACCCAGAGCCATCAATTATAAGCTTCGAAGGATGTACTCATGTCGACCTTTCGTCGCGGAGTACGACGGCATTGCTGCATGCGGTAACAGTAGTTGCCGACTCTAAGGATGCTTCCGGAAGTAAGGCAATGCTAGCGGATACAGTATACGACATACTGGATCAAGCCAACGTGGATATATCCCTCGTTTTGGAAGATTTCGGTCCGTCTATCCAGCAATGGTGTCCTATCGTCCCGGAAGACTTTCTGAAAGATCGGCAAAATCATGCTTCGTATGAGCAACCACCACACGAGGAAACATACCGTCCATTCCTATTGTTATGTCTGTGGTTAATGAGCCGCCGACCATGCGACAATGCAGAGCACATAACCCGCTGCCAACTTTACCGCGCATTGAAACAATCGCTTGCCATCTTCCAAAGCGGCACCAATGTCAACATATCAATCCTCCAAGCATCCATGCTCCTTGCTCTCTACGAAACAAGTCACGGCATGTCAAATCAAGCTTTCCAAACCATGTCAGCAAGTGTGGGTATACTCCAACTCCTACAACATTCAGCCACAAAAAGCGCAAACCTAGTTTGGACACTGGAATGGATAAAACCAAGTCTGCTCATGCTAGACCGCGTCCTAACTCTGACATCACCTACGCACCTTCCTCTGGCTCTGCCCTCTTATCACACAACCACTCAATGTATCTCGTACAATCTGGCTCCTGAGATACCACCGCACCCGCCACTTGGATTAGCATCAGCAACGTCTGCGCGGAAACTACACATCCGATCCACCGTCGCTCTGGCTACAAGCCCAGCTTTGGAGTACATCTCGTCTCTCGTCCTCAACCCCCCACCACAACCCAACCACGCCTACGATACAGCCACATCAAGTCTAACAACCTGTATTCAAGCCCTAGTCTCGAAGCCCGAACCGCATACTTGGCTGCACTGCGACGCCATTGCCCTGGCCTTCTGCACAAACATTCTACTCCAAGAAGCACAGATGCGGCATCTGTCATCTACCTTGCCGGTGCTAGCAGGACGTCCACATCCAGAGTATGAGAAGGTACATTTGGCGCTCAAATATGCGAGACATATGGCGTGGGATATGGTGAAGGTAGGGATCCAGAAGATCAACGGAGAAGGGGAAAGTGGGGAAGAAGGGGTAGGTGAAGTGGGAAGACTACCTTTTGCAGGGTTGTGTTGTGTTGTCAGAGCGGGAGTGGCAGTTTTGAAAACGAGAGAATTCTACGCAGATGGTGATTGTGTGGAGGAGAAGGAGGTGGAAGGGTTTAAGAGGGTGGTTGAATTGTTCGCTGGGAGATGGGGAGTTGGACAGTTGTACTTGCGGACATCGAAATGAGTGAGGTTGTCAACAACGAACGACGTTGCGTTGTAGAGTAAGAACAGACTAATGTTTCTTTCTATTCTCAAGCTAATCTTCGCGGCCAAATCGTGACCTTGTTCTCCATGACACTTAATTGCGGCCCGATCGTATCGCATGTCATTGGATAAGGCACAATGAGCCTAAAGCTTGGCCTTCCGAGCTAGTCTTATAAGAGTATCTCACTTCGCCAAGCCAATGCTAACAGTTGCATCATGAAGAGCGGACCGACTTTAAAAACTCTACTGAACAAAACATGGCTCGCACCATGCGTAGTCGCGAAACTACGAACAATGCGCATTGCTATTACTAAATACAGCATACTCACAAGCTCAGATCACAGGATGGTATATCTAATCATCGCCGAGGCAATGATTAGTTTTGTCGACTTACTGTAAGGTCGGTCAGATACGATTTGCCATTTGAGTTGTACGATACACGGCTATGGAAGCCAACGCCAGATGTGATCGAGGAATGTTTCAAGTCAACAAATGAAGAGTTGTACATAAATCCATCCTCGTGTAGCTCTCTGGATGCACCAGATTTCTGTTCACAGTTGTTGACATATTCTCATTTATCAAAACATGCTACCCTGGGCAAAACCTCGGGATGTAGATCTGTATAAGCTTACAAAGCCCCAGACCGACGTTATGTGCTAACGAATGCCGAGCATACTCTTCACCCAATTTCCAAGCAGACGACGCTTAGCAAGCAAGATGAGCTGTGCGACTGATGATGGCACCCTTTGCGCAGCGTATAAATGCTGCACGAAAGAATGACATTGCATATCCAGAACAGCTTAACATCCATCCAACATGTTTCATCTCAGCACCGTCATCAGTTTTCTCGCCATCTCGATCTTACGAGCTCCTCTTGTAGCAGCAGCAGCTCTACCGGCCAGCTCCCAGGCTTCCGTTCGACCAGTATACCAATTTGACAATGGCACATGGTTAGAGAACATCGCCGTCCGTTCAAATGGAAACCTCCTCGTCACACTGATCGACCGCCCCTCCCTCTACGAAATCAACCCTTTCCGTAACAACACTCCAACCCTCATCACGAACCTCGAAGATGAAACAAACACGACCAGTCTGCTAGGAATCACAGAGATGAGCCCCGACGTCTTCGTGTTCATCGCAGGCAACTTCTCCGTCGCACGAGCAGGATCAGATGCAGCGAGCTACTCGGTATGGCAAATTGACTTTAACCGTGGTGATTTGGCCAAATGCGAAAAGGTCTCCGAGATCGAGGCGCTCCCCGAAGCCAGTTTCTTGAACGGAATGACGACGTTGGATCGCGAGCAAGGTACTGTCCTGATCTCAGACTCTGTTCTGGGACTCGTTTGGCGATTGAATGTCTGGACGGGCAAGTACGATGTTGTACTAGAAGATGAGACGATGAAGCCGGCGGAGGGTACGCTCCTCGTGTTGGGCATCAACGGGATCAAGATTTTCAATGGGTATCTTTACTACATTAACGCGTTGAAGGGATTCTTCTGCCGTGTTGAAATCAACACATCGACTGGTGAGGCGGTCGGACCATATGAAACCCTCCAAACCGATTTGCCTGGGGATGATTTCGTCATGTCTGCGGACGGTGTCGCTTTCATCGCGGAGAATGGCGGAAACTCATTGGAACGAGTGGATGTAGATGGGACTCGAAGCTTGATTGCTGGAGGACTGAACACAACAGTGGTTGCTGGTGCGACTGCGGCTGCTTTTGGAAGAACTTGGAAGGATCAAGGCGTTGTTTATGTTGTAACATCGGGAGGTCAAGCTGCCCCTGTTAATGGTACTTACACCGAGGGTGGAAAGGTTGTCGCTGTCACTGTGTAAATAGTCGCTACTTCAGCACCTACAGACTCCTTCTACGGAGGCTAGAATATTGATCTCTTACAATTAATTTTGAAAGCTCATTCTTGGTATGAGTGAACGATTCATGCACCAAAGCTTGACTGCTCATAACGATGGATTATCACAACCATGGGTGTATTGTGAGATTTTTCGACAAGAAACTGAAGTAAGTTATGGGTTGGCCTGATTCTGTACCTTTGAGATGGCATGTCTTTCTCTGAAAAGCAGAGGAAGCGGTTCGAGGTGTAGCGTGAAACAGTCGGCTTGATGGTCAATGAAGTATTGGCATGAATCCTCCTTATTAGTCGCGGACGACACCGTGAATCTTCTAAAGATCATGGCAACGACCATGCGAAGCTGCATCATGGCCAATGGCTTCCCTGCGCAGCTGTATCCTCCAAAGCCAAAGGGCACGAACGCGTCTCTACGGAGGATGAGGTTAGGCTGAGAGGACCAGCGTTCGGGTATAAAGTCGTTGGGCTGGACAAACGCGCGTGGATCTATAAGATCAGTGGAAGTTGTGCTATGCGGGAGATTCCATTACCTCGATGCAGAGCGTACGTTGGTGTCGTTACGTTCATGTGGCCTGGTATGTAACGACCTGCGATAATCGCACCTTCTGCAGGCGTCACTCGCTGAAGGCCAGAGGGTACAGGCGGATGCAACCTCAACGATTCGTTGATAATGCCAGTCAGATAAGGCTTGTTTAACAGGTCGCGGTCATCGATGACTCCGTCTAAGCTCCGCAAATTTGACAACTCCTTGTAAAGCTCTGCTTGATATCCAGGGTGCTGACACAGCAGATAGCAAACATTGGACATTGTGATGGCGTTCGTATCAGCACCAGCAACGATGGCCAACTTCGCCTCACTCAACGTGTTATTCTTAAATCCATCGGATTGCGATAAGTATGTGTATATGTCCGGCTCATGGATATGCATCTGCGCGTGTGAGCAGATCTAGTTTGAAAGATATAGCGCCTAGATGACTTACCTTGCTGCGCGCTTGCAAAGCTTCATCGTACCAGCCTTCCCAAGACTTCTGCTTTTTCAGTGAAATGCGTAGGTTCCTGGCGATATGAAGCAGTGGCATACTGAGCAATGCGAAACCAACCGCTTTTTGCTTCCTGAGGAATCCTGTCACGATCGGGCCTCGCTGATTCCTAGTTTGCGTCTCAAACGATTTACCAAACGTTAGATCTGATATGACGTCGAAGAAGAGGTCTAAGAAAGCACCACTAGCATCTATCGGCGTGCCGAAAGCCGCATGACGAGAAAGCATATCGACCATGAGGCGATAGTGCCTCGTGAGACGTGGCGTATAGCCTTGTAATGCTAAGAACATTAGCTAGGATGATACCAACAATTCATCTTCACTAACCGGTGCTATGGAAAGCCTTGTCCCAATACCGACGTTGCTGTTTGTGAAGATCTGGGTTTCGAATGAATTGCAAGGTGTGGGATGGGTAAGTTTGATCGTAAAATTCGCCTTTCTTGATGTTGTTTCTGGGGCCATGAACGTCCTTTATGGCATCGGGATGGCAGATTGAGAGTTCGCGTGGTCCTAGAGGGAATTAGTCGCACATTCATACGGCTGTAGTCTTGACTTACGTATCCGCACGAAGTCTCCGTATTGGTCATGGAGACTGCGTAGCTTGATGTACAATTTCAGGTCTGGTACGTTTTGCTTGATGACCCAGAGACTAGTTACGCGAGCAGCTGTTGGTCCAGGGAATGATTTGACAGGATGTAAGAACAATCGATAGATGATCATAGAACAGAGGAAGCCACCGAGAAAGCATGCAGCGACCGCGCTGGTAAATGCGACCGACAATTTGATGGAGACATCCCCACTGATGGCGATTATTACCAACGTAGTTGTGAAAGTAGCACAGGCGAACGTCAAGATGTTGGGTGCGTGTCGATCCCATTCGAAATGTCTGGAGAAGACTGTAGTATGGAGCAGAATACCTGCAGCGAAAGTGATGACGAAACGAATGTCAAGCATCTTGCGTCGACAGTAACGGGCACTTTATGTAGGGGTGTAGCTGTTCGCCGTCATCTAGGGCGCGTAGCAACAGCTATATAAGGCTGTCAAGAGAGCGCTCGGTCTATGCGGCCGGCATTTTCGGTCTTTCATTCTCACAAGCAATGCGCGAATGCGCTGGGGTCAGTCGACCTAAAGGTTTCTGTCAAAATAGGTTCGAGATGCGAGTGTGATTATGGACACGCGTGGGTGTGGAAGTACGGCATGTAAACGGCGTCATCGGCACAGAAGGCATCAACCCCTTGGACGCTCATTGGTCGATATATGACGCCGCTTCGAGGGCAGTGCAGTTTATCTTGTGAACAAAGCAATTCCTCCCCCTTTACCTTTCGTTTCGCTAACCTGCACATTCATCCCAGCCTTGCCATAGAAGCCTCTGTTCTTCTCCCCACACAACACACTAGCTACGACATCTTCGCCTTCTTTCTGCGCTTCTAGAACTCCCCATCGGGCCAGCAGCTTCCCAACACCTTTACCTTGGTAGTCTGGATGTACACCACAAACATGCAAGTCCCAGCATTCGGTCCGCTGGCCAGTCCAGTACTTCTCTGAGTTTGCGACAGCGGTATCGAGGAACGAGGCGCGTGTAGGGTCGGCGGCACGATTCGGGAACAACGTTAGGGATATGGAGTGGTAGGTCTCCAAGACGGGCGCGATGAGGTTGCCTGTAAGAATGTTGATGTGAGTCGGGAGCCAGACTCATCTGTCATGAGAAGTTTCGCGGTGAACATACGTGGATCTAGTACGCTCAACTCTTTGCTCTCTCCGCCTTTCCCAAGCCTCCTCCAATCTGCTGCCCCAACCACCTTTCCATTATCTGTTACGACTATGAATTGATGGCGCCAGTCCCAGAATCGTTCTCGAATCCCGCGCAGTAAGAACCAATAAACGTCATCAGGATAGTCTTTGCGGTGCGGATGCATGATCTCTCCGATGATCTCATCGTCAAAGAACGCGGCTGTCCATACTGTCGCTATTGCATACAGATCCAAAATACCTGCAGCGCGAAGCTCGAATTGAGACATTGTAGCACGCTCTGCTGATTGCCGGACAGAGGACAGAACTTCCTGCACAGCAAGTTCTATTGCGAATATTTCAATGGTATCCTCGATAATGAAACAGGTGCGTTTCTGCTGCAGAAGCTGATGTATGCGATACTGGAACGTCCCAGTAAATGTGGCTGCATTCAGTACGACGGGGCGTACTTAAAGATGTGGTCAGATGCCCCACATGCCGGCTGCACCTATATCACTACGCGCGGGGAGCATGCATATACCAGGTCAAAAATATTGGATCCTTCGATTTGTCGTTAACGCATTCGGCCTTGAAGAAAGAAGACATATATCCAGCACTTCAACAGGACGTTTCTTACAGTTTTCGGTGCTCATGAGGCCTGTGCCAACGGCTGACCTGCAACTCTTTGACGACGATTGCTCGCCGTTAATCTCGGCACGCAGCGCCTTCTGTTCTTCACATCAGGATCTCGATTCGCTTCTAGAACATCTAATCTGCGTTTCGTAGAGCGACCGCCGCCCAATCCAGTAGTATCCAGACATCACTCCTGACCATCTCTTCTTCAATTGCGCAGGCTTTCTCTTCCGACACACGCAGATTTAAACACGTCTGCCTATGAACGCTTCTTCGTTAGCCTCCTAGTTTTCCGCTTCGTAGCTGGCTTTGAAGGCGTATTGATCGCAGATTTCATAGGACGCCCAGGCTTGGTCTTCGCAGCCGGTACCGTTGATGTTGCGATAGTAGATTTCGTGTGTCGTTTCGCCGGTCTTTTGAAAACCACTGTCTCTTCCTCCAGAGTATCCACGTAGTCATCGTCTTCATCAGTGACTATGGGCCGTTTCCGCTTCCACTGTGCAGGGACAGGCAAGGCTGTGTCGGCGCTCCGTGCGATGGGAGGGTTCTTGCCAGCGTGACGCGATGGAGTCTTACTGGCCGTGTTCAGAATTGGCTCAGCCTCCTGTGCTGCTGCTTTTCCTTTGTTATGTGTGGTGGATCGGGTATACCGGAGGTAGTTTGAGCCACCTTCTCCAAGATGCGCAGGGCTGCTGTCAACATCAGTGCCGTCTTCGAATGTGGATGCGGATGCACTCGCGCCACTATCGCTGGTCGGATTGAGCTCCTCCACCGGGTTGGTGAGCACGTCTTCGAAGAAGTTGTCGCCTACTCGAGGGATCGTGGTATCGAAAGGGTGATGATTCGCCCTTGGTGTGTATTGTCCTTCCACTGTACCGTCACTATTGCAGGGCAGTGAGGTAATCTTGAGCGCGATGTAGCATTTACGAAACTTTGCCTCCTTTCCGCATAGCTCGGCCTTTCCATGACGCATTCCAAGCCGTATGGCCTCTATCACTCAGTCAGTATCGCTGCTGTGCGCCACTATTGGTGCACTTGCCAGCCTCTAGCGAGGAAACGTCATTGGACATGAGCGCCTCGCTCCCTGTCTCCATGCAGGCGTCGCAGTAGAAGTTCAGAACATTGCTTCTTTTCAGTGCTCCCTTGTCCTTCGATGAGTTGTTGCTGGCAATATGATAGCAGTTGGGTGCGCATGGCTCGTCGGGCCTCGCTGTTACGATGATGTGTCTGCATTCCAGTATGTGCTCGTAGGACATCGATGGGTTGAGACACGAGTTGTTCTCTGGGGTAATATCGATGACTTGAGGGTACCTGGCAACTTCGTGTAAGGGTTTTTGCTTGAGTGACGGCGATGCATCTTTTTTAAGCCGCCAGCGGGAGGAGAGCATGTTGCCAAATTGTTGCACAATAGACGGTGGCATCGCGCCTGTATAACGCGAAATTCCTGGGGGTGACTGTGTTACGAGGCAGGTGCTGGGCCAGAGTTATGTCAGTCGCTCGTAGTAGGTTGGGTGACCAGCACCGTGAATTGTGGGTGCAAGGCAGGCACGACTGGACGAGCCAAACAACAAGCCAAGGTGACCGATAAAACGGCACGGAAGCGAACAATCACGAGAAGACTCGCTAGTGAAGAGCAACAGACAGTGACTTAGATGAGTGGTCACTGCGCATTTGGTGAAGGGGGAGTTGCGCAGCACGTAATTACGCTTACTTGGGCTCTACCATCGATTCAACTGATGAACTGTGTAACATTGTCATGATAACCACTAGTTATTTCAAGGCCTGCTGGAGATATGTTCAACCGAGACGCGTCTTTGGAATGTACCACTGCTTGCCAGTCACGTGGCGTACGCGACCCAGTGATCATCTATACATCCGCTGCTATCTACGTCGACCCACGGAACTACCATGGCCCATAATCGACGAGTCACCCACGACTTTCGAGATATGCTTGCTCTACATGAAAGAGGGGGCTCTCACATGACAAGTATCATAGTAAAAGTAATCATGCCTTTGTCACCAAGAGAGTAAGCGTCGGCAATTTCGATAATCACATGATCTTGAAAGTGCTCAACCTTGAAACGTTGAGAACGTCTTTTGAATCCATAACGATATATGCGCAGTGTGTTTCCCCAAGAAAAATCAGACTGATCTCATCGGCGCGAGTAACATTCGACATGATGGTTTACAATCACATTCTAGAAACGAACAATGCAATTCAGAGAACGAGGATAGCATATGGACATGAGACGACTTTACGAGTAGTAGCATATATCCTAATAGCGATAGTCGGTAGAAGCGTAGGAAAATTCCCACATCTTCTTCATATCGAAGAACTGATAACAACTATATACAAGTTGAGACCATTCTCTTATGCCCTTACACACTTCAATTCACTCTTCCCGCTGTTCTTCCACGCACTACCTCCCCATTTCCTCACCCATACCCTCACAACTCCTTCTTCAAAAAGTGCTCAGGTCGATGGTCCGTCTCATAGTCCACATGAACATACGCCCTCTCTACATCAGGAAGACTCTCCAGTTTTATCTGAAGTTCCTCAGCTACGTCATGTGTAGCTCTCAATGTAGCTTCTGGGTCCATGACGATGTCTACTTCGACAATGAGGCGGGGACCGGAGTGGTAGGCACGCACAGTGTCTATTTGGAGGATGGTGGGGGAGTGTGTCATCGCTGGAAAGCAAGCGTTAGCGCACAGCCCAAGTAGATGTAATGAGAAGAGACTTACAGATGTAGGTGATGTGCTGCAACATGGCCGTATCAGCTGTAACGCCGATGAGAAGCTGAAATTCCGAGTACGCGGTTCTCGACCACAGGAAGATGATCAAGACGGATAGTATCATCGCACCCATGGGATCCAACCACCACTTCAACTTGGATCCACCGACAGACGTCAACACACCGAACCCGTTGATGAACAGGTCGTTACGGTGGTCTTCCCACAGAATCCTGACTTGACTGTACTTGTTCCTCAAGGCCCAACAATACAAGAACAGCGAGAACTTGGTCGCAAAAGCAATGCTGACGGCGATGACACTGGGTAGAAAGAAGTCGTTGGTTTCGGGTCCGGAGTGTTCGGCAACCGTACGGATAGATTCGACAATGATGACCACAGAAACCGTAATCATGAGCGCACAGAAACAGAGGTTTCCGGCAGTCTCAATTCTTGCTTTTCCTGAAGGGAACTTCCTAGCATCAACACGTGCCACGGCGCGGTTGCACATTATAAGCGTGAGGTTGGAAAGGGGATCGAAGAGCGAATCGGCCATTGTCGTAAACAGCGACAGCGAGCGAGAAGATACGGCGGCGTAGAGCTGTAGGACGGCTAGAATAATGTTTGCGGCAAAGGAACCAATGACAGCGATTTTGTACTTGAGGTGGTTGGCTGTATCTTCATCTTTTGCGGCAGCCCGATGTTCAGCCACTGGCTTGAGCAATCTCTCAATGTTCTCGTTCTGCGCCGAGTAGAACTCTTCCAACTTCTTCGCCGAGGTAGCCTTCTTGTTGAGGGTGATGGGACCGCAGCCATCGCGCTTTCGCGACGTGTTGGCGCGGATCAAGGCCAATTCCGACTCGGGCTTTATCGCAGAGGACAGCGAGTACGGGTCATTGTCGGGGGTATACGAGGGCGGCGATTGCGATTCAATGTCTTCGTGGAAGCTGCTGTGACGCGCAGAGACGTGGCGGGCTATGGGGTCGTGGTCGGTCGTAGGAGCCGCTGTTTCGATAGCGGTGCTGCTAGCATCGTTTTTGCGGGTTGAGCTATCTGCATGGTGTTGCGCGCTGCTGCCACTACTGCTGGCATTCACGTGGACGTGGGGACTTGATGTGCGTTCTATGCGGTCGGGATGTGTATGGAATGGGTGGGGCTTCATGGATATGGCGCGGTGGAGATCGGGCTCTGACATTGTTGCGATGGGATATCAATCCGCTTGTCGATGGGGAGAAACGAAAGCTGGAGATGCGATTATCGCGCTCCTTTCACATACATGACCAAGGTGGCGGCGGTGAAGTAGGTCCGAGGATAGATAGCCAAGCTCCATGGCTGCGATCGACAACTGGTGGGCCAACGTGCACGTGGGTGAGACGTGCGCGGTGGTGGCGGGAAGGTTAGGTGCAACTTCGTTCATCGTCACGACCCCTTTTACGTGAATTCGCTCTCGTCTAGTCGTGCGTGTACAAACAGGACCACTAGGTGTATTCAATCCAAAATCTGCACCCCGCATCCATCTGTCACATGTCACTTGTTTCCAATGCACTGTGCAGTACCAAACAGATACTCTCCTAGGCGGCTAATCGTTAAGATCCGCGCAACATTCCGTCATCGGCACCCCCGCAGCCCGTTTCGCCTCGCCTGCCATGTCCCACATCGCCCAGAACCACGTGCGTCACATCTATCCAGATTCCTTCAGGATGGATTGCAAACCCTGCACATATCATACCACAATTCAAACGTCACCTTGGACAAAAATCCGCGCATACTCACCGATGACAACACATGTCGGTTAAGCATTTGATGTTGCAGGACAAGCAGCCAAGATGGACTCGTTCCCCGCTGTGCGCTTGGTACATCGTATCTGTAGTGTGCAGACAGAAACAGTAGCGCGTTTGTGTTATTGTACTTTGAATTCTTGGTGTCGTGTGATGATACCTAGATACTGTAGACGTGCGCCTTCTTTCCCTCCTTTTTTTGAGCACACAGCATTGGATGTAGCCGCAAGATCACTCCTACTTTCACTTCTCCTCTACGTACGCGACCATAAACTCGACATGTCCTAGTCTGGTCCACGTTCACATGCACGACGCCCTTAGGCTAAACACACCCTCACTCAGTGAAATGTGGATTAGTAACAATATAACCAAGTAACAGCAGAGAGGCATATAGCTCCTCTGTTAAGCCATCACGCCCATTGCACGAATCCTCTTTCGGTGTTAAGCGGATGAAAACGGTGTATGCATTCGTGTCTATGTCTAACTACTTCCGACGTTGCATGCAGGCCCTGGTATGCGATCAACCTCATGCCTATTTAGCCATCACCAGAATCTGGGGTACAAATAATGCGCACCCCATGTCTATAATAGCGAGTGAATAGAAGAAAATCTAACCACCTATGCGGTACATACATCTGCAAAACGGTGAAAGGGTGATGTGGAGGCGATGCAGAGTCGAGGTTAAAGAGAGAAAGTGCAGGGCTAAGGCTGTGATGCAACATAGAAGAGGGGTGAAGGATGCGGAAACGACGCAGACAGGCGCAGCAAAAGTGCAGAAAAGAAAAAGGGGACATCTACATGCGGATCCGCCTCCATGGCCTGGACGTGCCAGCCAGCCTTACTTTCCATCCGTGCAACTGTGTAAAGATGTGGTAGATCGACAAGAACGAGAAATAAAGCGACTTCGGGAGAACAATGCTAGAAGCCGCTGATCTATCTATAATCCGTGTAAATCATCCTTTGCTCCGAACAGCAGCCTGAACCCTGAACTGCCATGTGTGTGTATATGAAACCAGGGGGTAAAGGGTAGCCCTTGTGCTGAATGTTCCGCTTCTTCGGTTTCACTGCCGGCTGTTGCATATTGCTACTTCTTTCTGGGAGCTCTCGTATATGCGATCGAGTTGCTAGGCAATATCCCGGTGGCTATGCGTCGTCCGGTCGGCTCCGGCATCGTCAGTCGCACAAAGTCTTCTTGGCGCATCTTCATCAAGACTGACAGCGCATATGTGCTGCGCACACGCGGACCTGCGTTCCTACGCTAGGGTATAGTCTCGAATGCTGCCTATGCGGTATGTGCTGTCCAGACTTGGGCAAACATTGAATACTGAAACGATCGACAGGAGTGTTAATGTAACGCTCCCTGATGGTCTCTTTAGTTTCCATGCATCCAACAGGCCCCCTGCGCCCCAGAGTCCTGTGCCGCACTTGCAAACTCATAGTCCCCACCAAGCCCAAACGGCGTCTCTAGCATATCCGGTAAATTGGTATCCCACATCATATCATCCCAAAAGTTGTTCAAGATCGTCGGATCGTTCCCGGCGTTGGCCCAGGTAGGTGTTGCTGGGTTGTAATGTCCGAATGCGGAGGGATGATGTTGTCCGTAAGCGACTGGGTGGGTGTTGAGCATCGTCGGCGCGGCCGACGTGCCCGGGACAGGGAAGTGAGTGTGGGCATGCGGGTGAGGTTGCTGTTGTCGATATTGCTGGGGATGGGGAATGTGTGGCATAGCGGTCTGACTCTGATGGGATAGTGTCGATACATTCGTCTTGTATGCGGCGTAGAGGCGGGTGACTGCATCGCCACTTCGTTTAGCTGCAATACTCCAGTCCTTGACTGTTTCAAAAAACGTGAGTGCTGTTTCGACACTGGCTTTCCACTTCTCAACCTCTTCCGGTATGCTGGTATCGCTGAACAATGAAACCAGAGGTACCATGCAGGCTTGGAAGCAAAACCATACTGCGTTCCAACCTGAGATGAGATCGGGCATGCATTCGTGGCTGATTTCTTCGATTGTCTTCGATGCGATGAGTCGACATTTGCCCACTGCGAGCTTCTCGTCCGCGCTGAGGGCGACCCAAGGAGAGCGCCGTAGTGCTGCAGTAAGCAGGATTGGACGATGGAGGATGATACGAATGTTCTGGAAGCGCCACTTCATAACCAGTCTGGTTCGCCGAAGAAACTCTGGACACGGCTCGTCAGGGTTGGAGAGAATCGATGGTAGTTCCTCATGCCACTTCACAATCTGTGCGTCGTAGCTAGCGGTTTCTGAGGAGGAAAGCAGAGGAGACTCGACGAGCCGATCCTGTATCCTAGTAGCGATCTGACAAAATGCCGAAGCGTGCACTAGAGGCAGGATCTTGAGTTGCTCGATGTACTGAGGGCTGTTGGGTGGTGGTATTGCCTGGGACTGTGTTTGACGTCAGTAGTTATCGACTGCAGCATTCGTCAAGAAGGCTTACAGTGTTTGCGGCCGTTCCAGGCCTCAAGACAGTGATGGAAGGCCCCATTCTGCCCAACGAAGGTCGACCCGTCGTAGTAGAAGCCCAAGAATCCAGGCAAAACAAACTCCACCAGATGCGTCTTCTCATCTCCGGGGAAATAGAATCCTCTTCACCCGGTGCCATGAACTGCCTGCTTGCGTCACTGCGTTCCGAGTACTCACGATGTAAACCTAGCGCGGTAGCCATACGAAGCGTACCACCCATTAGGGAATGCGCTTCGTTCGGGCGGTTGAGATAGTGCATGTAGTATCCGCTCATAATGGCTAGAGCCTGAAGAACTTCTAGGTTGCCACTTCCGAACGACTCCAGAGACAGGTGCTGCCGAGATCGATTGAAGTAGACATAGTGTGCTTCGTTGTCTGCAGCTAGAGAGGCAAGCGACCCCAATGCAAAGACCATGTTCAGTAGCGCCAGCCATGCTGAGTCCTTGCGGTTGCCGTACAAGAACGTGGACCAAAACTTTCGCTCATCGATCATAGGACAGAAAGGATGCACGCGGTCAAAATAGCTTTCAATCAGCTCTTGACCATGCTCGGGAGACGGTAAGGCATCTGGCCTGCTGTCTGCTAACTCCGGTGGCGGAGAGCCTGCGCGGCTTGGTAGCGCAGTCTCCTGGCTGTTGTGTGCGATGAGCGAACGCGTCTGGGGTGCACATCGTACAATAACCTTTAGTGCCGCTGTGATAGAAGAGATGCCAACATAAGAGGATAGGCGGTCGACGGACATTGATAGTCCATTTACATCGTCGGAGATGCCTTGGACACGGAGCTGGTGCTTCCGTGCCTCGTCCCAGTAAGGATCTTCAGGCGGAGCCTGCTCGAGCGCTTCCAAGCTTTCGGCTCCATCAGATCCAACCTGCACGTCCGATAGCGTTTGCGAGTCGGCCGCCGACGGCGATGTCGTTGAGTGAATCGCACTGGAGGAGAGAGCTAGTTCTAGCAGTTCCTCGCGTGGGAGACTAGCCAGCGACTCCAGGTTCTTTACTCCATACAACTTTGTGAGGATGGTCTTGTACTGTTCAATATTGTTGGAAAGCTTGTCGACTAGTCTACCAAACTGATTAGCCCGACCCGTCTTGATAATGTTCTAGAATGCTCACTTTCTGCTAGGCACAACTCGTTGTGCAGGCTTCGAATAGCCACATGCCTCAGGGTGTTGATACCATTGGCACTGTCCACAAGGTTGTGAACCGTCACATCGAATCTTGCGTCGTCTGCATTCGACACATGCGTTGCTGGTTGATATGCGTCGTGAGCCTGGTGGGCGTGATGGTTTCCCCGCGCTGTCACTGTCTGCTCCGGGTGACCGCATTCCCACGGACGACTGGAAGGTATGAAACATGTTGCAGTGACCTCGGTGGTAAGTCGGCGACGTGCTTCAGGGCCGCAACTCAAGAAAGAAGAACAGGTATTTCAGACCAGAAGTGTCAGGCGACCCTGCATCCAGGTGCCAGGTCAAGGAGGACAGTCGGTCAAATATGTCGTGACAAGAAGGCGATGACCAGAATGATGGTACAAAGTACTAGTGGTGGTACGTTCAGGGACCAATATAACAAGAATCGGAACTAAAAGGTCGACGAACCGGGATCGATATATCAGAGACGCTCGGTAGTGCAGTTTGAGCAGTGCATACCACCTGCAGCCTGAATCAAATAAGATGCACAGAGGCAAAACGTAACGTAGGTGCGTCTGGTTCCCAGGCATGTGCCGTCATAATCCTGCAGAAGCTTGTGGTATACTCGGCGCGGAAGCTAACAGCAAGTCGCAGGGCCCGGGCGACAGAAAGGCATTCCAGAGTGGACATTCGAGAGGGTATAATCCCCGCATTATAGCCCACAGCACCCCTGTTTGCATGCAGCAGGGCTGACTGGTGGAGCGAGAGGGAGAGGAGAAAAAAAAGGGCAGGCGACCGTTGAGACGGGCGGACGGGAAAGGATTGCGTCTTTCGCGAGGGGAGGGGGCCAAGCGAAATTGGAGTCAAAGATGGGGCGTGCCGCTGCCGACGGCTTCGAAAAGGGTTCCAGAAGAGATCGCGCACGACATTACCATTTTAGAGCGCTACGCTATGCGACTGACATGAAGCAGCCTTTTCTTCTCGCTCTGGCTGCGGCAGCACTACTGCACGTCGTTTCAGCGAGTGCGGATCATCCTTCCCGCCACGATCAAGCAGCGCGCACCCTCGATCGCATGGGCGCAGGTGGGCATGGATTGCGTGCCTACGTTAGAGGCGTGATATGTGTGTGTGGGCCTCTGGAGAGGGTGGTGCGATGCGAACCTAAATCACAAACCCTAACGTCGAACACATGCTTTCGGGTGAGATGTACCCGACCTATGAAGGACGGCCGTTGCAGGCAAGCCGCGTTGCAGGCGAAGAGGAACGACAACCATGCGACATACTCGCTACCGCCGCCTTCTGCCGACATATCACCAGTCAAAAGCCCATACCAGCGTCCGGGTCGCGAGCCAGTGTGGGCCGAGAAGCTCAAAAACCCACCGAACGCTGCTGCGTGCTCGCTGCGAACCGGCTTTGCGTGATGGCATGCGGCTAGGTTGCATTTGCCTGCACCCTCTACCCCATGCAGGGCAGTTCCAGCCAATGCTGTAAAGCGCTGGGCGGCGCCATTTAATTAACCCTGGAAATTCAGCATGTTCGATAGACACGTTCATATCCAGGGCTTGGCATATACATGACGATGGACCTATAGCAGCCTCACATATACCCTTCGGTCCAAACTCTACTCGACAATGCCTGGTTATTACGCAGTGCGATCCCACACCTTTGGTCCTTGCCTATATTCGCCGTGTTCCAAAGTTTATGTCGCGACATACGAACTCGAGCCGATGAGCTAGTCGACGCTCTTGATGATCAAGGACTTGTTGTACTTGCGCGTCAGCATGCGCTGAACATACCTCTAACTACATGTACTCGCATTCACACGTTATGCCCCACAAAGCGGTCATCTTGCTTCCACATCATCCAAGCAACTCCACATTCCGAATCCTGCGAGCTGACGCCTAATCTTTGCCCAAATATGTCCACCTCAACGGTTCATCCTGCTTGCCCAAGCCCCTTACCTTGATGATCTGCTCATCTCCAGGCACCACATCTATAGCACTGTCGTGTACAAGGACGCCTGAACGTTCCTCGAAGACCAGGCCTTTAGTCGGTTTCTGGGCCTTGACCACAATAGTCTCACCCTTCGGTATGACTTCCAAGCCGCGGTCCCTGAACTCGAGATACTTGAGTGGCTGGGGCCAATCGACATCGCGAGACACAATTTCGCCATCGACCCATATGCGGACGGCTAGGACATGCGGCTCTTCGTTCCGGTTGTCGATGGTACCTGAGAGGACGTCGGTCGTTCCGTTCGGTATGAGCCTGATATCCTTCTTGACGATCTTCGTTTTAATCTCCTTGCCGCTCTCAACGCTAATATATCGCAATTCAACGGTTGCTGTCACTTCCTCCAGTTTCTGACTCGCGACCCAGACTTCGTAGTCGCTAGTCTTGGGTACTCTGGCATGTACTACGCTCCAATCAAAGTGCGCCCGTTTGACTGCAACGGCGATGGGGGCAAGGACTCTGCGCATAGCGTAGTAGGCCGGTTTCTTGCGCTGGAAGTAATCGACGATAGACCACGAAGTGACTGGCCAGCAGTCGTTGAGCTGCCAGACGAGTGCACCACCACAATGCCTGTTTTGACCCCACTGTCGTCTCCAGCCCCTGTAGCCGAACATTAGTGCTTCGGCTTGGGATAGCTGTGTTAGGTGGATGAACGACTATTCGCTGTTAGTACCTATACCGGCTATATTGCGGCCCACTTAGTCATAGTTCCCGACCATGAACCGGGTAACCGTCGGACGGCACATACCTCTAGATCAGTCTTGGTGCGGAAGTTCTCCACCAAATACGTGGCTATCCTTCGCTCATGTCCGTCCGCTTTATTATGAAAATCAAGCATGTGGCTTTGCGGGTACAACTGAGAAGGATCGGTGCAATAGTACTTGATCGTGTCGATATGTGGAAATGCTTCCATGCCGAATTCGCTGTTGAAGCGGCCGCCTAGCGTATCAAAAATCTGGTATTTTTCCTGTGTGCCATGCCACACTGCATACGTCGTAAGTATAATATATGTGACGCAATGTGGAGATTGTTACCGTTCCATTGATGCATGTCACCCACTGTGGGGTTTGACGTCTTAAGGCCGTCGCCCCATGGTGATCCTGGATGGTATGGAACATGTGGACTTTCCGCCGCAACGACGTCAGGCAGTAGCTGTAAAAGTGCTGTCAGCGTAATTGTAATTGATAAACGCACGATACGCACGCACCTTTTCGTATATGTATCGAGCCGGGAAGTCAGTCTTGAGCCAGTTCTCTGGATTCTTGTCCTCGTAATCGTATGTCAAGCCATACGACTCCTGCACCTGGTAGTCCTCATTATTTCCGGCATAGATGATGATGGAAGGGTGATGTCGCAGTCTGGTGACGTTTGCGGTGCACTCTTCCTTGATTGATCGCAGGATGTCCGGAAAGGCGGGATAATTGCCGCAGCCAAACATGAAATCTTGCCACACCAGGACACCGAGTTCATCGCAGATGTCATAGAAGATGTCTTCTTCCCAGATGCCGCCACCCCAGATTCTGATCATTATCTGATAGCCATCAACCATCATCTCGAGCCATTTACGATATTTTTCTTCGGTCACACGTGGAGTAAAAGAGTCGGCAGGAATCCAGTCCGAGCCACCACAAAAGACATCAACGCCGTTGACCCGGAAGTAGAAGCTTTTTCCAATAGCATCTGGCACCTGTATGAGTTCGCCTTTCCGAAAACCTGTTCGACGTGACGTTTGATGTGTCTCTGCTCCATTCGTGAGAACCGTCGCAGTAACGGTATACAAAGGCTGCTCGCCATAACCATGGGGGTACCACAACTTCGGACTGCTGACATGGAAATCCACTTTGGCCACACCCTCGCTAATCTTTGCAGTCTCCCTAAAGACTCGTTGATCTCCATCGAAAACATCAAAGCTAACGCTGTCTGCAGTCGGTCCTTCCACAGTAGCAGAAATGGTTCCCTGGACTGATTTTAGGCTATCATCGAGTTTGTAGTCGACTCTCAGATCCTTGGCCCTTGCCTGGTAGGTTTCCAATCGCACTTCACGCCAGGGACCGCACGTGTTCAGGATTGGGCCCCAATCCCAGCCCCAATGGTACTGAGCTTTCCTCACTGCGAGCCTTGCCATATCGCCATTGAATCCAACCCATCTGTGGTCTGGGTACTTCTCCTTGATCTTGATGGCCTCCAGACGGGCAGATGCAAAGTCGATCTCCAAAGTGTTCGTGCTCTCAGAATTGAGCTTCTTAGTCACATCGAGGCGATGCGGGACGAACATATTGTCGCTCTCGAGGATAGTCTCTCCATTGAGCTTGACTGTAGCGAATGTGTCCAGACCGTCGAAGGCAAGCACGTGTGTAATACCTTCTTTTGCTTCCTGTACCTTGGGCAGCTCAACTTTATATATCCAAACCTTGTCTGCCACCCACTCTGCGTCAAGCTCATTGAAGCCCAGGAAAGGATCCGGAATTCTGGCTCGTTTGTCAGTTTCTGCAAAACGCTTCCGATTCCTGGAACGTCGAGACATACTTGCCGTGGTCCATCAAGTCCAGGTGTACATTTGTCGGAACCTTGTTGACCGACATCCAAGCATCATCAGCAGTATCATCAGCCTGCTTGAAGGTCCAACCCTTCGAAAGCACGTGAGCGCTCAGAGCTTGTGCTTTTGCCATGATGGATGAAGTTCAAGATGGTAATGACCGATCGAACCTCCTGCCAGCCCTTAGAAATCGCTGCCTGAGACTACCAATTAGCGGGGTAAGCAGCACCACCACTGGGGACGCCCTTTCTTCTTGAATGACGACTGGACATCCCTCTACCATGCTAAATCAGACAATTGACTTGGCCGGAGCATGTGGTGCCGCGTTGAGCTCCATCGAGCCGTTCGTAGCACCGTGATGTGGTCCGTAAAGGGTATGCGGAGAAGGTGGCCCGCGCCCAAAGCGGCTAGCAAGCCGCCTATTGTGGATCTGATGTCGGAAGATATGACCCTGAGCCGCAGTTCAGCCGTCAGAAGGCCACGAGGTGCAGGTACAGAGGGTGAATTGCAAGATGAGATCGGTCTCCGTTGTTCCGTGCCATATGGAGAAGTTGGGTAGAACATTGGAGGAGCGACGGCAGTGTTCCGAGTGGTCAAGTCCCACGCAACGTGGGGTACTTCTGCCAGAGCAACCTTATGTTGCTGAGTACGTAGGCTATAATCGCTTTGTAAAATCTTACCTGGTACCTTACCAACAGCACCTTAAGCAGCTTCCGGTTACCCGGAAGGCGCAGGTCTTAAATCTGACAACACGAATTCTGCCGCACCACTACCTGGTCATGCATTTGGTCGCTCACCAACATGTGGCCTATAGCAGACCCCTCTCTGCATGCGACTGTGCTGCAATGAGGGAATGATCTGGGGGAAAGTATTGGATTGAGATGCTTAAGAGTCAATTGGAGAAAAGAGGAAGGGGTATAAAACTGGGACTGCCGCAAGACTTCCACCTCGCTCCACGTACGACCAACAAACAACAGCAGCAATGGGGCTTCCGAACCCCATGGACGACAAAGCGTAACTACAGTCTTGCTACCAGAAGTGTGAAGCTGATGTCACGGCCACTACAACCAAAACAAACGCAAATGGATTACCACCCAACTTTGAGATCCTCGACGCAGCACTTCTCTTTGCCATTTCACTCTTGGATTTCATCATCATCGTAGCTTGTTTGTCGACTCTGCCTTGCTGCGCTAACTGAAGCATTTCCTCTCGGCTCGTTGAGAGGATCGTCGTCGAACGCGCACCGGGACAGAAGACCACTTCGAATCCAGCTCCGGAGGGGATGATGAAGGTTGAAGTCTGATCATCGAACGCTGTTCTGGTTGTTAGCCTTACTCCGTTGATTGAATATCGAGGGGACCACATACCAAAGCTGTATGCGTCAGGACAGACTGCCTTGACGTTTTTGGAGTACTCGCTTGGCTTACACGCGCTTGCAGAGTTGTATTCTCCTGTACAGCAGTCTTCAGGTCGATTGTTCTTTGCACATGCAGAGAAGCAAGGATTGAACTGTGGCCGTTGGATGTTGTCGTCAGGATACGGATATACGCCATCGCCAGGCTTCTCAGGGGGGTTCTGTTGCAAATCCCATGGACACCATTTAGAGATCTTATTCTTATCGACCTTCTGATCAAAGGGCAAGGGGTAGGAGGTATTCGTGCGTAAGAAGTCAGGGTATTCGGGATAGGGATTGTAGCCTTGGGAAGCTAGCAGTCCATCCGTGCCTTGGCAGGATGGGTTGGTGAGGTTCGGAGGAATATCATCGAGCGTGACGTTCTCGAGCGGCTGGAGTACGATTGCCATGGGGACGTTGTAGCCATCGACAAGCGAGATGTCGTAGTATGTATGTCCATCCCCAGCATCCAACGTGAACTCGGCAAGCGAGACGGGAACGTCCCCCTACATCTGAGTCAGCGGTGTATCAATATAGAGCGTAATAACATACCCCGACTTGACAATTCAAGGCGCCATTGCAGTCGCCGGATCCACAAGCCTTTCCGCGACCCGATTCAGCAGCGGTGCCGTCACTGTTGAACGTACAATTCGTCCTACCCCAGACGCGACCCTGCCAATCCTCTGACACAGTCTGGTTTTTCGTCTCCCCAGGTTCAAGCTTGAAGCCATTCTCTCCAGGACCTGTACCGGACTGCGTTGAGATACCAGGCCAGATGCTCTCGGGACAACGGTTCGTCACCAACAAGGGGGTGATGTCCAGTTTTCTCCGATTGGCTTTCCAGGGTGCCTTTTGTGCCATGTGGTGGAAAGCGTCAGCCATAGGCAACGCACTCAGGCACAATACGGTGCATAGCTGAGCGATAGAATAATGGTTTATAGGCCGGGTATGACCCCTGCTGGACTTGAAAGTAGACATGGCGGGATGCGACTGCGCACAGCGGATGCGCAATCACAGGACGAGTGCTCGTAGTAGGGAATGGTTGCTAGGTATAAGATGAGAGGATATAGACCTGTTAAGCGTCGTCGTAGAGGTATGTAGATGTGCTTGAGGTTGTGGAGGTACTGATGATAAGGCTGGGAACGGGGGTGAGGTCAAGGGCCAGGGCCCTGTACCAAAAGCAAGGCACATATCGAAGGACTGGCTGCTGTTGGATGCTGTGAAGGAGTCGCGACTTGGTAACGGCCAGTGACGCAATGTCGTTTTTCTACCCCTGGCAGACAAGGGTCCAGCAAGGCTGGCGGGCAGCCTCACAGCCTGTCATTGGCGTCCACGCGAATGCTTTCAAAACGGCGGGCCGATATGTTGGTGGCTTGTTCGACGTTGGAAATCGTCGACGTGTATACATATCTTGCCAGGACACGTAAAGCCGCTCAGGTGACCTGAAGCTGGTCAATGCTGCAGAAATGTCTTTTGGTGTTCCACCCAAAGGCAACCTTACCCCATACAAGGGAATCGATAAACACTCTGCCGGCGTTTGACTTTGCCTCTTTGTTACAGCAATGCATGTCGAAGTAGCATATACAACTAAGAAGTCTACGGTTCTGTCCACGACAGAAGATATTCTTGTTGAAGCCTACGTCGACTGCCGCAACATCTGCACCCAGGTATCTGTTTGGAGTTTCCTTTTCGTGGAATGGCTCGAATACTTTAACAGATTTAGATGTAATGCGTCGTAGGTGTGGTAGTCGCGAGGCACGTTCACATGGAAGCGGTGCGAAGTCGCATGTGATTTAGGGTGCTGCCTGCACTTATTCGGACGAAACAAAAGTGATCCGACTATGGGCACATGAAGAGCGCTAGAAGAGACCGTGCCCAATCAGAAACTACCACGGCAATCTCCAGGCCAAGGGAAATTGCATCTCCTTTCCGCAAACTGAGATTTCGTGGTGGCATCTCGGTCTCGGAGGTGGGAAGGCGAAGATGCCGGTCTCGCCACATTAGCTGCGGGTGGTGAGATCTGCGAGGCGAGCGATGCGGCTTGGCTCTCCTGACAATAACTGGAACTCTTACAGACTGCTATATTGTCTTCTGCACACACACGCGCGCATTGTATTGTTTATACTCTGCGCATCCTCCCACCCTATACGCTCCTTCTCTACCCCGAACTGGTGTTCTACCACGCCACAGTTTTCCATCCCTGGCTTCCGCGTTGTTGTCGCCACGCAACTGTAGCTGACCACCACACCGCTGATACTTTGTCTTTGGATTACACACCGCTTCACATAATTACTTAACGATTACCTCTCTCCGTTCACGTACTGCGAAGAACCTGCCGCCTTTACTGTAGAGTTCATGTCGACAACCACCACCATGCCCGGTCGCACCCTTCCGACGATTCCGACCGCCGAGGTGCGCAAGCACAACAACGAAGAGTCGTGCTATGTCACCATTGGCACCAAGGTCTACGATGTCACCGACTTCCTTGAGGGCCATCCCGGTGGTCCCGAGTTCATCCTGGAATACGCTGGCAAGGACGTAGAAGCCATTCTGAAGGACGAGATCTCTCACACACATTCCGATTCGGCCTACGAGATCCTTGAAGAGAGCCTTGTGGGCTTCATGGCCACCGAGCCTGTCCTCAATGGCGCAGTGAAGAGCTCGAACCCTGCGGAAATTGTACCTCTGCCACCAACCGAGGTGGGCACACTGGAGCTCAAGGGCATGGAACAGAACGGCAAGCCGCTGTACGCCGCAACCGGCATGTCGTCTGCGGAAGACCTCTCCAAAGAGACTGACCCCACCATGGACTACAAGCAGCACAAGTTCCTGGACCTGAACAAGCCGCTCTTGATGCAGGTCTTCTTCGGTGGCTTCAGCAAAGACTTTTACCTAGAGCAAGTGCACCGACCGCGTCACTACAAGGGAGGCGACTCTGCGCCATTGTTCGGTAACTTCTTGGAGCCGCTTAGCAAGACGCCATGGTGGATCGTACCATCACTGTGGTGGCCTTGCGTTGCAGTCGGAACAGCTGTAGCGTTCGGTGGACTGTCATCTACCATGGAACTGGCGGGATACTGGGCTTTTGGGCTGGGTTTCTGGACCATTATCGAATACGTTCTGCACAGGTGCTTGTTCCATCTCGATGAGTAAGTTCTCTGCCTCTCACACATCCAACATGTTCTAACAACAAGCAGCCACCTTCCCGACAACCGCTTCGCTATCACCCTGCACTTCCTCCTTCACGGCATCCACCACTACCTTCCCATGGACAGGTACAGGCTCGTCATGCCACCTACGCTCTTCGTCGTCCTCGCGGCGCCTTTCTGGAAATTTGCACACGCAGTCATCTTTTGGAACTGGTACGCTGCTTTGGCTGCTTACTGCGGTGGTATCTTTGGATACACCTGCTACGACATGACACACTACTTCCTCCACCACCAGAAGTATGTATACGCAAAAGTTACGTTCAAGAACCTCACTAACATCTCAAAGGCTACCCCCTTACTACCAACAATTGAAGAAGTACCACCTCGCGCATCACTTCGCAGACTACCAGAACGGTTTCGGTGTCACGAGCCGCTTCTGGGACCGCATCTTCGGCACTGAGCTCGAGATGGGACCTTCCAAGGTCATCAAGTCGAGCTAAATTGATGAGGTTCCTATTAGACTTTTGTTATCAGACACCCACCTGTCACTACGTTGTCAAGACCAGCATTGCGAGAAGGCGTTTAGTGCGTCTGCGAGACCATTTTGGGTCCAAGCAGCTTGATGTTTGCAGATATATTCATGACACACTACCCTATATAATAGTAATGCCAACAATCTTATGATTCCTCAGTCACTGCTCCTCTTCAGCACTTTGCTGTGCACGTGAATCGTTGCCTGCAGCTTCCCGATTAGTCATGCGAGGCTCTTGCCAAGACCCCTCTCCAACTTTTCAAGTTGCGACGCCTAGGCCATCCCTCCGCTCTCCACCTCACCCACCTACTAACAACTGAACGGCATCCACAAAGCTTCAATCAAGCACACATTTGTCGAGTGCAGTTCACTCAAGAGGTCTTACGGAAATCGTCCGCAGTGACATCTACTACGTCCGTTCGATATCGCAATTGAATCAATACTTGAGCCCGTGCTCGCCATCAACAACAACACATCGCCTTTTGCAGTGACATCGCGCATCACTTCCTACCAGCTACACTTATCGAGAGCTAGGAAACCGCCACCGACATGTCTACCCAGGCCGCAGTCGAAGCCCTCCTCGAGGAGACGGCCCGCGAGGTCGAGATGAAGGACGCCGAGCGCACCGCCAGCAGCGAGGCGCGCGACACCGACAGCCGCCGCGACGACCGCCATTCAGACCGCCGAGACCGTCGCGATAGGAGCCGAGACCGTGGGGACCGTCATCGTGAGTCCAATGGAGACCGGCGACGAAGCCGCGACAGAGACCACCGCCGAAGAGACGGAAGCCGTCCTCGTTCAAGCAAAGGTGCTGACACAGATGAAGACCGTGATAGGCCCCGCCGCAGCAGCTCGCGCGACCGCCGTGGAGGTCGTGGAGGCCGTGACCGTGGAGGCGACTTCTATAGCGGTGGAGGTCGTCCGCGTTCCCGCTCCCCTCGCGACCGTGGCAACGATAGGTACCGCGATAGGTCGCGCGACCGCCGTCCCCGCAACGGTGGTGATGAGCGCCGCAACAGCCGTCGCAATGCCACCCCGCCCGAGCCCGAGGTCACCGAAGACGACCGCGACAAGCGCACCATCTTCGTCCAGCAGATCTCTCAGCGCGCTGAGACCCGCCACTTGCGCACCTTCTTCGAGAGGGTTGGCCCTGTTGTCGAAGCTCAGATCGTCAAGGACCGAGTCACTGGCCGGTCCAAGGGGTAAGTACTTGCTTCACTACGACCCAGACAAGCATGCTGACAGTCCTTCTAGCGTCGGCTACGTTGAGTTCAAGGATGAAGCGTCTGTTCCCCAAGCACTGGAGCTGACTGGCCAGAAACTGAAGGGTGTTCCCATCATTGCCCAGCTTACTGAAGCAGAGAAGAACCGTGCTGCTCGTCCCTCTGAGGGTGGTGCTGCCCCCGGTGCCAACGGCGCCCCTTTCCACCGTCTCTACGTTGGCAACATACACTTCAGTGTCACCGAGAAGGATCTCCAGGAGATCTTCGAGCCTTTCGGTGAGCTTGAGCAGGTCATCCTCCAGCGCGATGAGATGAATCCTGGCCGATCCAAGGGATATGGTTTCGTTCAGTAAGTTGTTCACACGTCCACCCTGCATGCTATCATGGCTAACACATCTTAGATTCGTTGATCCTTCGCACGCTAAGAATGCTCTCGCAGAGATGAACGGTTTCGAGCTCGCTGGCCGCCAGATTCGCGTCGGTCTCGGCAATGACAAATTTACCCCAGAATCGACCGCCAACCTCCTACGTACTTTCACTCAACAAGCACAATCCTACCAGGGCTCTGCTTTCAGTGGTGCCGGTGGCCGAGGCGCCTATGCTGGTGGTTCCGGTGGTGTCTTCGACCGTACCCACAGCAAGGACGACCGCGGTGTCAGCGGAGCCTCTGCGCTTGATGACACTGATGTCGCAGGAGTTAACTACAAGACTTATGACCGCAGCAGACTCATGGATGCTCTCGCTCGCCGCGACGTCCCCGACTCCAAGCAGGGCAGTCAGTCTGCCATGCCTACACCTACCACTCGCAAGCCTGCTGCCCCCGCCCCCGCCACTCCCATGGCTTCCAAATGCGTTAAGATCGAGAACGTCTTCGATGCTGACGAGGAACAACGCAACTGGGGCGACAATTGGGTCAAGGACCTTGAAGTCGAGATCAAGGCTGAGTGCGACAAGAAGTACGGCAAGGTCGTTCATATTGCTGTTGATGCCAACAGCGAAGGAGACGTCTTTGTTAAGTTTGACTCCGTCTCTGGTGGTGAGAAGGCTCTCCAAGGTCTTAATGGTCGCACGTTCAACAGCCGCACTATCCGCGCCTCGTACGTTGTCGATAAGATCTATAACTCCCTTTGGGGTGCTGCTGCAAGCAGGTTCTAAGCGATTGGTACGTTACAACTGTCATGAGATATGTGGTAGGTACTGCTGCTGGGCATACCCAATCACTCATGTGTACAGCATACCCCATGGGCTCATACGGTTTCTACACGGCTCATTCTCTTGGTTCACTCTTACGGTTACTATCACGGCACAGTCTTACACCTTCGGTACGCATGCATGGCGTTGACGGTATGGTACGGCTCTCTTTTCTTTCTTCTTCATTTCTTGGGTACCGGCCTTTGTGTCGTGCTAGCGAAAACATGCAACGTGCGGTGCTTCCAGTGGTGGAGGCTGCGTTGTTACCAACACATGAAGGATAAATAAGCGTTCAGAGGTACTATGGAAATTTCGGTGGATATTGGGACGATAATGTCTGGGTGGATAATCAACAAGGTTGTTTAGGCAGACGATGGGTGACAAGTTGGTGGACTATTGCTTGCTTCGGTACGTCTGTCGAGGAACACGGCCTTGTTCAGATCTCACGTTGGTCTCCAGGTTACTCACAGACTGTCACACACCATCAGCATGGATCAGGAAGCGGAGGATTTATGGCTGCTAATAGCACATAGGACCAGCTCGTCTCTTCCTCTCCCTGGATGACTTGTCTGTCAATAATCATGTGTTTTAGATTCCTCGTTGCCTTGGCCTTGATTTAGAGTATGGGCATACTCTGGAGTGATTTGGCTGTGGTTTGACCCTCTCTCCATTGCTGACCATTCTTCGCCTGACGTCGTGATAGGTTTCGATCGCATCAATGCCTTGTAGCTAACTAGGACTTTCGAACCTCCATTCTCTTCTTCGCGCCACTGCTGCGTCGTGAATAGCTATCGTGCTTAACGTCAGGAAGAGTTAGTTCAAGCTTGCTTAAATTCGGATGCGACGCATGGCGTCGCGATAAACATAACACAAGCGTGTGATACCTTGACAGACGGTGGGAATTGGTAGCTACCACAGTGGTGCGCCAAGGTAATTCCCTGGCTCGAGTGGATGTCATGTCAATGTGTTTGCATGACATCTCTTGCTTGATTTCAAGGTCCATTCTTCTAGCTTAAGGGTAAAGTAAGGAAGAATGGAGTCATCTTGTCTGGAAGGCCCACACAGGCACGCAAGTTTGGCGCAGGTAACCAGTTGACGTTAACCAGTAGAGCTTAAGGATGATTCTACAGAAAGTGGATTAGGTAGGTACGTTCTCTACAAGGGTGCTCATCGGATGCCAGATCTTTGCGCTGTGTCCTTCTCCATTGTCATCACTACCCTTTCGGTGCAAATTGTGTATGCTGTACATAGCGCAGTAATTCACTCTCTACTAGCATTACCCCATGATGTTCAATTACAATCTCGAAAGACCCTCCATGAGTGTATCCACCGCATGATCTTGCTGAATATCAATTCTTGCATCCGTAACCCGGTCGGCCAGGTCCTCCATCTCCACATCCCCAACCCTGACTTCATCGTTGTTCTCTCCACCGATCAGACTCTCTTCACTTGCGTCTTTGTCATCCACAACTGTTTGTGTTTTTCCTTCACGGTATGCTCCGGCCGTTCTACCTCTCAATGCCCACGTTTCATATCCTCCATCCTTCTTCTGCCCCCGTCCCAACGACCTAAACCCTTCCAAATATTTGATCCGAAAGACTCCGACAACCCCCTCAGAAATCCTACCTCCTCTCTCTACAGCTTCCAAGACAGCTTCGTACGTCCAAATTTGCACATTTGTTTCTACGTTATCCGTCACCCTGCCACCCTTCCTAGTATGCTCTTCTAGACAGCGAGCGTACTGGCTACGAATGTATTCTTCAACACAAACAGGACACGTAAACAAGTGTGCATGTAGATTCTGTCGTCGCCTGAGCCAAGAGAGTGGGATCTGTGGCTTGGAAGTGTAGATGCTTCTCGTACAGTTGGGCGAGCAGGGGGCTTTTGAGGTCGTTGCTGGTGTGGCGGAGATGGCGGTTGTAGGCGACAAAGACGAAGAAATAGAGGTTTTTACGACGTGTTCACAGTCTAGCGTATGCAGCAGTGATGCTGGATCTTCGCAGTGGTTTTTGGGCGGCGGCGGCTTGGTGAACGACATTGTTGGGTTAGCCACGAGTTGGTCGCTTGGTTAGTTCGAAGGGGAGATCGGGATGATGGTGGGAGCTGAGTGAAAAGTGGGTGGGTGGTCAAGGTCAAGTGTAACTTGTATTGTACGGGAACGATGTAGAAGAGAACCTGGGGTGGAGGTGATGAAAGTGCAGATTCTGTATACATTAGTTAGACTCGACCTTGGTCAGTTTTGAGCTGAAATCCTCTCGAATAATATAGCATCACAATCACGACCGACAATCAAGCCTCGAGTATCAAGTCTATACAGCAATAATCATTACAACTATAAACCCAGCATATATCCACAAAACCAATGGAGACCACTTGAAGGTCAACATGGCATGAACGCCTATTCCAAATGGTAATGGAAAAAACCACCGAAAGTGAGTGTACAAAAAAAGGGACTGGAAAGGATCTATTCTCCTGGCTAGTAGCTATGCGCTCTGCCTTACAAGACTTTTTGGTGCTACATGATTTGGTTGGAGAGGGTGCTACGCGATTCGGGTTCGACGGTCGTTTGGGGGGGATGCGCATGGGTGTCGGGATTGGGGGTGGATTGGATGGGGGTGCCGCGTTGTCTGGATACTGTGGGCTAGACATCTCTCGTGTGTGACAGCATTTAAGACGTGCCAGAGTGACCACAGACACGTGAGATCGTATCCATGACTGGACGATAGCCTTCTATACCATCAAGCCGCTCCCAATACCTGGAACCCGTGACATCGTCGTATCGCGACAAGCCAATTTCGCCCTCCCCAACGAGGCGTGACGAAATTGACAATGTTGCTCTGTGAAGAATATCCGGGCGATTGCGAGGGATGTAGACCGATGATTCCATAGAAGCGACGTTCCGTGCGCGACGACAATCTTCGAACGGATGGGCTCCGAATTGTGCTTCGAGGTGCTGGGGTACGCGAGGGAGAGCTAAAACCTATGTTTTAGCCACATGCTAAATGGTACTTCCACAAGAGAAGCTATCCAACATATTGGCCAACACACAGGTCAAGCAGTGCTGGGGAAGGAAGGGATATCAAGACACTCAGGCCATTACGCCTTGGTTGCCGCCTGGGGAAGGGAGGTCAGTGGGCTGGAATACATATAATGGGGATATTGACTCTATTAAAGAGGACCAGGACGGAGGTAGGGGTTGTTGCGGAGCGACGTACCGACTTGACGCTTGATCTGTTCACGTGCCCATCGAGCGGTGTCTCGTGTTCGGCCGCTGAAGTCCGCATTTGCACGTGTCTCCCTCGCCATTGCGGTAAGGAACTCATGGCGGAAGTACTCCCTGAAATCACCAGCTGGGAATGCATCTGCAAGATCACTGGACGATGTTAGTAGAATAAAACCTGGCGAGAAACAATCTTACTCACCCAATAACACCGCATGAAGATCGGAGAAGAGCTTCGGTGCGGTTGCTGTCCTGTTGAATCGTGCGGAGAAGGTCGAAAATCGAGTCAAGGTAAGGAACGATCAGTTGAGCTGTGGTCATTAGTACGTCGTCAACGTTATAAATTGTAAGACTCACTCTTGTTGCTGCTCTTCATGGCGACAATGCATCCGTCCCATGCGTCCATAATGCCCTCCCGGAGAGAGGTGATGTAGTCAATCATCTCGTAGTTGCCCTCGGTGGTCAACGTGACTTGACCAGCCTGTTGTAGCACCTGAGCAACGACAGCTAGGTAAGTCTCGAACGCACCGTGAATAGCATGCGCGATATCACCGAAGCATTGGAGAATAGCCGGCTTAAGCTGGTTGCCAAGTTGAGGACTGCGGAGGTTGTGAAGAAGGGAGTTCATGAACGCATCGCAGAAGGGCTGAACGTTCTCGCCTAGGGATCGGGTGATGTCGGACACCAGTCCAATGGCCATGGAGCAGAGCGCAGGCTCTTCCTGGTTGTTCAAGGCGTTGTACAGGAATGGAGAAAACGCCTCCATGTACTTCTGGAAGTCTTCCTCGAGCGCGGTCGCGATCGAACCGATGGCGGCAAAAACAGTGTCTGGAACACTGGACTTGGGAGGCAGAGACGATAGAAGGCTCAGCAGCGCCTGCATAATACGGTCGGATTGGGGCCTAATGTCGCTCTCCAATCGCTGGATGATGGCCATGATGACACTGGCCAAGCTGGTCTGCATCTCTTCGAGAGTCAGCTTGTCCTCAACGTTGACAACCTGAGATTGGAGTGCCATAGACTTCTCCAGGCGCTCTAGAATGACGTTGGAAAGCTCGTTGACTAGAGGAACACTGTCGCCGGCGGCGTTGTTGACAAAGGAGTTGAGTACTTCGTATGCTGCTGTGCGGAGGGTGTTGTCAGCATCAGCTCGCTCGGTAACCTGCAAAAGGCTCTGCACGCTCTGAGCGAAATGGGGCGACAATGGGTTAGTTTGGCATCCGGGCTCTCCTGCGAACCTGTCGGCCAAGTTCATCAACGACCAACAGCAGGATGCAGCCATCTTGGGGTTGCTGGCCAAACCGTTGAACAGAGCTCCGATCAGAGGAGGCAGATGCTGCTGTGCGTCGAGCGCACTAGGAACAGCCTCGCAGATACGGCCCAAAGCGTAGGCGGCGGAGTCCTTGACGTGGATGTTCTGGTCGTCCATCATTCCGATCAAAGTAGGCAGAGCCTGCTTAACAATCGGGTCAAGCACCGACTCCTCAGGACCTTCCATGATGGCACCGAAGGCGGAAACGGACGCATCCCGGTAGTGCCAGTCTTCGGAGCGGATGTACTTCTCGATGAAAGCGAGAACTGGCGGCATGACACCACTACCGACACATTGTGCCCAGAGCTGTAGACATTGGTATGCCGCGCGGGAGGTGTTGTATTCGTTGTCGTCGGCATCCTCGTCCTGCTTGGCAAGTAGCTCTAGTAACACTGGAACAACCTCTTGTGTGGCAACTCGTGCAAAGTTGAAGTACTCCCTGAGCTCGGTTGAGCCCTCGGCTTGTGCCTGTGTGTTGTCGTCCTCGATAGCAATTTCCTCCTCGCAGACGGTGCACCAAAACTCGACAGCCAGCTTGGCAACATCCTCCTCGTCGCTCTTCATGCCTTGGATGGTAAGGCCAAATAGCGCCTTCTCCATGTAGAAGCGCATCTTGTCGTAGTAGAGACCCATGATGCGGTTGAGACACCCGTACGAGCCCTGCTGAATGCGGCTGTCTTCCGCTTGTGTGGCCTCGCAGATAACCTGCATGATGTAGTTGCGCTCGCCTTCATTGTCGAAGTTTGAACGCACAAACTCGATCGAGTCGCTGAGCGCGTTGATGGCCGCTACACGGACGTCGTTGTTGGTCTCCTCCTTGCGGGCACCTTGGACAACCGCCGTCAAGATAGCGTTGGAGTGATGTGCTAGCGCGTCCCTCAGCTCTACGTCGTCTGTGTCACAAACAAAACCAATTGTGGTAAGTGAAGATTGCTTCTGGGCGTCGGTGCCCTGACCGACACTCTCGACGAGCGTGGTCATCAGCTCCGGCCATTGATTGCGGGGTATCTCGATAGCGGCGACGGAGGCGATGAACTGAGCGGCAGCTGAGCCGACATTCTTGTTTGGTGTGGCCAGAGTACGCAGGGCCATCTCCTTGACCTGCTGCTTGATCTGGGTGTCGAGGTTGAGCCATCGTTCTTGGACCTGACGTAACCGGGCATACTCGCGGGCGGTGAAAGCGTTCTTCAGGGCCAGGGCGGCGGCCTGTCGGATCTGGGGCTGGGCTTGTTCATTTGCGAGTTCGCCACCGAGGACGGTAAGGTATTGAGGCTGGAGCGAAAGGCGTTAGTGGGAGTGTTCTGAGCATGTCTCGGGAAGCACATGCAGCCTTCTGACGGTGGGGGGACTTACAAAGTTGGAGTCGGCCGCCTGGATGAGCTGCTGCTCGGCGCTGTTACGGATGCTAGCGTCTGCAGAAGAGTCAGTGGAGCTTCTAGAAGAATGTAGATAGAAAGCATACCGGCAGCATAGGTCCCCTCCAACACCTGGTTGATGTCCATAATTGCTGAAGGGTGCTTCGTGGACTTAAGGCGGGGTATCTAGCGTTGCAAAGAATTAAAGAGCCGCGGTGGCGGGAGAAGCAGAAGGTGGTGCGGCAGGAAGGCAGAGAGAGTGTACAAGTTGCGGTGGGCGGTCGTCGTAGGGAGGGAATTTGAAGCGAAAGAAGGTCGAGCGTAGACAGGCCTAGTTCACGTGTTGTTTTCCTCCTAAAGGGTCTGCCCCACTAACAGAACGGACTTTTGGTGCGAGGAGACGGGTGTAAGAGCAACGGATCAAAGAGCAGCAAGCAAGACAGCAAACAAACACTGTGTTTGTTTGGTATGTAGGTGTCTACGGGTTCGTAGGGGTGAGACAGGGCAGAAATTTATTCTTCTGCTTGCTTCAGGCACCATCGACGAGTTCGCCGGCAGCTTGGAGGAAAGAGCGCCCGCCTGGCAACGGCGCATTGGCTCGCTTGCGCATCGTGCTTTCCCCCCCCCCCCCCAGATTCCAGCTCGCGCTCCCGCATGCAGCCCTGTGGAAGCCATGACACTGGAACGAGGGTCTACCGTCCTGCACAGACACTGCATAGAGTTATGACATCCAGCCGTCTTGTGCATTACCCTCGAGTCGTCGACTTGGCTGTGTTGTAGACCCATCTTGAAGCCAAGCCACGACCTGCAGGCCGTCAATCACCTCGAGGCTATTGGACAACGCGCGCACATCATCATGACGAATAGCATGGATGCGCATTCCTGTACGTTGACATTATCATCGCGGCAGCGTGCATGACAGCATGTTCTTGAGAGCAAGGTAGTCATGACGGCAACTTGCAGTTGAGCTCTACATCCAGAGTACCATCAGGCCTGAGTGAGACATGAACGCTGCAAAGTATATGGTAGGCACTATGTACAATGCAATCTAATGCACTCGCTCTGACTCCAAGAAACACCTGTCATGCACCAATGCTCCATCGAGACAAAAGAGATTCTCACATCCTCCCAGAAGCACGAGGGTCCTCCGCCTCCTTCTTCCTCCAATCTCTCATTTCCTTCGTCCCCAAACTGCCCAGTCCTCCCTCTCCTCGCCTCTCCCATCCACCCAATCGAACGACAAGACCGGTTGCGTTGTCCGCGCCTTCACTGCCAGTCGAAGTCTCAGTAGCAAAACTAACTACGTCTCTCGCAGCCTGCTCTGGTGTCTTCGCTTCTTTGACAATATCCACTATCTCCTGATCAGAAAGGTGCCCAGACACGCCGTCGGAGCACAAGACGAGGAACGAGTATTCTGCTGGCGAGAGTTCTATTCTACGGATCTCAGGCTCGGCAGATACTCCGACGCGTTTATGTGCCATGTCGCCAAAGGAACGCGTGTTTGCGAGGCCGGACATGCGCTCCTCACCAAAGGAGTCGGTGACAAATGAGGCAGCGAAGCGGCGGAGGCGGGTGGCCTCTTCGGGGAGGGAGGGGTGGTGATTGGATGTCAAGGGAACAGCCAGACCTGTTGCCGTGTTACAGAGTAGTATTCTGGTATCTCCAACGTGAGCGGTGATGAGGGAGGATGGAGACGAAGGATGCCAGAAGGGAGACGGCGTGGGTGTAGAGATGAGAGCTACACTGCACGTGCTGCCTCCTTTGAAGCGACTCGTGCCCCCGATGTGCTTGGTAGTCGTGCGCGAGGGCTGGCCAAGGATGTCATCGTCGTTCAGAGCTTTGTCCGCACGAACAGGGTCCTCTTCCTTCTTGCCGACCTGAGCAGCAACGAAATCGTAGTCGGCTTTGAGGAAAGCATATTCTAACACAGTCTCGATTCCGATGCCTTCTTTGATGTCATCAGGTATCGCTGGGGAGCTCGTATGGCGCTTTTCGATGACTTCTTTCTCCGCCGGATGGCCGCGTCCGCCTGCAGACATGGAAAAGTACTCTGGCTTGAAGCGTCTGAAGTATCCGCCTACAAGCTCCTTCCATTGCTTGACCAAGTGCTGTTCTAGCTCCTCAGCTTTCCGCACGCTGTCCGACTGCCGCACTGGCGGGACGCCATCGATTGGACCATCCATAGACTTGGAGCCGGCGGTCGGTAGCTGGTCTTTACTTCCAGGTTGTGGCGGCTTCATAGCTTTTGTGCCTGGTGGCGTATGCGTCTCGATAGCGTTCAGACTCTCCTTGTCTCTTTGCCTTCGATCGCCAGAAGATGCCTCGCCTTTGGCTTTTGGAGAACCAGACTGCGTCTCTGTTCTTTCCCGCTTGAGACTGCTCTTGAGCTCGAATTGCTTGGTCGCCTTCTCGAGGTAATCGTGCAACTGCTCCCTCAAGAAGCCAGAGCACTCGGCGCCGCCATGTCCATCGAAGACACCAAAGTAGAAGACTTGGGGATCTCCGCTGGCACCCACGTCCGGCGTGACTTCGTCGTTGTCCGCGCTCTGTCCCTTTCGGCTTAGAGACATAGGTCGCCGCCGTGCAAATGCGGGGAGATCGATGGTACCTGCCTGGAACGCATCTTCGTTGTATGGCCGTGTTCCTCGCGACAACGAGACGCCAAAATGATGTTTCGCGCTCTTCAATGGTATGCGTACGACGGTCATTTCGCGCGACGTGCCCACGACGGCAGCCGGCGAGCGACCTGACCCATCGGCATTGTAGGGCGTGCTTTTGTCGCGCGGAAGCTTGTGATGCAGCGCAGGTTGCGCGACTCGCGAGTCGGGGTGCAGTGACGTCGAGGGTATGTGTGTGATGAAGTATTCGTGGAAGCAGCGTCGCTGGCGGGGAAGGTACGTCGTCGTCGAGGGGAGCCTGGAGGCGTGCGCGCAGATGCAAGCAACCCGAGGCCTTATAGCGCCTCTTTGAAGGTGGAGGTTCGGTTTCCACATGTCGTCTCTTGCTGCGAAGGACGCATGGCGCGGATAAGTAGGTAGTTATGTCATGGTTGGTGACCTTGGGATAACCAATTCCAAGCTCCAAACTCGCCATGTTCCCGCTGTTCCTGGGGCCGCATTCCCGCGTTTGGCCCTATCGGGACGTCATCCGCTGGACCTTCCTCCATCACTCCGCCGAGGTAAATCGTAATTCGCCGTAGCGTTCATTCCATATCCACGATTACCTTTCTAGTTGAGAGTTCTGGTACTAAAGCTCTATAAGGATCTTTTTACTGCGTTTCAGAACAACGATCAAATACAACACGACAGCGCATCGCAAACCACAAAGTAAACGGGGACTGGAGATCGAGTATGTAATTCCGTATGGTATATTTGGATTCTGACATAATATCATAATAAAGCTTTTGAATGTTGATAACAGGTTGAACTATCCCTGGACCTTCCACTTTTATCTCGATCGCGTCATATACTCGGAGCTCATATATATAAATCTGTACATGCACATACATGTGCATCACACTATGTCGATCTCCCTCGCCTGCGTTGTCACCATTGGGACAGGACTCATTCTCCCTTTCACTACAACCATTCTTTGCACATCCGCCGTCGCAACAATGGTCGGACTCCAAGGATCGACGAGATCCTCACTCACTCTGTACATGCTATGTCTCTTGTTCTTCATCGCTTGAGCAGCAGATTCCTGACTCGTCAGCGCGATGGTATCATCGGACTGTTGAGACCCCTTGCGTGAGTGTGAGTAGTGAGACGCTTTTGATCGGACGTCAGAAGCTATCTGGCGGAAAAGAGGGCGAAGAATAGCGATTGAGGCTGCGATGATGCCAGTGCCTGGTTCAGCAGTTGCCCAGATTGTTGCTTTTACTGATTCAGCTGTGAAATTGTTAGTACGAGTAACCATCAACTCCGTTTGGGTAAAGCACTTACCTCGTAGACCGCCTGCATGTAAGCCCAGTCCCTTCAAGTAGACCATCCGGAAGATCGAGCTCACGCTACCTACTGCACCTAGCGCCATGACGATACTAACGCTGATCTTGCTTCTTCGGTCGAGGTCGCTGTCCAGTAGAACGGTGATAGGGATCAGGACAAATGTCCAATCAGCGATGACATTGATGACGCCGTAGAGGTAGCCCGAGGTAAGAAGAAGAGCAGAAGGTAGGCAGTTAGGGGAAGACGGTGATAGCAGACTGTCGGCGAGGCGTGTTGGGTCGCCGCACTGAAAAAGAGCGATGAAGACGTAGTAGAGGCCATACGTTGCACTGATGGCGAGGATGACATGAAATATGAGCTTTTGCCATTTCTTGGTAAGAACCCTAAGGAAGAAAAGTCCCAGCGAGACTTTGAGGAATGTCGTAGTGAGGATGTAGAAGACTTCAGATAGTTGAATAAACTGTCAGAACATTAGCACTGTTGTGAAGAACTGGTATCTGGAGGTACGTACAATTAAAGTTACGTGAATGGCCTCTTCGCTGAAGAGGTTTCGGTCAGAACTGCGAAAGGTGATTGCGAGTATGAATGCACAATAGCAGGTAAACAGCATAAGTGTCGCTGCCATCGCGGCGTCATCCCATCCTGGAGATCTCGTGATGCGATATCGCACCCAAAACCGTAGACCGACTGTGATGTAGCTGAGAATGAGAAGGGTAATTATAAGGTAGAACGTAATCGAACCAAGGAGCACCAGCTCCTGAAGCTTTCCGCTTTCCATCGTCTAGAAGAGAATAAACATTGGAGTAGAGGAGTAAGGTCCGAGATGGAAAAAAGGGCCAACCAGACACTGGCAGAGAATCGACGATCGAGAGAAGCAGCACGACGGTAAAGGGTCCGAAGTGCAGGTAGAGGTAGCCGTGGCATTATGAACGCATGGTTTTGTACATGATAGTCCCGGTAGCAAGCATCCCGGGTGGACGCGTTGCATGTATGGTGAGGGATCGGATGTATGGTATGGGTCAAGAACTTTGTTATCTTGCGAGTGAGTAGCGATTGGCTACGGACAGTCGTGGCAACCTGAATGGTTTGTGATTTACCTGGGTACCGTGTGAGAAACATCCCAGACGTTTAGCATCTAGTGATGTGACCGAGGCGGGTCATGTCCCGCATAATCCACCACAGTGTTCTCCGAACTTCATCGAACGTTTGGCGCTTGGTCTCCCCTGTCATCGAGATGCCTCGAGAGCATGTGCCGGTCTTTGAAACACGATACCTAGCCCCGGCTGATGGAAACCAGGAGAGTGGAAACGCTTGAGAGAATGACCTCAAAAGATGAGGTGTTCAAGTAGAGCGAAAGGCGAAGTAGGAAGCTGTATGGCGTTAGAGCTTGCGCCCGCCAGTAAAGTCAAGCCTCACTACCCAGTCACGTTGAAGCTGCAACCTTGAACAACCAGGGCAGAGGTATGCTATCCACAAATTGTTTCGCTTTTCTACTGGCAATACAAGTTTTGATGTTCATTCGGCCTCTTCACCATTCGACTCCGATGTGCCGTAAGAGGCATTCCTGACGTTCTTGAGTTAACGAACCACCGAGTTTTCCATTCCATAGCGTCTCGATCTGTTCTCTAGACGCGATAGATTGATATGCTGGATAGTCCTCATGTTTGACTAAACAGTCTGTGTTTGACCATCGAACGTGAGGCGTGTTTCGCGTGGGGCTAACGCAGACGGGAACATCCCCAAACGATACACGTGCAGGTGCGGCAAGCCTGTTTGATCGCCCAACAGCGGGACAGAACCAGACTTGCGGATTCCTGAGGCAGGGATTACTTGTAAGGCAAACGATTGTAGAGGCCAGAGGTGTCAAGGCGGCGGGAGGGCCCGTGTGTTTGGAAGTGGTTCGGCTTTTCGGAGATATAGATATTCCGGTCATAGCGTCCCGGCAAAAGTCTTCTTCATCACCCTCGACCTGCGTGTCTTGACTTTTACACCAACCATGAACAACTACAACAGCGCGCGTACTCTGCAATAGCCTTTGATCAAGGTTCTTAACAGATGCTATTGCGCAATGCCAGTATGATCATGTAGTCTCACGCTTAGTGCAACGCAGCACTCAAATACAGCAACTTGGTATGTTTAGTCCTGTCCTTCCCTCCTTTTTCATGATGAAAAAAAGACAAAATTCACAGACCTGTTCGTAAAAATTGTGTCGAAAAATTTGCTTTATATAATCTGATTACCTTCTTTGGCTACCTGCTTCTCAGCTTATGCATTTGGGAGCTCAACAGCTAACAAAGAACAGATACATGAATTTGTGATTCTTTCCGAAGTCCTCTTTCCGAGGCAGTTGAGCGACTTGTTTCGATGCAACACCTGCATGAAGTAAACCATCGCCACAATGCTCAGTGATAGCGATACATGACAGCGAGGGAAGGACTCGAACAATGCTGGTATTTCACTAGCTGGTTACCCTTTGATGACCGCTTTATAGGCTCAGCACAACGATGTGCACCTCCAGATACTTTTTCTACATTCCTTTGTTCAATCTAAATCTGTGACTTTACAAGACTCGATGAAAGAATGTTATGATCTCTCATATATATACGATATGCGCCTTGCTATCTGTGCGTCCCGTACGCTTTGAACCTATCAGGAAATCTTCCGACATGTATTCGACTATTGTTTCACAATCACCAGTTTCCCCAAGGATCGTATCGAAGGATCAACCAGCAAACCCATTTACCCAACCCGATCATCAGGCAGCATTTGTAACCCCTGGCGATCGTCGAGATCACTCAGCCGTAAATAAGTCGATAGCGGATGCATACCTACGGAGCACCGGCGCTAATGTAACATACAACCACAGCCAAGCTGAATTCCGCGAGTTCAATGGCTCCGAGAGCGTGCTTGGTCTTCCCAATGCAGTTGACCCTTGCCTTCTTGGCGACTTCGATCTGAAGCAGTTCAATATCAATGATGGACTCGAAGACAATACCTTCGGTTCAGACGCGTTTGCGTGGGCGGGAACCAATGATACGGACGTGGCTATGGATGGGATGCCAACGGACGGCTTTGCTGCCAATTCAATCCAGTTCAACGGATTCTCTCAAGATAACCAGGTTGGACTTGGTTTGTCGTTCTCAAATGCCAATGCTGATCAGGATAATCAACCAGGACAGAACTTCGATCTGAGTGAAGCTGGGCAGAGTCTATTTGACTCCGTTCCTACAGAGCCGTTTGGTAGCCGAACTCTGGATTCCAACATCGGTTATTCTCAAGACATCCATTCCTGGGATCCTAACTTCCAAGCACCATCTCAGCTTCTAGACACCACACCCGGATTTTCCGCGCTTCCTAGTGGCAATGTCTTTGTACCCGATATGTCACAGTATGCAGCCATTGGCCAGAATCCACAGATGTATCCTGATCCTTATGGTTCAATGTACCCAGACCAGCCATATTTTCAATCTATACAACATCCGTATCCGCAACAATACACCGGATATGTCGCGATGCCAGCAGAGTATCATACCGGAACACAACAGCTCGATACCATACAGTCTTCGAGCTCTCGCCGATTCAGTCGTCCCTGCCAGACTTTCACTACTCATCAGCTACCTCAACGAAAACGTGACCGATCTGAGTCTGGGTCTGACAACGACGTGCCCGTTGTCAAGCGACCTTGCGGGCAGCCCACCAAACGTGCTCGGTCCTCACCAGATTCTCGCCACCACTCTGAGGTTTCCAACGCCAGCTCCGTGAGCAAGCCAGTCAAGGTAGCTGTGGTCAAAGCTGGAGAGAAGCCGAAAAAGTGCGATGACAAGCCCTGGGTACGTGTCAACAACACGACCAGGGGCGAAACCACACGCACTGCTCGCATCAATCAACACGCCGAAGAAGGTCGGAAGTACAAGTTCAAGGATCTTCCCCATGGCGATTGGGAAACCTCCAAATACAAGTTTGAGTACAGTCAAAACAATGGTATGCATGAGTTCAAGAAGCGCACCATGTCTGCTCGTCAGATTCACGAGTACATCACCCAGTATCCTTTCGATAATCTCCGCATATGGATCCAGCCAGTAGCTTCAGACGTGGCACGTCGTTATGCTTCTGCCTCTCACAGCCATTGTCGCTTCGAGAAGTGCCCAATGCGTGTGTACACTGGCAAAGGCACCGCCGAAGTTGGCAACTACCGCGTCGCATTCGACGAAAAGCACCGAACGTACGGCACTGGCGTAGCCGATCCATACGACTGCGTCGGTTACGCTCATCTGTATTGCATGGAGCGTTTCCTAGACTTTGCGTACATCTGCCAGGTTGCTGACGTTAAGGTTGATCAACGTGTAGCCATGGAAAAAGAGCCTAGTGGCCGCTTCGGCTCCGCGTTTGGCCCAAAACATCATTATGAAGCGGCATTGACTAGCAAGTTTATCGAAGCTGCTAGCAAAGGCCGACTAGCTGATACTCACGAATTTTCTGATTACCCTGTTCATGAAGACTATGAGCGCGGTGAACCCAAACCGCACGAACGTACGCTCATCTACAAACTTTACGGTATGAACATGGAGCATCGTGCAAAATCGCAGATGAAACAGTTCATCCTCCAGCGAAAAATCCGTCCCGGCTCGTTCCCTGTTCACCGCGGTGATATGGAGGTCAAGCTTGTTGACAAGAAAATAGAGAAGACCGATGCCTTTGCGGAATTTAAGAGGAGTGGGTCTAAGAAGGATTTCGACTACGCTGCTTACTACGATTTGTTTCACCCTGAGATCAATCGGCGTATTAAGGAATGTGAAGATCTACGGGATCGATTCATCGCCGAGGATGCAGCGGGAGTTGCTACAAAGCGCTCTAAAACACGTCGAGCAGTTGCTTTTGCGGGATCTGGCGACGAGATTCAGGCTCCTAGACGGAAGCGCTCCAAAAAGCGCCAGCCTTCTGATAGCCGCTCATCCAGCGACGAACGACCGGCTACCAAAAGCTCGTCCACTATTCGTCAAACCGCTGCCGACGAATCTGAAGACTCGGACGTGTTTGAAGAGATCGGCACTGGTATGGAGCATCGACAACCCCGCCGTTTGAGTCTTCGTAAGAAAGAGCGTATTGACTACTCTGAACCAGAAGACATTCCACAGTCCATTTCCCAATACAACTATCTAACTCCCGGCTACGCACCCGCCCAGGCCTTCGATACTCGAAAACAGAGCCTGAGCAACCTCTTTCCCGCCAACAACGACCCGACGTGGGATAACTTGGACCTTGAAACCTTTCATGTTGATGGTGACGAAGGATTTATCGATGAAGCTGATATCGATGCTCTCATTAACGCCAAGTTTCGCCGTCAATCTTCTACTTTATGCAAAGGACCGAGTGTCGCGGCTCTAATATCGCCTATGCTACAGCACGCGCCTCGTACGGCTAGTTTCAACGTGCAGCCAGTGACTTGTAGTAAAGAGTTTCGACTCGACGACCCGCCGAGTTGTATCGCTTCTCCAGGTGATATTACGCATGATAGTCAACATCAGCACCAGCAAAATCGTCGCAGTAAGCGTCTGATAGACAAAACTACACCACATTCCCCAGTTGCTGAACAGACCTGAAAGTACGAATAACCTTAGGTAACTAGGTAGGTTGATGGATTACTCTGAAATGTAGATATCGTTCAACTTCGATACTGGATAGTGCTGCCTTACTATGTAAATCCGGGCACGCGTTGGGGTGGCTTTAGTGTTGGCTCATGGGGTATCCTGTCCATAATAGGGCCACCTCAAAGGATGCCCAGGTACCCACTTAGGTAAGCACTTGAGCATTCCAATGTTGCCTGGCCAAATCTTCTGGTACTGCATTACGTACCTAGTTAATACAAACCTCTTAAACTCAATATCACTCTAGTTTGACAATCCTATGTCCTCACTAGTAATAAATTCGCTATTGTAACGCAGCAAACTAAGTACTATGAGTCGCAGCTTCGAAATATATCAAGACTGTCCGGGTGATCTTAGGCTAGCCTGCATGCGATAAGTTCTTACCTAGGTACAGTATCAACGCTAAGTCATAACAGGCAGCATCGGTACCCTACAATAGCTTCTTCACAATTCGTGAGCATGTTTTGTGGCCTTTCGACTCCCTTTCCCCTGCACCACTGCGGCAACGACTAAGTCTTTACCTTGCTTTGTCACTAAGTCAACAAAGAAATAATTACCTTCTGCGCTTCACGCCCTCCTGCGGATACCACAAATCTGATTCCACCATGCTATCGCAGATATGTACCCACATTAAATCATGGTGGCAACAGACACCTTTGCCAACAACCACGGCAACGTCTAGCTTCCAAAAATGGCACGACTTTAATCAAGGACTGTGGATTCCATTCGTCAATGACAAAACTTCTCGGCCTGGCACCAGACATCAATGGGCGGGCTCGTTCCGCCTTGTGAGTTGGAACGTAAATGCAGATGCACCGTTACCAAAGGTTCGTATATCTGCACTACTGCAGGTCATCAAGGGTATGGGAGCTGCAAATGTTGTTTTCCTGCAAGAGGTATCAAGGGAATCGCTTGCAGCACTTCTCGAAGATCTTTGGATACAGCAAAATTGGTACATAAGCGATGTCAATTTCTCCGCCTTTGGAAACCAAAAGTTTATCAGCATCAATTTGGTGTTAAAGCTTTGGGTAGCCACGGATGGTATCATGCTAGGCGCCATCTGGAGGGTTTCGTTACCTAGTCGCTTTGAACGAGACGCCCTATGCTGCGATCTGATTCTGAACCCCTCGAGCAAGCACACCTCTGGTAGAAGTTCCCTCCGGATTCGACTTGTTAATGTCCACTTGGATTCGTTACCAATCAATCCGTCACTAAGGCCACACCAGCTCTCCATCTGCGCGTCGTACCTCAGCGCAGCTGGCCGCGGGATCATCGCCGGCGACTTCAATCCCGTTCTCCCGGAAGACGACGACCTTGTCAGCACCAACGATCTTACCGATGCGTGGGTACGCCTTCGCCCAAATGACCTAGGCCACACTTGGGGTGTATACGGCGAACAGTCTTTCCCGCCAAACCGGTTGGACAAAGTTGCTCTGTTTAAACTTACCCCTTCCGGCGTGGGCATCCTGCAAACGAGCGAGTTGGAGTTCTGTGGAGAGAAGACTTTGACTGATGTAACGGGGTTGGGTTTGAAAGCGCATTTCAGCGATCACTTTGGTCTTTGGTGTGACGTTGGATGGGCAGAAGACTGACCATAGCCGAGATGATAGCTGTTCGAAGACAATTCTGAAGCTGGACATCTTTCGACATGTACGAGTTCGAGAGAACAAGTCTGGGCAGACATGAGGAGTTGCTGCGTGCCTGGCTAGAGTCAAATGAGAGATGCTTTGAGGCGTATGTTTTACATATTCTAGACCTAAGACAAGAGCATCGATTTGAGCAATGGAGTCTTTGACAAGCGCTATCTCTCCACGGTGTTTAAAACAGAAAAGCGAGCGGTTGTCCAGTCTCTGATTCCCAGTCCTGAAGGTGAAGGCTTGCGCGGTTGCAGATTGTTCGCACGACTAGGACCAAAGGTGAGCTAGCGTGCTAGACCTGAGCATCCTGAGGCGTGGCGGTGCAGGCCGACCGAATGTTGAGCTGGGCAATTGTATTAAGACCCTTGGAAGGTCGGTTCCCCGCTCAGCGCCGTGGGGCAGCTCACTAAACAGGTCATGAGAGGAACCGGCAGCGATTTCAGTGATAACCAGGAAAAGGGAAACATAGGTAGCTATCTAGGTAGGTTGAAAAAAAAGACAGTCTAGAAATATCGAAAGCGCATTTACCGTACCAGGAATAGCCATGATGAGTTTTGCTTTAAGTAATTGGGTAGTGCGAATATTGATCGGCATCGGTCTAGCCGCGGCCATGTTCTCAGCGGTTGGACAATGATGGGATCACAGCAGTGGAGGAATGAGGCACATGTTGCAGCCGCTCAACACTTTCCCCCCGGTTCTGTTCTAGCGAAGCGTGAACCGTCTTTAACGTTCGCATTGCTATAGTTTCGCGCATGATAAGAACGTGAAACACCCGTCCCTGCCTCGGCCAAATCGTGCGCAACACGGTGCTACTGTACTACCACTACTACCACAACCACCACACCCAACGTTCGCCGTACGTACCGTTGTATCGCTTCGCAGCCCCACTAGACTATTTATCAGCAAGCGCTTCCATCCGGAACCAGAAAGGATGGCTTCTCGCACATTGACACCGTCGCGATCGCGTTCCTCTTCCAACAGCAGCAGTTCTTCTGATACCACTATGATTGACGCGCCACCGCAATCACCAAGTCGCCCGGCGCGCCTCCGCAACCCATCGCATAGCGCCGCTCTCCCGACGCCCACAGTCCTGCAAGCGCAAACTGATGAGACACAACTCGATCCGTCATTTTCCCTCCTCTTGTCTCTACCGAGAGAACTCCGCGATCGCGTCTATACGTACGCATTGGTTTCTAGTAGCCCGTTCTTATGGCCTACTACAGCGCCCGAATCCTTGCCCAGCAAAACTCGTAGTATCAACGTAGGCCTTCTCCGGACAAACAAACAAGTCCACAATGAAGCGGTGGATATTCTGTACTCGCAGAACAAGTTCCTGTTCACACACCCTAGCGATTGCAACGTCTTTCGTGTTATAACGTCGCCCGCCTCCGTCAACATACAGAGCGTGTACTTTCGGATAAAAGACAAAGACCTGGGATTGTGGACACCGTATCTGGGGAGCAAGTCGGGAGAGAGGAGTCTGAGAGGGGATCTGCCAAAGTTGAGGAGTCTCTGGGTATTTCTCAGATGGACAATGTGTCCTCACTTCATGTCACGCATACTGACAGAACAGCATGGTGGATTTGTTGGTCCTGTAGGAGGGGTTCAAGGAGGGGCTACTCCATACGGTGTGCATGTTGCTCTTCAGCAACAAACTCAGCACGTCGTAAACCAACTCTTGACCAACACACAGATTGTTGGTGGTGCAGGCGGCCATGCGCATGCCACTGGTAACGCGAATCAGATCCCTCCTCCACCTCCACCAGCTCCAGCAATGCCGTTTCCACAGTTCATGCAAGGAGCGTTGGGTTTAGGTGGTCATGCACACCATCATCACCAAGTACATCTGATACCGCATGCGCATGGCCAGCATAATCACCCACCAAACCCCCGTCCACTGGCACAACATCTCCAACAAGGCGAGACTAATATTCCTGTTCAGCAAACCCCGCTTGCTGTTAGTGGCGTGAACGGACCTAATCCACACAGATTATACTCCGCATTCATCCGTTCCAACCGCTTCAAACTCGTCGTTGAGTCTCTCTGTCTGCAACTGAGCGACGTACTAAACCCCAAAATCACCGGACCCTTGGAACGAAAATCTTCTAGCAAGTCCTCCACGACAACGACAACTACAACAACTGATTCTACGCCATCGAAACCCATCACAGAAATCAAGATTGTGTGCGCTTCGACACCCGGGAAGAGACAGGTCGAGCGGTTACTCTCCAACTTCCCAGACGAGTTGGTGCTCGATCCTGTAACGCAGGATGCGAGGACAAGGTTTAGGAGAATGCATGGTGTGGAAGTTAGTCTGGAGTTCAATGGACTGAGTAGTACGCATCCGGAAATGGTAGTCGCGGGTGAGGTGACACTGTGGGATTGAACATCCTTGAGTTAAGAGAGAGTCATTTCGATGGCCAGAATCAAAGTACTTTCATAGATTGCTGGATGGTCATTGTAACATGTCTTCAAATTTCACTGGAGGTATCTGAGTACAGGTTTGAAGTTTCATGCATCAAAACTCAGGTGGACAACAACAAAATCTACGCATACACGTAGCAAAACGGACCCCCAATAGTACTCATCGCATCCCTGATGGTTATGTTTCCAACCCCAACGTATTCCCCCAAGGTCAAAACATCGTCCAGCGTTCCCCTGGCCCCTCCGTCCCCAACGCCCGATACCCCACCAGCAATCGCGTCCTTTCTCTTCGCGAGGTCAAGATTCTGCCAAGTCCAGTACACACGATCAACCATCGCATGATGCGGGAAGAACGCCGGATCAGCAGGTGAGTTGATAAAATCCGATCCAGCGTCCCCTCCTATCGTGTTGTGCCCGCCAACATGAGCGCCCATCTTTCCTTTTGCAAATTCTCCTCCAAACACGGTTTGGAAACTCTCGATATCTTTGTGGTCTCTAATCAGAGCGGCGACGACGTCATCGCGCGTCTCATTGGCGGATTGCAGACTGATGTCGCGGCTGAGGCAGCGGGGGTTATAGCCTAGGCCGTCAGGTTGGGGGTTCGGTTTCGGAGGGGGCTGTGAGACGGCTGCCAATGGGCCCATGTTGATTTTCCAGCTGAAAAGGGCGTTAGTGGATGTATGGCAATGAAGAGGGTGGGGAAGGGCGAGACGTACTCCTTGAATGGTCCTGATGTTACGCATCCTCCTCCACTTCCAGGCTGAAGCTGGATATAGCACATTTCGATTGAGGGGAAGCAGACCGAAGACCTGTTGGCCACATATGCGCCGTCTCCGGACATGCTTGTGCTGCTGCCGTCGAAGAAAGGCGAGGCTTTGGGGTTATCTGCCCAGTAGCCCCTAGATGTTGGCGTAGGACGTTAGCGTTTGTTCCACGTGTGAATTGCATGTGGAAGATAATTACCAATTGTAGTACGGCTGGTAGCCTCTGTATCCGCATTCTTTTCTCAGCATCTGTTCAAACGCCCAAGTGTAATAGCGATGCCATGTCAAGAAATTGGCTGTTCCATGGATTGTGAACGCTTGCTGGATATGGGTCACGACCAAATCATCGTATCGACTCTTTGCGCCTGCAGCGATGGCAGCAGGAGTCTTTGCTGGTAACTTTGCTAGACATTTGACTGCGTCGATGTAATTGTGCCTCTCCGATTTGCTCAAGGTTGACCTGAGATATGTGAGCTGAAATGCCGTCAAGGTGGTATACGTTTGGTTACCATTCCCTTCGTACAGCTACATTATCTAGAGTACATGTTTTTGGGTTCGGCAATGCGTTCTTAGAATAATAGGCTTCCAATTTGTGTAGGCCTTGGGCAGCCAGAGAATCAACTTCCTGAGGCTTGTGCTTTGCGCTGACGGTAGTGACTAGTGCTGCCAACAAGACGCTGGAGAGCTTCATGATGTTAAGGTCTAATTTTACGCGGCTATTACTTGACCATGGAGGAGACGACGTCTTATACTCTACAGCAGTGTATCGTACTATCCACTAAGAAACTCCAGTACCTTTTTCTGCACAGGCGTAAAGTAGCCAGAAGGGTCTAGCTTCTATCGACTAATCTACGGTAGGGAAGGTGAAGGATGGTCCTACAGTGGAATGCATGTAGTGGCGAGACTTTGGACGTGGAAGCTCCTCGATTCACGTTCTTAGGTGTGGGGCTTAAAGAAGGAATAGGAAAGGTTCATAGCCTGACAACGGAAGGAACAGTCGGTCTTTAGCAATCGTTCCAGTCAAATCAAAAGCACCGCCTACCCGAGGAGGCGGATTGATGTCGCCGTGGCAGTACGGGATAGCCAACACCACGTGTTCAAGGTGGATAGTTCTCGCGTGGCAATTTGGCCCTGCATGTAAGTATATTGATTGGATTGCCGGCAGAGAACCCATGTTCTGGCTTGCAAATCTTATCCCAACAGGAGCAAATCCTGGTCCCAGTACTTACCCGGCCTCTCGATGTGATCTCCGAGGACAAGTATAAGGCGAGCAGCGAGTATTCCGCATAGTCGGCTGCAGATGTATAATAGAGTACATTTGCTCGTGAGTTTTGGTGGAAAATCATTCTGTTCATTCAGAGGTCTTGTAGCGCTATACCTAGGGTGAGTGACGGCTGCATCTTACAGAAAGCAGGATCGGTAATAGTGAACGCTGGTAGAGCGGCATTGGAAGGATTTAATGATGGTTCGGAGCATCTAGCCAGCCCTGGAAGTTGAGACGCAGTTACGCGCATCACGGCGGGACTAGGTTGTGTAGAAGATTGACTGCGCTCGAGCTTCAAAGCCGTAAGACGGCTCCCGCATCCTGCCAAGGCACACCTCCTTGGTAGTGGGTATGCACGGAGTCCCGGGGTCCATTGTTCCGGTTCCGGTTCCGAATCTGTCTCCACATTGTGCCTAGCTGCGCTTCTTTCCCCCAATGGTTCAACACAGAGAAAGCCTCGTCCTGGATGTCAATCCTTTGAGACAGGACCTCAATCCTACAGTTGATTTCGTATCGAACCACTTACAACGGCGAGTCAGTCTACGTTCCAGCTGCAGTGCTGCACACTCGAATTCAATCCTCGAATACCGGTATTTGCTTCACATGTTAGCAAGGCCCCACATTCTGGCAGGCCTTACAATATGGTGACCAGTCTGTCATCAAGCTGATCATAACTCAGATGCCATACAATCGGCTGATTGCCTTATAACGTATTATCATGTCTCATGATTGGATCTTGTCAGGCTTGACTTGTGGAGATGTATCCATTGCTGAACGAACTTGAATACGATGGTATACTCCTGAAGCTAAACAGGGCACATCTCGTATGTGGAGATGCTTGCAGGTCATACTTTGGTTACGGCTTCTCGAAGACGTCTGTTCCTTGGAATATGCAACTCTGATCAGATGGTTGAGCAAGAAGATCCATGGCTTTGGCTATGGTCAAGGCAGCCTTGTCTAAACCTATCCTTTGTAGCATGCATTCACACTTGGTATTCGTACACTTTGAAACTGCAGGCAATCGTCGATCCTGCAGTTCCAGCCACCACTTCCTCTGGAGGGTCACAAGCGAAACTTTGTTAAGCCATGTCCCGTCTTCCCTCGACAAGCTGTTAATGCAGCCCGTATTGCGTCAGCCACCATGAAAGAGCTGTAAAAGTACAAGAAGTAAGATCGAGACGAGGTGCTTATTTGGGACCCTTTCTCCTCATCAAGTATATCCTTCTTAAAAAGCTCGGCACCATGGCCGATACATCTCCACCTGAAATGACCGCAGAGTTCATTGCTTACAGTAATAGGCCAACACTTTTAGCGCAGGTCGCCCCTATCTATGCAATAGCAGCATTGGTTGTTTTAGGAAGATGTTATGTACGAGCTGTTATTGTCAAGTCGTTTCGATGGGACGATTGGACAATGGTCATGTGTTTGGTGAGCATCTCGGTGCCGAGCGCCTGTGAGAAGATTTACTCATACTTTAGTGTCAGGTATTCGCAACGGTGTGCTTTGCGGCATACGTGACTGAGATCCACTTAGGCGTCGGCAAGCACATCGCTGTAATCACTTCCGACAAACCACGTTATGTACAGCTCCTTAAGTTTCGCCTAGTACACATGACTACCGTCAGTGTCGGAATCGTTCTGGTCAAGGTCTCAGTGTGTCTCTTCCTATTACGTCTGGTCACGAAGAGAGCACAAGTCTGGTTTCTTTGGGGTGTAATCTGCTTCCTGGTTCCTTTTGTTTTGGCAAGTCTGGGAACATTGGTATGTCATATTACCTTCAATGACCAGCTGAAGGATAATGAGCCGCTGATCTACTAAATCTAGATCTTCCAGTGTAATCCGGTCGCAGCTGCGTGGGATATCGACTTGCAACCACCACCTATTGGAACCGGTACTGCGAAATGCTTTAGTGGGGACACTTTCGATGCTATTGGATTGTTCAATGGAAGTAAGTCTCTAACTTCTACAAACGGTTACTTGCAGTTGTATATAAAACTAATGTCTTTGTAGTAGTGAACATCTCTACCGATTTCCTCCTCGCTCTCGCTCCCGTACCTTTGATCGTACGTTCAACCCTTCCAGGCATCTATTCCCATATTAACAATCACACTAACTGAAACAGTGGAAGCTCCAAATGCCACTCCGTACGCGCCTCTCCCTCGTCGCCGTTCTCTCTCTTGGTATATTCGCTGCTGTCGCTGGTATTGTTAGACAGCTTTCCTCCAGTCAGTTTGGCGTCCCAGAACCATACATTTACGACACATATTCTATCTGGAACTTCATCGAGCTCGACATGGGTATGATCGCAGCGTCACTGCCAGCTCTCAAACCACTGTTCAGCTGGTTCCGCGACACTGCCCGAGGCTTGACTGGAAAGTCAAAATCGACAAGTGCAGATGGTTACCAAAGGCAGGTACATCCAGTGGCTGATGATGGCTTCGCCTTGATAGAATATGGATCGAGAGGAGTGGTCAGGGTCACATCACGGCCGAGGGAGCGCATTGACAGATGGGCGTTCGATCGGACGAAGAGCAGTCAAGAAAGCATTTTATCGCGTGATGAGAGGTCTGTGAAAGCAGGCATTATGGTTACAAAGAGCTTGCAGGTAGAGTGATCAAGCTATACTCGAATGACGGAACAAGGGCGACTTTCCATTTCATAATTACGGACCACAAGCGACGTTTTGGATAGCTAGCTGACCTATCAGAGACCAACTGAGTACAGCCTTCAAGCAAAGAACTGCATAATCGAGAGTCCTGCTTCAGCGTCATAACGCCACTGCTCATACCATAAGACGGCTCTGCTCTACTCTTCTACGGCTGTTTACTTACCCGCTACGTACTCCCTACGCTCTCAAACTTAGTTCACAAGAACAAGCATGTTATGTCCCGACAGATAAATTACGGAGGTCCGACACATGGTTTCAGGCGGTTCCGTACTCAAAGATCGTCGCATTTACTCTTGTCTCGTACAAGCCATCTCCTAGAAGGAGATAGTATGTATCCAGCTCGAAATCTGCTGATGGAACAGCGGATTGAGCGAGGCAAGAGACCATTCTACAAAAAGGCAGCTCTGGCTTCCAAAGGTTCGCTTCTAGGGCGCGATCACTTCACTCTCTAATGAAGATAGCGAAAATAGCGCACGTGTGTTGTTCAGAGCGTGTACGACATGAGTACACAAACTTCATATGTGTATGATGATGGTGGGACAGATGTGGTTGGGCAGAGTAAGCGGAAGAAGACGCGACGCTCGTCAAGGAAAGTTTTTCACGATTATGTCATAGACTCACTAAACTTATTCCACATTAGCGTCTATGCTCCGCGCGCGCAGTTCATCCCAACATCCGTCCCCCACGGCATATTAAGCCTAATGCGCCAATCACAAATGTACGCCAAAAGGTGTGCGAGTACTATGCCTAGAATCTTGGGTTGGCCTACGGCCTCGCTTGCAGTTTGCAGTGGTTTGGCATGCTGGAATGGTGTGCCGCTAGCTTTGATGCGGCATCCCGTGGATATCCAAGCCGTGTCTGTATAATGAAGATATGAAATCGTGGAATTCTCTTCTGGTTCCTTTCACCTAGTCATCTAAAGCATTTCTGTGTGGTCCAAATAGTTGGCACGACTCCTAACATGGCAGCTACTCAGCGACATGAGAAGACGACAGCCTCAACTCCTAGTCCTCATCATGACACCGAATCGGGCGCGGCTCCAACGTCAACCGACAAAGACATAGCAATCGACCTCGTCGGCGAACATGCCCAAGATATCGATCCAGAAACCGAAGCAAAAGTGCTCCGAAAGATCGATTTGTTCCTTATCCCCGCCATGATCGTGGGTATGTCCATCATCACCAATCATCAGCCTTGTGCAAGCCAAATATCATCCTAACATACAGCACACAGGATACGGTCTTGTCTACTATGACAAAGCCATTCTCGGTTCCGCCGCCCTCTTCGGCATGACAGCGGACCTTTCCTTGAGCGTCGTTACAAACGCCTCCACAACACCCCCGACAGTCTCTACCACCCGTCTGTCCTGGGCAACATCCCTCTTTTACTTCGGAATGCTAGCAGGCCTATATCCTCTAACCTTTGCCCTCCAGCGCTTCAATTTGGGCCGAATCTTAGGCGCTGTTGTACTCCTCTGGTCACTAATCTGTATGTTGACAGCTACCGTAACCACCCACGAGGGCTTGTTTGCGCAGCGATTCTTCCTCGGTTTCGTGGAAAGCATCATACCCACCGGTTTCATGACAATCATATCGTCTTACTACACTCAACGCGAGCAATCCATTCGACAATCTTGGTGGTTCAGCTCAACAGGCCTATTTACCATCATCGGTGGCGCACTAAACTACGGGTTCGCACAGATAACCTCCGGCTCCCTACGACGCTGGCAATACATCTACCTCCTCGCCGGCTGTCTGACATTCCTCTTTGGCATTTGGTGTTTCTTCATCCCAAACTCCTGTGCAGAAGCTTGGTTTCTCACCCCTCACGAACGCGTCGTTGCTGTTGAACGGCTCCGAAAGGGAGCCACAGGCGTCCGCTGCCAGAAAATTAAAACGTATCAACTCCGCGAAGCAGCCACAGATGTCAAGTTCTATCTCATCTTTCTTCTGATGGCCTCTGCATATACCGTCAATGGCGCCGTCTCTGGTTTCGGTCCGCTCATTGTGAACACGTTCGGTTGGTCGACCCTTGCATCTATACTCTGGCAGTTTCCGCTCGGACTCATCTGTCTCGTTACAATACTACTTTGTGGTTACTTGTCCTCGCGAATACCTAATATCCGTCTTATCCTCCTGATCTTGCACTGTCTCCCCGTCATCGCGGGATGCGCCATGATCTGGAAGAGCGAGTGGACGTACCATGCGGCCACACCCGTCGCTGGATACAGCATTATTGGCACGTTCGGCGCGGTTGTCAGCCAGACCATCGTTGTGGCCATGGCGAATGTGAGCGGAGCAACGAAGAAGAGTGCGATGGCTGGTACGGTGTTTGTTGCATATTGTGTGGGGAACATTGTAGGCCCGTTGTTGATCAGAAGCCAGGAGAAAGGGAAGCACTACCCTAGATTGTGGACAGGTTTGATCATCTGCTATTGTATCACAATCACCTCCGCTGTAGCGCTCTACGCTGTTCTTGCAAGGGAGAACAAGAAGCGAGACGCTCTGGCCGTGGATGAAGAAGAGAGGGACAAACTTGCTTTTATGGATTTGACGGACAAGGAGAACATGTATTTCAGGTACGTTTTGTAAAGTGTTTCTGGCTCTATTCTGTTGGACCAATAGGGTCCTTGTCGGAGCAATTCAATTCGCGGTCAACTGTATGAACATGAGAATGTATGTATATTGATAGGAGTTCGTCCATCTTACTACTACAAACTAGTTCAGGCGATCCAGAAGCCTGCTCAATTTGGGACTTCGCTCAAGCGTACGTCACTCGCATACTTCAACGCAAACCTCCACCAATCTATAAGAAACGCCAGCAACAACTTGTTCGTTTGCTCTCGTTCGTAAACCCCCCAGCAGTATAAACAAGAAAAAAGTAACAATGTTCGCTTCCAGAACGCCGTTTGGCTCGGACCCCTCAAAAGGTCGAGCAACTCCAAAGTATGTGCTTACTTCTTTGCCCCTCGCCGTATGGGGTCGTCACATTTCTCGGAACCCAATCCTGACAAGTAAGAAAAAAAAGCTGAACGATAGGGTATAGTTGAAAGAGATACCGTATGAGGCTAGAAAAAAACAATACAAAGGAGAACAATGACTTCGATTCAATCATCTCGGTCCTCTCGGTCGTGGTCGGACGCCGGCTTCAGTCGCACTGCGTACTCGAATAGTTGGTCGGCTGATCCCTGGTGTATCAGCCATAGCAGCGTCGTAGCTAGGTACTTCGGGACTAGCTGAGCCAGACCGTTGCAGAAGCGGTGCTCGCTCATCCCAGTTGTATCCGTCTTGGTGATCGATTGTGTTTCGCAGACTAGGCGAGCCAACGGGGCTGCTATATTCGGGGGGAAGTTCGCCAGGTTGTAAAAGCCCAAGACCTTGACCTTGGTTTACCGGAATAGTTGTAGTATGATCATCGCTGGGTCCTTCGCCGGCAGTATCTTCGTTTGAATCCACAAGACTCAGTGCCGCTAATGAGATGTCTGTGGGACTGCGCTGTGGCCCTGGGCTTGTCGGGACCTGTCTTCCAAGACGCATTTGCTGGCTGCTAGACCGTCCGTGTCCGTAACCCGCTTGGATGTAACTTCCGGCCATGCCTTCTCTTATACCCTCGCGACCAGAGTCCAGAAGAATCGATCCTTGTTCGCTGCCGTATGGTGGAGGAGGAGCCAGACTACCGGTTTGCGGGGCTAGACCCCACTTCTTGACGTTGGCCTCAATGAAGACGAAGCCCATTTGGCCAAAGTTGACGTGCACTTGGCAAGGACCGTTTGCGCCTACGGTGGGGAAGAAGTTCTGAGTTTTGAGACCGTGAGCGACGTCGTCGAGTTTCTTGCCGTTTCGTGTGAAGAAGAGGGTTCCAGTTCGGGGTCGGTAGCCAACTCCAATGACATCTCCTTGGACGTAAGAGGGGCCATAGGCGGATGGGTGGAAGGGCTGGTTGTATCGGCGGTTTCCGTTGGACATGTATGATATCGAGGCTTTGTGGTACCCTAGTAAATGTTAGTAGGTGAAAAAAGTGTTCGCGGTAGTAATATACATACCTGGTAATCTGAACAACGGGTAGGGCTTTGTTGTGACGCCTATCGCAATGCTGGTGTTTTCGGGCTTCTCGTAAACCTTGGCTTCCCAATAGTAGACTTCATTTTGTTTCGGTATCGGGAGATTGCTCTGAACACTGCACTCAGAATCGAAGAACTCGATCTCAGTTCGGCCTTCGACGAAGCAGTTGGCGATCTCAAGTTCGGGCTCAAACTCCCAAGCAGACACGCCCTTCTCTTGTATGGCCAGGAATTGCGAAAGAGATATATCGGTCTGGACGGATTCGGGTGGGTTTGCTTGCACAAAAGCTGCAGGGATTAGCCAATGCTTCCTTCAACTGAAAATACTCTGGATGACATACCCTTCGCTCTCATGTACTCTGTTCTCTGCAGATCGTCCATATCCTCTAGCGCCTCGGCCTCCTCCTTGGCAAATTGCTGTTCGTCGTCATACTCACCAGGCCGCGTTATCCGGTCGAGGAAGATGCGTCCCTGGTTGGTGTACCGGAAGTAGTAAACAATGGCGGCGATGATAAGACATACTCCCGCAGCGGCCAGCACGGAGAATATGCCTATCATGATGCCCTTGGCCGTCGAGCCGAGGTTGTTGTTGTATCTCGATAACCGCACGTCATCGAGGTGTGAGGCCTGGTGGAATCCGGTGAAGACGGTAGGGTGCGCGGCGGGCGCATTGTGGCTGGAGTAGTAGGACCTCGAGAGCGTCGTTGGCGGCGAGCCCGGTTGCAGCGGTTCTTGGGGCAGCATTGTGAAGTGCTGTGTGAAGGCAGCCGTCACTGGGAGGCAGTGGGACGTTTGCGACTTGGCGGATGAGGTTGCGATGGGCGCGGCTGCGCTCGTGCCGGGATGAAGTCGCCCGGTGGAGTCGTTAGGTAGGCCAGTGGGGGCCGGTTACCACTCGATGAAGTGTCGCGGCCGAGGGCAGTGTTAGCGACACAGCAGCGACGCGATGGGACGTGGTGAAAGTGCGAATGGCCGTCGGCAACAGCGCGATGTCGCTGGAGAGGGTGAAGGAAAGGCGTCGAAGTGTGTGTGTGATGATGTATTGGCGTGAGGGTGAGATCGGCGTGAGACGTCAAGTGCCTGACGCAGCTTGGCTTGGGATCGCGCGGCTGCTTTGCCACCTCCGCCTGCACACGACCCTCTGGGATGCCCGTCCTGGATTCTGCCGATCTATCCGTTACAGCTTGGCTACGAAACACGACACTTTCCAAAATCAACCTGTTCCCAAGTCTCCGCCGCGTCTCCTTAGTATCAGGGACTGCGCTGCTGCTAGCAGTAGCCGTCTCGAGCCGGCACCCTCAACCATCGACACCCTCGCGCGACAGTCCAGACCGCGACACCAACAGGCACTTGCATGGCCACGACAGCACGCGTATGCACATTACTTCTAGAGCCCGCTGCAGCTACAGCTCGTCTTTTACGACAACACAGCAGCATACTCCACACCGAGCCCACGGTATTTCAAATTCGACTTGCTCGTCACAAGCAAATATATCGCTAGTCCAGACATGCTACAAGAGGCATGGCCCAAATTTAGCCCTTAACCGCGATTGCTTTTGTTCCAGGGCGGGGAAACCTGGCTTCGCTCCCTGAGGCATTGCCCACTCGTTACCGCATGTCGTACAGTCCTGAAACACCAACATCGCAGAGCCGCCCTCAGAGGCGCTTCATCAGGTACTGTCTGTGCCTAACAAGAGTAAGTCCTTAGAACATGCAGCTTCGTCTGGTACCCCACCAAAGCATTGAAACTTCTTTCAACCTCAGCGCGATGCAATGGGGGTTGGGAACTCGCTGCTCATCCCGTCTCGGCGCGGGTCTGGACTACTAAGTGACCATCATGACGTCGACATCCGGTATCCATGTAGAAATTGATTGCGCCCAATAGTCGATTGTCTTAAGTCTCGAGATAACATCTTGAGCCCATAGACAGACGCCAGCACTGTCACATTTAGCAGTCTCATTGACTAGGCCAAATGCGCTTTCGCTAGCAGCATATGCCTTTACTGCCATGTGGTGCGCAGTACCATAGCTACTTTCTCATGCATCTCAATACCTCTTCGATATCACTATAGCCTCCAGTCAACCGAATTGTTGCACTTTGATCTGTAGCATGACCAGTGATAATCCGTTAAGACTCCAGAAAGGGTAGGTAGCCAGCTGTACTTGCGTACTGATGTTTAGAAGGATGCCAAGCGGTCTCCAGCTTCAGCCTCAGCCTTGAGCGCTTACTTGGTCTTCAACCCCATACATCTTTCTACCTGCTATTCTTTCTCGTCTCATTTGGGATTCTCCAGCCTTATTGTATCAACCCGTTTTCCTGGTCCGGACTTTCCACTATGCGCCTTCTGCAACGCAACGAGGGTGGAGAGTTCAGTCTCACAGGATTCGTTGATGGGAACATTCCGCCTTATGCCATCTTGTCCCATGTGTGGGACGACGAAGAAGTCACACTTGAAGACATAATGAACGGCACAGGGAAAGACAAGAAAGGCTACAGGAAACTTATATTCTGTGCGAACCAGGCTGCCAAAGATGGCCTTCGTTACTTCTGGATAGATGCCTGCTGTATTGACCAGTCAAACATGGCAGATAAGGAGAAGTCAATCTCTTCTATGAGTGCTTGGTATAGCAACGCTACTCATTGCTACGTGTATCTTTCCGACGTGGCGGCCGGCACTCAATTGAAGCAAAGCAGATTGTTCACACGAGGATCGACGCTTCAAAAAGAAGTCATTGCTCCTGCTTCAGTGAAGTTCTTCTCCAGAGAGGGCCAATACATTGGTGATACAACTTCGTTGCGACAGATAATCGACGACATGCACAACACCTCCACTGGCGCCAGAGTGTCAGCAGCACTAGACCTGGATTCTGATGATGGAAGCGATATCGACAGCGTTTTCTCCGACAGCGCATCGTCCGTCTCTTCCGCATCAACTACCAGCCTAAACCCTGTTCAAACCTTTGGAATTCATGAGGTCTCACGAGCACTTTTGAGCGAAGAAACATTGAAAGCTACGTACACCCTAGCCATCTCTAGTGTCGACAGAAGGAAGGCACGTTTGCATATTCGAGGCTTCCTCAGGGACTATGGTGGAGATCTATTGAGAGAAGCTTCCGACAGCGGTCTTGCAATCCAGGCTGCCAAGTTCGTACGTGAATTGGCGGGTCGCATAACCGATGAGATCATTTGGAGCATAACCGAGTCTGCCGAAGTACCGAAATCACTAAATGGCAAAGCAGAGAAGCAAGATCTGGAAAACTGGCTCTCAACCATTCAGGGCAACATTTGCGTCGAAGAACGGATTCAACCAAGTTTGGAAGCAGATGGCGATGAGTCGTCTGATGAAGAGCTTAACGATGACCTATCGTTCCCTCATATTGATTTAGTGAAAGATTTCCTTATCAACTCTGAGGCCTTCCAACGACTCGTACTGGCAATGCAGACTTGGTTGAAGATCGATGGGGTTGATCGAAAGAACATAGTCGGATCAGGTACGGACACACCAAACCAGACCGATAGAATGGTCATGACTGAAGGAGTACCGAGAGACACAATAGCTTCCATCGAAGATCAAGATCAAACTGGCTCAAGAAATCAAGCACTTCCTGCGGTGATCGATGTCCATCAGCAGCAGGATGCAGTACAACAACAGGCACGAAGAATTCGATCTCGACAACATGGTGGTAGCTTTAGGGACATATTTTCTAGTCTCTTAAACTTCTGGGGTGTTGCTTTTTATCTGTATGATATCGTGGAGCTCTTCATTCCTCATGTTCCTCAGGGATACAGGAGACTGCGTTGGCGTTGTGTAAGCTCTCGTACTCTTTCTTCTTGACTCATCACGCTTACTGACATTTAAGTCCTGCAACACTATCCTCTGGGGTGATTTCCCTGTCGAAGATACCGCTGCCTTCGATCAACTTAAACGGCAGTTGTCCTGTATGCGAGACCCCCTCGTTCGACATGCACCTACGAGTGGTACATCGACAACGCAAACGACCAGAGTTTCTGGCTCTGGAGCTACTGGATCCGTTCCGTCGACACAAATATCTTCAGCTGGTCCACCTTCAGGCCTTGCTAATACACCACGTGCTGACAACGACCAAAATATCGTGAGTTCCATGGCTTCCAGATCAGACTATGTAGTGGAGATCACCTCACCATTCAAGTATTTTGAAGTTTGCGTGAGTACGGGAAACCATGCTATCGATCATCATGAGGTCGATATTTCACGCATCAGTTCGGACAACGAGCTATTTGAGATGATATGGGACAAATACAATATCAGTCGCGGTATCGGTCTGCGGCGACTTTTCCTGCGGCCTAGCGACGTGAACTTTGTTATGGTAAGAGCTCACACATTTCCCTGATGTAGGACATTCATACTGAAGCTCTTGTAGTTCTCCGTCAGTCAGCGCAACCAGTACGGAGCTGGTATCCACAAGAAGCCCGATGAGTTCCCACCACAAGAGGAACTGGACGAAAAGCGCTACCACTACCTTTGCCCTCGAATCAGGATGCCGGTCAACGTCTTTCTTCACTATCTGCATCGAGCGAGATGGAACATATGGGGCGAGCATATGGAAAATATCTGGCTCCAACGTCTACCCAAGAAGCTCGATAGGGATTTGATCGCCGAGGCCCAGCAGGCGAAGGGTAATGCGCCTGCGAACGAAGACCTTGCGTTCGGATGGGGAGTACACATCATTGAAGGTCCAAATCACGCTGTACTTGGTCTTCTACTAGCTATCGGAGTAGCTGTCGCTTTTGTTGTCTCCGGAATGATCGTGGGGTTTGCGAAAACACAAGAGCAAGGCTTTGGAGTCGGGAATTTTCTTCTTGCAATCCTTGCTAGTACTATGACTGCTGTATACTTTCAGCTTCAGGATTGAAGAATGACATGTACCGTGCGATTTGTTTGTGTTGCAAAGAGCCCATCGTCTTGCATTGGCAAGAGGATCAGTACTGCACTAACCAGAGGCTGCTAGTACCCTCAGTTTCTCTGTAGGAATCATCGTTTTCCTGCGAGAGGGATTCAATGAGGATGTTTCCACCGGCTGCAAAATTTATTCCATAATCTTTTCATTGGTATCACACGATGCTGATGGCAAGTGAACAATGGTACACAAGGTAGTAAGTGTAACCTGATATCGACGTTTCCATAGTACCATGCAGTCTAAGACGGCGGGTATCAGGCCATACATGTGCTTAGTAGAGCCCGGAAGGATTTGGACTGCGAGAAGCGTCGGAAGCAGGTCCAACTGTGGAACCATCACGGCATGAGAGCCTCATGTGTTAATGTCATGTTACACGCGGATTACGCAAGCAGCCCGATGAACGACCAATCTTCTTTACTGTCAACACCGTGTCTCTTTGATAATGGGTCGAACTGCATCACAACATGACGTCCGTTATCTTTGCCATCTGGCTATGACAAGTCACTCGCTATTCGACACTGTTTCGGGAGATCCACCGTGATTGAAGCCCCTTGGCAAGTAGGAGTGCATCCTGCAGATGTCCCATGTGTTGCGTGTTTGATCGAACTGGCTGGGCGCTGATACTCTCGACAAAACTCATTCTTCGTGTTAGGACTGCCTCCACGAGGTCTTTCTCGATGTAGCTCTTCACCGGGGTGGGTTTCCATACATGGAAGCGGTGGAGGAGAAGTGTGTGAGACAAACAGGAAAGAGTAGCTGCGATACACGTGTTTACTCGAAACATCTCACATGACTTATAAAGGAGTTGCCCAGACGTCATTTCTCGAATGAAGCGATACCGGACGGCGTCATCTCAAGTAGGAGCACGATGCAGGTGCTGCAGCACGACGTGTGCGAGAAGCACCGAGTTGTGCAACAGGCGGCTGATGACAGGTGCTATCTAGAACTCCCAGGCTGTCTCGACCATATATGCACCGTATGATCGACGAGGCGCCATGATGATGGCGACTTTGTTTGTTCGTGGGGGGGAAGAGCTGGAACATGCGATCTATTGCACAAGTCTTGCAGTCACCTTGTCGCCCTTTTCTAGCGAGCCAACCGGGCTGGGGACGTCGCAAACAGGCAGGTCGCCCCAGCAGACGCGCACTCGCAAATACCTAGACTTGGCCGACTCTATACCGCCCTCGTCTTCGCCTTAACAAAGGCTGACTGCGCTTCTATCCTCGACTCAGTCGCACGGCAGCAACTTCTTCCTAGCTGCTCACCGCCCGCCGCGCATAATTGGGTCGCAAGCAGAACCCACTGCAACGACCCGGCCCCCGCGTCAATTACGAGCAAACTACACCACACGCAAAATATTGCAGCGCAAGAATTTATTCCTAGGACGGATCAAAAACATGTTCGTCGCCTTGTAACCCACCCTGTTATCCGCTTCGCACGCGAAAGGCTGGTGAGCGCTGCCCCTCATTGTTAATTCGTCCATGGCTTTCCCCAGCAGAGCTAACCATGAAGCGTACCAGCAGAACGAGCTTAAGTCGCCAGGGTCTACTCTTTTTTCTGCCTGCCTTACCTCCGCAGCGCAGCCCTGATTTTCCCTTCATACCCATTTCTAGGGTTGCTAGTCAACTCCCCTTTACACCTTCCCCGCACTGCGAAGCAAACCACACTCCAATATGGCGTGGCAACCCCAAGAAGAGCCCCTGCGGCAGCTGGCGCAGTGTCTGAGGGACTCACTCAGTGGCCATGATCCGAATGCGCGAAAGAATGCCGGCGAGGTTAGTTTGCTCTTGCTACACACCCTATCGCCATATTGTGCTGACCGCGACGACTGCATAGATGCTCAAGTCCGCCCAAACTTCACCCGATATCGACAAGTACCTCGCATACATCTTCTCCAGCAGCCAGCCCCCGCCGGTCGTAAACATGGACGCCGCCCAGTACTTCCAGACGCGAGCTGCGGCTGCCGTTATGCTCAAGAACGACGTAAAGACCACGTACAAATCGATGCCCGACTCGACCAAGGACTACATACGATCCGTGATACTTATGGGACTGTCGGATTCTACCTCACAAATACGGGGCTATGCCGGAAATGTCATAACGGAGATTGTGCGACAGGGCACCATCATGGGATGGCCTCAGATTCTGTCAGAGCTGGTCGGTATGGTTAGCAACGCGGACGGCAATTCCTCGACACAGGCACAAGAAGGCGCCATGGGTGCTCTGCTGAAGATCTGTGAGGATAACAGGAAGGCGTTGGATCGCGAATACCAGGGACAAAAGCCCCTCAACTTCATATTCCCGAAGCTACTCGAGCTCACCACAAGTCCCCAGCCTCGGGTACGCGCCGACGCATTGGCCGCTATCAACGTATTCGTCCCAGAGAAGCCTCAGGCTGTTGTCGCGAACATCGACACGCTACTAAATCAACTTTTCAAATTGGCCGCCGACCCCAGTGAAGACGTGCGGAAACACGTCTGCCGCACCTTTGTCCACATCGCCGATATTGCCCCTCAGATGATCATACCACATATGAGCGGTTTGGTCGATTTTATGGTGGCACAGCAACGCACGGAGAACAACGCGGATTTGGCTCTGGATGCAGCAGAATTCTGGCTGTGCGCCAGCGAAGACGAGAACATGCGGGACCACCTCGGCCCATATCTGGCTAAGATAATACCTGTTCTGTTATCGAGCATGGTGTACAGCGAGGACGAGATTCTGCGTCTGGAGGGTGAAGAGGAAGATTATGAAGTCGACGACAGGGAACAAGATATCAAGCCCACTTTCGCATCAAACAAGGCCGCAAGACTTACCACTAACGCGAACGGCGAGACAGTCCCAGTCTCCAATGGAACACCCGGAGCCTCAGCAGATGATGACGATTTGAGTGAGGGCGAGATTGACGATTTCGACGACGACGATGAATTTGGTGATCCCGAAGAGCAGTGGAATTTGCGAAAGTGCTCCGCTGCAGCCCTTGATGTCCTCGCATCAGTCTTCCACGAAGCTGTGTTCCAGGCGACCCTTCCATACTTGACAGATAACCTCAACCATGCAGAGTGGCCCAACCGGGAGTCTGCGGTTCTGGCTCTTGGCGCAATTGCGGATGGCTGCATGTCGGTCGTTGAGCCGCACCTTCCTATGCTCACTCCTTTCCTCATAACTCTACTGAATGACCCAAAGCCTGTCGTTCGCCAAATCACCTGTTGGACACTTGGACGTTACTCGGGATGGGCGGCACATCTCGACGCTGCTGGCAAGAAACAATTCTTCGAGCCAGTCATGGAAGGCATCTTGATGAAGATGCTCGACAGAAACAAACGCGTTCAGGAAGCTGCGGCATCGGCCTTTGCAAATCTCGAAGAAAAGGCCAACACTGAGCTCGAAGATTACTGTGGCGTCATCGTTCAGCAATTCGTGCAGTGCTTTTCCATGTACAAGGACCGTAACATGTTCATCCTCTATGACTGTGTTCAGACGCTCGCTGAGCACGTGGGACCTAAGCTATCAGAAGACAAACTCGTCCAAACACTCATGCCTGCACTTCTTCAACGATGGAACAAGGTGTCCGACCAGTCAAGAGAAATGTTCCCATTACTGGAATGTCTCTCATATGTGGCCACAGCTCTTGGACACACATTCGCGCCATATGCAGCTGGAATCTTTGCTAGATGCATGAAGATCATTCACCGCAATCTCGAAGAAGGCGTCATGGCAGCTGAGATTAACGGTTTCGAGCCTCCAGACAAAGACTTCTTGGTGACAAGCTTGGACTTGCTCAGCGCAATCATCCAAGCTCTGAGCTCCCAGGACAGCGCCACACTGGTTTCACAAGCATCTAACTTCTTCGAGCTACTAGTCATCTGCATGAGGGATCAGAACAATGACGTGCGGCAATCTGCCTATGCGCTCCTTGGAGACTGCGCCATTTACGTCTTTCAACAACTCAAGCCTCATCTACAACCCATCATCAAGACTCTTATTACACAGCTGGAAGTTTCTCAGATAGATTCCTCTGGCCTGGATACTGGATACTCAGTCATTAACAATGCCTGCTGGTCCGTTGGCGAGATTGCCATGTGCGAGGGAGAAGGCATGCAACCATACGTCGGGGAACTGCTACAAAAGCTGGGTAGCATCCTATTTGACGAGCGGGTTCCGGAGTCTCTGAACGAGAACGCAGCCATCGCCTTGGGTCGCCTAGGTCTTGGATGTGCGCCCTTACTCGCTCCACATCTTGCTCAAATCGCTCCTCCTTTCCTCCGTGCTATCAGGAAAGTACAATGGACGGACGAGAAATGCCATGCCCTCACTGGCTTCATGTTAATTGTGTTGGCCAACCCTGGCGCTATGGAGCAATCACTTCTTGAGTTCTTCAACGACATGTCGATGGCCGATCGAAATGTTGTAAGGGGTCCTACTGCCGGAGTACAGGTCTATGAGACTTTCCAAAAGGTAAGACTATGCCCATGCTTGATACCATCACGCGCATCCAGCTAACACTTCGAAAAAAGGTCATTCAAACATACAAGGGCATGATCGGCGATTTCGACGCCTTCCTCGGAGGTCTCCCTGCCGAACAACAAGCGCGCTTCCGCGATTTGTACTCCGTTTAAAGGAACGAAAAAGTATCAAACTCCAATCATGATTACGTGTGTGGCTACTGCGGGCGTTGAATAAGGATATGTCTGGTTAGAGGAAGAGATGGAAATACCAACAGGCGCGCTCACATTCCCATCACCTAGCGAGGATGTGTGTGACCCTGATATGAGGAGGATATGGAATAGTGCTAGCATTTTCGGCAATAGGGGGCGGCATTTATATATAGAACATGTGTTTTTCTCCAGCGAGCGCAGCTTTGAATTTCACCACGAGTAAGAGACGATGATACGTATGAACATTGCAAAGGCGTTTTTTTGTCAATCAATCCATAGTATAGTAGGTAGCGTAGCTTAGTTTAGTTTCAGTTTCCATTCCTCCTACACTCCCCATCCATGGAGCAGGTACGATGAATAGCATTCCAGCGTTTGTTCTTGCGTCAAGTATACTCGTGCTATGTTTCTGACTGCCTAGTATTGGCTCAACAAGAGACTAAGCAAGCCCGATACCACGAAGATT